GGGGGGGGGTGTTTTCCGCGTGGGACGCCGTTCTCGTCGGGTTGATTGCATGATGTCAGCGCACCCGCCAAGGACAGTGGGCTCTAGAGCCCCGATTAGGCTCTTGAGAGCTTCCCCGTCGACGACCCTTCACGTTTGCTGTTACCCGTAGTAGACATGTTTAGCTGTATGTGGTGTGATCCACCTCGCCACGCCAGAAAAGACGCACATGTGAATGGCGGGAAATAGACCCATACATATTGCCATTGGACGTCTGCCCTGCTATGATGGAATTGACAGAATCAGGTTCAGCAGGGCCTACCTAGGTGGGAGAAGCAATATATTAATGAATTAGCCTTTCTTCTCATTGCCTTCCCCAGTAGTTCTTCACGGTCAAATCAATCCTGCTTACTGCTGCTGTCAATTGCTTCGCGTGTTTCCATACCTAGGTAGAACTACCCGCTAATATCAATTTGTTTCGCGTGTCTCTTTCTATCAAGTACTAGCTTTGCCTGGATTCCTTGTTTTCCAGGCCTGCAACACCGGGTCTGGCCCAACGCCTCCTGCCTTGTTTCGCGGAAGCTGCTGCGTCCTTTCCACGGGCACCTTCCCCCTCAGAGACAAAAGACAAGCAGTGCTGCTCCTGCCTCCGGGGCGCGCGTTCCTTGGGCGGCTGTCTTCTCTCCATTCTTGCCATTTGCCATTCATTGCCTCCTCTGTCTTCGCATCTACCTCCACAATACTATCGCAGAACATTCAGACATTCAATCAACCGCAAGTTGCACCGACGCCTAAACAGCGAGGCGGCGTTGCAATCCGCAGCTTTTTCCTTGTGTGTCACTCTCTCTGGCATCGGAAGGCCAAACCTTGTCTTTTGCTCACCCAGAGAATCAAATGAGCGCAGATTATTTTCTTCTTCTTTCCTCTCTAGTTCCAGTTCCGCGGCTCTTTATTCCACTTCCTTAAGCTTCTTGGATTTCCAAATTGTCTGTTCCTGTTGAACGCAGCCTCGTACACCGGGATCCTGCTTTGGAGGCTAGGCAACACAGGCAATCTAGAATCGACTCGTCAACGACTTTCGCTGAACGTCGAATCAATTTCGAGATCCAGGAAATCCCTTCTGGGAAAAAAAAAAAAAATAACGCACGCCAGCGAAGAAATCACCCTAACAACGCAGGCAACAGATAACAAAGAAGAAGGGGAAGAAAAAAAAAAGGCCTTAAATGTCTGCCTACACGATGTTGGCTGAACAGTCATTGTACGCTGCTCCGGCGTTTACCACTGCAGATGCTGTGACATCAGCTTCTTCTTTCGAAAGCAGCAACGCTATTTCTGGGGACTTTATGGGCTTCGGTTTGACTGCAGACGAGGAACCCGTGTGGAACATGAGTCCGTTATCACCATCTTTCGCCAACTGGAATCCGAACATAGACACCACATTTGTACCTGCTGCTGCGCTGGATCGAGACTTCAAGCACACGCAGGTCCGAAACGGCCAGCCTACGCCACCTTTAGACGACCAGCGGCCCGCTTTGTCAGGAGATATTATGGCGGTCTTCGAAAATCATAATACCTGGGACGACACCCCAACCCCGCCGAGCAGTGAGAGTCATTCTCGAAACAACTCGACAGACTACAACGTTACCGGCGGATTCCACGCCAATCCCCCCAAGAGGCGCAGATTGCGTGAGCATAAGCACTCCATAGCGACTTCATTTAGCAGCGGAGGGGATTCGGAAGATCAGGGTCCAGAACAGGTTAAACGGGAGAAATTCCTCGAGCGTAACCGGCTAGCAGCCAGTAAATGCCGGCAGAAGAAGAAGGAGCATACCATGATGCTTGAAACGCAGTTCAAAGAACAATCAGACAGGAAGACGGCTCTCAGCAATGAGATTTCGCAGCTACGCGGGGAGATTCTGACCCTTAAAAACGAGGTGTTACGACATGCACAATGCGGCGATGAACCGATCAAGCTCCATCTCGCGCAGATGGTCAAGCAGATTTCCCACAAAGACCGAAATGACCCCACTAAAGCCAGTGAGAATTTACCAGATAAAACCTCTCCGCCTGTGCAAGGGTCCGTATCTTTCGGGTTCGAAGAGTCTTTGCCGATCGATAGTGCTACTACTACGCTGGAGCACCAGATTCGACGGGACTCGGAAGCGTCTATTGCTATATCTGGGGATGAGTTCGACGATTTGATCAACTGTTGATCAGGGTCTTCAAATAGCTGGACATCAATGCCTTTCTTCCCTCTCTTTCTACTTACATCATTCTCAATATTAATAGTTTACACGTTAATGGCGCTTGGGGTGGCAGGAGTGAACATTTTCCAGGACCTTTTATGACTTGATTTGCTGCATGCAGCTATTATTGCGTGATGATCATGATGACTATGGCTAATTAAAGGCGTTCAAGGGCGGTTTGCTGTTGCGTTATGAACGATGGAGGAAAAGCGAGCACACGAGGAATTTTTTTCTTCTTCTTCTTTTCTTTGGTATTTGGCAATCTCGTTACACTCGAGACTTATTTTGTCATGCTGTAATTCTTCATTACACGGAGAGACAAGGAGTGACCTCATTTTTCTCACTTCCTGTTTCTATTGATATGACGGGACTAGTCAAAAAGAGAGGCTTCAAGCGATGATTGAATGGATGTCTCAGACATGGAGCAAAGGATCCAAGTCAAAACAGGCGCCTGAAAATATTATATCCCATTGCTTTTCTAGTTCGTACGGTTTTTTGTAATATATACACGAGCACTGTCTTATCTGATAGAAAGAAAAAAAAAAGTAAGCTTCTAGAACATGGAATTGATCTCCTCCAGGGTCTTGTTAACCGTCTCCTTCAGAGCCACAGCTACAAAGACGCAAACGCCCAAACACATAACCCCAAACAGAGAAAAGGTGCCCCAACCACCAAGATTAGAAAGCAAATAAGGCGTTGCCGAGCTCCAGATCAGATTGAACAGCCACTGCGACCCGACACCGCATGCCACGCCAGATTCGCGGATGCGTGTCGGGAATATCTCGGATGCGTAGGGCCATGGTAACGGGCCCCAGCTTAGGTTGAACACGATGATGGTGAGGTAGATGAGGGCAACGGTGAGGATTGTTGTTGGCGTGATACCCGGTGTAGAAGTACTAGCAGTAGGACGATCATCGTCACTACCATTACTAATATTGATTGACCGCACCAGTGCGGCGGTAAGCAGCATACCAAGTGCCATGAGCGCTGCACCGATGAAAAGAACCTTTTTACGACCAAATCGATCCGATAGAAATATGATAAACACGCCGCATGAAGCAACCTTGACAAATCCGAATATACCCGCTAAAAGCAGGGTCTTGTCACCGGGACCGACAATCAACGCGAAAAACTGCGGGCCAAAATACGCCAACGCAGTCGCTCCAGTAGACTGCTGAGCAACAAAGATACCGACAGCAAGAAGAACACGATGCGCATTAGGCCATTCGAGAAGCTCCAAAATCGAGAACCCGGCTTTGGCGCGTTGCTCTTCTTCGATGCCTTGTTGGATTTCGGCCATTTCGGCCGCTACGGCGGTTCTGGAGTTGCTGTTGCTGTCGCTATCATCATCGCTAACTGCTCGGATCCATTCAAGGCTTTGAGAGGCCCTTTGCACTTCCCCATTTGCTACTAGCCAGCGTACGCTTTCGTGTAAAGTCAGGACTCCAAGGCCCATTAGGACGCCGGGCACGAGCTGCAGTCCAATAGGGATTTGCCATTGTGCTGCGCCCGGGGCCATGAACCCAACTGCGTAATCGATCCAGTAGGAGATAAAAATACCAATTGTGAACATGAATTGGAAGCAGCTCCCCAGCTGTCCACGGATCTCCTTCGGCGCCATCTCGGACAGATATACCGGAATGACGCTTGACGAACCCCCAACGCCTAACCCGGCTATCATTCTGCCAGTATAGAAAAGCGCTAGCGTGTGCCAATTCATTACCTCCAATACGACTCCGAAGCAGAATGCTAGCGAACAAACGCCAATTGCCACCCGTCGGCCGTACAAGTTGTTGATGGGCCAAATGGCGAAACACCCTATCAAAGCGCCAATCTGCTGAGTGCCGACTGCTATGGCGCTGACAGTGGTCTCGCTTGGAGGCCCATATTTGCCAAACCGAAAGTCGGAGTGGAAGGACTGGAATGTCAACACGCCTCCTATTATCACACTCCGTGTTTCAGTTTTGCATGTTGTACGGTTGTATCGAGCCACGAGATCAGATAAGGCATACCAATCAGCCCGGAATCATATCCAAAAAGCAATGCGCCGCAACACAGAACCGTCGCAAGCCAGTATAGACGAATGCGAGCGCGAAACGAGGATTTTGGATCCTTGTTCACCAGCCCTTGGTCTCGTAGTAGTGGGATGGTAGTGACGTCTCTCGCAGCGTCTCCGTAAGCGCTCGGGGCCATGACTCGAGAGGTCCCTTGGAGCATAGTGAATCCTTCAGCCCCGTTCCCCCATTGTACACTTATTGTCAATTGTCGGTCTTCGTGGGCCGTACTTGAGAAACTTGGAAGTGACGTATGCAGCGGATGTCATTGGCTGCTGACAACTTAGGATTTTATTGGCTGGAAATGGCACAAATTGTGGGCCACCTGTCACGGTAGGAACCAGCCAATCAGAGGCGGCAATGCGTGACTTCATCTTCTCCCACTCTTCATATCTTACAGTGCCTTACTACTTCAATGCATAGAAGCATTGGTGAACGTAGTGGCGACTGCCAGTATGCTTGATGCCATCGCCATGTTGATATCTCGCGCTTCAACTTGCACGGGCATAGACGGTCGAATCTTCAGACCACCTGCTGCTCAATCAGCACTGGAAGGAGCTGCAGTCTCTTTTCAGCAATAGCAAACAGGACGCCAGCTATCATTCCAATGTGAAGCTTGCACAAAGTTTTCCGATGCATGCCTCCGAGTATCCTCGTGGTAGGCGCATCTCCGCTCAACTGTCAACCGGGTTTGGATTTGTCCTAAGCCATGGACGTTATTATTTCAACTATGTACGCGTTTCGGCATTCTGATTCCATAGCTACGCCTGCCGACTATGTTGGGCGCTGGCTGACGCTGATTTTTGATATAGGGTTAGTTGGATCACGTGCCTTTCACTTCAAATACATACATATCATTGGCTGTCAATGGCGCAAGCGATGGGACCCAGCCAATCAGAGACGACATCCGTGACATCCCATTTAGGAAACTTCGAGCCTTGAAGAACAGGCAGCACAAGAGTGCGCATCAACTGTATGTTCTGCTCGTCATTCTCAGCTTCATAATTCTCGCAGTTCTTGGACAATACAGCTCATAAACGATGCCGCCTCTTCCGACAATGCGACGTGGGCACACTGCGGGGAAGCTGTGCCCGGGGTAATCCACCAACAACAGCTAACGCCAGCCCTAAACCAATGCGGGAAAATGTCGTCGCAATGAAGGCCGCGACAATTATTAGTGAGGGGCATCGTCTCTTATCTGCTAGTCTTCCGGGTAAATTTTTTTTAGCGGGTTGTTGGTTTCGGATCTTACTCCTCGGCTCCTTTGCTCTCTTTAACCAAATCGACCGATATTTGCTTTTAAAAGACATCATCCTCATCACAAAGAAGCCTTTCAACCATGGCAGCACCGAAACGACCTAATTTCCTGCTCATGGTTGCTGATGACCTGGGCTTTTCGGATGTCGGATGCTTTGGCAGTGAGATCAGGACGCCCAATATCGACAAAATCGCTCTCAATGGAGGAGTCCGGTTCACGGATTTCCATGCCGCCGCTGCTTGCTCGTATGTATCATATTTACATCCCATCGAGGCTTGGAGAGCAATGACTGATTCACGACAGGCCAACTCGTGCCATGATCATGACCGGTACAGACCATCACATTGCTGGCCTGGGGAACTTGGTCGAATGGACTAATATCAGTGGTCAGAACGGTCCCAAAGGTTCTCAGATGAGCACCGCACCTCAACGTGGAATGCCCGGATATGAAGGCTATCTCAATGAGCGAGTTGCGGCTCTCCCTGAACTTTTGCGAGACGCTGGCTATCACACACTTCTCTCGGGTAAATGGCATCTGGGATTGACACCTGAGCGTGCTCCCATCAAGCGAGGCTTCGAACGTTCATTTGCCCATCTCCCTGCCTGCTCGAATCACTACGGCTTTGAACCGCAGTTGAGGGACCAAGATGAAACCCCGACATTCATTGAAGCTAGTTACATTGCTCTCCATATGGAAGATGACCATTATGTGAAGAAGCTACCTGATGGCTGGTATTCGTCGGATGGCTACGGTAACAAAATGGTCGAGTATCTTCGTGACTGGCATGGTTCACAGAAAGACAAGGAACGCCCGTTCTTTGCCTACTTGCCATTCACTGCCCCGCACTGGCCCCTGCAGGCCCCCAGACAATATATTGAACATTACCGTGGCGTCTATGATGAAGGCCCGGATGTCCTCCGAGAGAAACGTCTTCAGAGGCTGAAAGAGCTTGATATGATTAAGGACGATGTCAAGCCCCATCCCGTCGTGGCCGATGAAGTCAAAGAATGGAAAGACTATACTGAGGATGAGAAGAAGAAATCCTGCACCGCAATGGAAGTATATGCTGGCATGGTCGAGTGCATAGATGCCAACGTAGGCAAGGTTGTGAACTACCTTGAGAGCATCGGAGAATTAGACAACACCTTTGTCTGCTTCATGTCAGACAATGGTGCTGAAGGCGCTGCCTACGAGGCTTACCCGCTTGTGAAAAGCGGAGTTCTTCCCCATCTGCAAAAGTACTATGATAATAGTATTGACAATCTCGGTAACTATAACTCCTTCATATGGTACGGCCCCCGCTGGGCACAGGCCGCAACTGCACCATCTCGATTATACAAGGCATACACAACCGAAGGTGGCGTACGAGTTCCCTTTCTGGCAAAGTTCCCCAAGGGAGTTGATACAGCAGATTCTGCACAGGGTATTACAGACCAATTCGCCACCGTGATGGATCTAGCACCGACTATCTTGGAGATGGCTGGTGTCAGTCACCCCGCTCCAACTTATCAGGGCCGGGAAATTGTTCCAATGCGTGGGAAGAGTATCTACCCTTGGGCTACTGGGAAGGCATCACGGATCCATGAGGAAGACTTTGTGCAAGGATGGGAAACTTGCGGTCGTGCTGCCCTTCGTTTCGGAGACTGGAAAATCGTGTATATCCCTAAGCCGAAAGGCCCTGAACGCTGGCAATTGTACAATCTGAACAGCGATCCGGGTGAAGTCGACGATCTAGCAGAAAGCCAGCCAGAACGGCTGAAACAGCTGCTGAAGCTGTGGGACCAGTACGTGATAGAAACGGGCGTTATTCCTCTCAATCCGGATCTAGGCGAATTTCTTGAAGCAACCGAAGCGCAGATGCCGGAAAATGCATGGATGGAGTATGATTATTGGAAACCAGGTGCTAGAGACGAACCGGAGAAGTTTATGCGCAAGCCTCCACGCTTTCAGAGGACTGTGAAGCAGTTTTAGTGATGCTTCAGGCTCTTCTAACGGAGCGCAATTGTTTGCCATGAATGTCTATATTTAGTTGGAAATCAAAGGTACATAAGCACATAAAATTAAAAATGAGAAGTAATATTTAGATCGCATTTATTCCCTAATTAAATACTTTCGGGGACATTGCTTGTGTTACTGGATGATGTTGTTCCCCCACTGTTCTACTGATTCCTTATCAAACCGCCTCCAGCGACGCTTTATTCTTCTTCCATCATTCTCCTACTATCTCTGTTATATCTCAAACATGGCTTATCTATTGAAGGGCACTCCACCGAACCGTTCAGATCCGCCTCTAGCTCATCTGAAAAGGCCGTCTCCCCGCCGGTGGACTTGGACTAGGATGCTTGTCTGCGTTTCGGCGATAGCACTGTGCTCCACGGCCTTCGTGAACCAGGTAGATTGAAGAAATCATGCCTCCACTGTCACATAAGTGCTGACTGAAATTATCAGACTTATAACCCGATCTCTTTGCTTTCAAGCGTCGTTCACGGTGCAACTACAAACATACAAACTTTCCAAGAATGCGCAATCCGAAACATGCTAGACACCGAGTTATACTTTCTTGAAAGCGTACATCCACCAACTATTAAGCATTTCGAGTCTCGTAGAAACCGGCTGGCCCAAGCACTCATCGCAGATGGAGTTGACGCGTTTGGGCTGGAGCCAGGGTATACTTTTCAATATTATGCCAATATAAGCCAGTCAGAATGGGAGCCTTGGGAGGTATGCCAGCCATGTCATTCAATGCCATTTATCTATACCAGTGATTGAAGTTGTGTTTACTTATGTCTTTCCATGCAATCGTGTTATAGCCTGAAGAACGCCCTTTCCTGATGGTTGTGCAGCCTTACCATGATCACGAAACTGGAATGATCACCGCAAAAACGAGCTTCCTATGTCCCTCTTTCGAAGCGGAGAGAGCACGTCTACTTTCAATGCCATTCTCAGAGCCTATCCATATAATCACTTGGGAGGAGCATTGGAACCCTTACAAGACCTTACTGGAATCAGGCAATTTTACGGCAGAGAGAAGACGTCCACGCCTTATGGTAGATGAAGAAATGCGCGATTATATTCAACGAGGTCTTGGCGAAATTGGGTTTGACGTAGTCGGCTTACAGAGAAATGTTGAGGCTGTAAGACAAACCAAATCCCAAGAAGAGATCGATATACTTCGTGCCGTGAATACAGGAACCGTGGAAGCAGTGCGACAGATGAGAAAATGCAAGTCTAACTTTCTCACTCCGTCCAATGATCCCCAACCTTTGCTGATGCACTAGCAGGTCTATATCCAGGGCTCACCGAGAAAGAGGTCGAAACTGTTCTTGACATTACGCTTCGAACAGCGGGACTTGAACCGTTTTTTGACATTGTACTATTTGGTACGTATACGGCTTAATTTCTGTTTACCTGTGAAATAGCCCTAATCATCCATGGGTGCTTATTCAGATGAGAATGCTTCAAACCCTCATGGGGGTACGAACGGATCTAAAACTCTCATTGCCGAGACATTCGTCCTTATAGATGTTGGGTATATCTCTGAGTCCTTATTGAATTCTAGCATAATGTAGCTGAGAGACATCCTTAGAGCTCATCTTTACGGCTATTCGTCAGATATTTGTCGGACGTTTTTCCCACCATTCTTGGAAAAGGTTCAACCTAGCGAAGATACTCCGACAAGTCTGAGAAAGAAGATTGAGGTGGCCTCCCTCTTCTTAAAAAGTGACAAGCTCACAGAATCCCGCTGACTTGACTTCAAGGTCTGGAACATTGTGTTCGAGGCACAGTCCCAATCACTCAAACAACTGCATGCAAATGCAACTGCAGCCAGCGTCGATATTGCCGCGCGAGACGTAATAACTTCTGCTGGATACGGACATGCATTTACGCATCGTGTCGGTCATGGTATCGGCATCAAAGGTTGGTTGTAAAGACGTTGCGTGAAGAGACAAAGAGGCTGATTGCGAGCAGCACACGAAAGTCCATATATGAATAAAGGCAACCACAGAACTATTCTCCAGGCAGGTATGACGTTCACGTCAGAGCCCGGTGTATATCTTGTTGATGAGTTCGGGGTGCGCCATGAGGATGTCCTCCTTGTGAATGGAGAAGATGAAGATCCTATTCTGTTGACAGGACGGCGAGCGCATGGCCCGTGGGATCCTTGAAGAATAAGACTAGGATGAGGATAGCCGACTTGCTATCCACCTACTCTCTTGATGTTGGAATCTCTATCTAAAAACCTCAGTGTCTAAGATGAATGATGGTGTGATTCTTAGCCTCTAAACGCCAGCCGACTACAGCTGCAATGATACATATTACAATAATATCCAATGTTGTATTCACAAAAAAAAAAAGGAAGTTTTTACTCCTCCTCCCCGCCCTCAATCCACTCAAACCCGTTCCCTACCTTTTTGGTTCGTCGACCGAGGACGTCAGTCACCTTGGCCCTTATGCCTTCTTTCCTGCCCCAGTTCTTGACAAACTCTTCGACCGTCGCCGATCCGGAGGGATTGTTTCCACGAACAAACTTCTCAATATCCTTTTCTGAGGGCAGTGCATACTTGGCATGGGGGTACTCCTTGTAGTCGATATCGTTGAATGTAGGAAGAAGTGCTGACTCGGTAGACATAAGCTCTGGACTACGAGGCGCGGTAAAGAATGCATCCACGTCTTCAGTCGTTACATCCTCGAGACGACTTGGGTTCCAGACTGGAGTCCTTGCAGGTTTCGAGATGAGACGGGCTGAAACACCCTCGACGAAGTCAGGATGACGCATAAATGCGCTGGCAATGATATGTTCGCGTTGGAACGCCTCTTTGATGCCCCAGTTCTTGCCCAAACGGAGCGAGCGAAGGGCGACCTTGAGAGAGGTTGGAGAGCGTGATTGTAATGTCTCCAGTGTTTTCTGTGCCCATTCCTTCTGGTCTTCTTCCTTTTCAAGGGCGCCAATAATTTCCTCCACGGTGTTGTATTTGAAGCATCGGTCGATAGCCTGGCGAAGTTTGTAACGTAGAAGGATGGGTTCTTGTTCGGTGGATGGCAAGCCAGTGGAAAATTCGGCGATGGTCTTGTTGACAAGGTCGCAACGCTCGCTAAGGGTTGCGTAGTCCTTGAAGACGAGCTCCGCTAGTCGGTTCGTCAAGTTGCTCAGAACGCTCGAGTCCACATAATGGGTTGCAATACCAGTGTAAAAGGCCTGGACTCCATTTAGACGCTCAGAAGTAAGACCCAGATAAGTACCGACTTCTCCGTCGAGACGCGAGAGGAAGAACGAGCCGCCAACATCCGGGAAGAATCCAATCGTAGTTTCGGGCATAGCGAATAGAGTACGTTCGGTAGCGATACGGAAGGGAGCGTGTACACTCAGTCCAACGCCTCCTCCCATTGTTATTCCATCCATCACCGACACAAAGGGTTTGCTGTAAGTTGCTATCAAATGATCGAGCTGGTATTCGAGGCCGAAGAAGTCTTGTGAGCTCTTCACACCTTCAGGGCCTTCCTGATTAGCCAGCGCGAGAGCTGCAACGTCTCCTCCTGCGCAGAGAGCCTTTTCTCCGCGGCCGGAAACCATGATGATGTTGGCTAGCTGTGACTTTTCCCATTCCTATTGCTCAGAAAAAATACTGGTCTCAGCGGATGTTCACACAACCAAAAAGACGGACTAGAGTAAAATTCATCATACCAGAAGTCGTGGGACGATCTGTCCACACATCGAGCCATTGAGGGAGTTGAGTTTCTTGGGCCGGTTGAGCTCGATCAACCGGAGGCCGTAGGTAGAATAGAACAGGACGTCGTCAGAGTCGACAGGCGGGTTCGCTGTGCTGAGAGACATCTAATACACATGATCAATTAGGCCGCTATAATATCTTTCAATCATCAGTCGTCGCCGTCGTACCTTGCTTGCGAAGCCCGGGTTTGTCACTTTGGCGCGTAGAGGCATCGCTGCAGGAGCACCAAAAGTAGACCGCGAGAGCCGGCTCAGCGGTGTTGAGGCTCGGAGGGAAGTAGGTCGCAACAACATCAATGGCAGCAAGGCACGTCTTTCGCGCCCGAGAGATGGTGGGATAGCTGCTCTTGATTTATGTTGAAAGCTTTGGGGTTGGCTTTTCGGCTGGCGGAACTTTTTTCTGGGTTTCTCCGCTTTGTCGCTAACCTCGGCCGGCAATTCTTCTTCTGGACAGCTGATTCTAGCAAAACCAGCATTATGTCGTTGGGAGAAAGGACTTTGGCCTCGAAGACTCTAAGATACATTCCAGAAATTTTTTGTTTTCTTTCTGTTAGGAAAAAGCAAAAAGCTCATGGTCCCTGTTCAGTGTTCACTGCATCTATACTATAACTGCCTAAACTAAAACACAAGAGAAGAAAATGATACTCCACAGGCTAATGAACGCATATTATACATATTCACCGCTTCGTCCATATCAAGAAAGATACATTCCTTCTGGGTAGGTAGCCTTTGGCGGTGGTTTGGCGATGTCCCTGGAGTGATCCCGCAAGATTTTGTCCAAAGCTTCCTGTTCGATAACAAGCCTCGATGTTGTCAGAAGATCCTTCACATCCACGTCTGATCGATCGAGAATCCTGGCGTCTTTTTCCCACGGCTGAACAGTACTGAATAAGTCATCGTCCATCTGGTCCGTGATGAAGGTACATCTCCCATAATGCTTCCCCCACCGGTTGGCTTGGAAGAAACCCTTCCAAAACCACGGCGATGAGTTTTCAGGAATTTGGATATTGTCGACAACCATCAGTTGGCCTTGGCTGTATCGGTAACTCAGAGCAGTTCTCCAAGCCTTGTCGTAGATCTTTCTCGGTAGCTCGGTGGAAAAGTCTCGTGGATGGGGACCATGCGCGACACCACCACCTTTTCGGATTGGAGATTTCTTGTCTCCAACTCGCGCATTGCCAGTACCCTTTTGAGGAGCAAGCTTTCGTCCGCTTCCATGCACGTCGTCACGCCATTTTGTGCTCGCAGTTCCCTGACGGGTCTTGTCGCCCTCGTAGATAACGGCGCGGTGTAGGATGTCTTTTCTAACCGGCAGCAGAAGATGGTCTGGCGAATATTCGGTGAAACGAAGAGGTGTCATTGAGGGAAAGGAGTAAATAGTAACTAGAGCAGGAGGCGTAGGACGCCAAGCAGTCGTTGAGGCATTAGCAGTGGTTTGCGGCGCCGCCGTGCTGTCTGTTTGAGAAGCGCTCTCAGATGCCGATTCTGAAAGAGTTGCCATAAGCCGTGACGAAGAGCCTGCACATCTTCGCTTTATTATTTGTTAGTGGTTGTCGTAAACGATGCGATGGGGTTAACTAATAATCCTTACCATCACCGTCTCTGGCTGTTGAAAAACGCCATTTGCGCTGCGAGTGAGCCATTTCAGCGCGCGCAGCACCTCGCTGCTAGGCATTATGAAGAATTGAGATGTTATGTCGTCAGACAGAATCAATCAATCGATTGCTGGCAGAGTCAAGAGCCTGTTCAGTTTGATAAATTTCGGTTGGGAGTCGGCGGGAACGCGGAGTTGGGCGAAAAAACGGCGCTAGTACCAAAAGTGAAAAAAATGTCCACTTCGCAACTTCGAAAGCTGCTCCGTAAACAACAACCACGCAGTTATATAGCAGGGCCTGCCATGTCTCACTGCGAAGTGGCTTCCAAGCCACTCCTCCGCGCTTTGAATCATTCGTCTGCCGCCAAATTTGCTATTACTTCGTTGCAGTCGAAACGGCTTTTTCAGACAACAGCCGTATCGCAAGATGAGGCCCAGGTCGAGACCAAACCAGCGCCATTCTACAAGAACCCCGACCCTGCATTAGTGACGATCCCTCGGCTGGAGCGGAAGCTTATGAAATCTGGCGTGTCCCCAATTGGCTCTCGAAGACGCCGTGCTGCCCTTCAGCGCACTGAGAACATCCCATTCGAACTTCTACCATACCAATGTTTCCAGGAGGCACGCAAAGTCCTCCAGGCGGACCGGCAGGAGAAATTGAATGATATTGCTAGGGAGCAGGCACGAGTAGAACGACTACGGGCTCTGTCTGATGAGGAGGCAGGAGGCGCGAATGTTAAGAAGTCTAAGCTCGGGGCCATTGAGAAACACTTGGAGAACTTGAAGGTCTGGGCGGATATTAACGACCCTGTGGTCAAGAAGAAATTTGAAGATGGTCAAGGTATGGAATATTTTTCCATTTCCCCTCATCTCGGTTATCTAGGCTAACTTCTGCTTTCCCCTGTCTATTAGGTGATATGAACCTACCGATTTACCGGCATTTGGCAGACAAGCAGTGGAGGGAATATCGACGGCTGATCATTGTTCAAAGGATCACACAGATGAAAGTCATTCCTGACGTTCTCCCTTCTTGTGATCCGATTGTTGACGTCAAACTCTACTTTGATGGCAAAGGCATTTCGCCTGGCTCCTTTGTTGACTCCAGGTTGAGCATGAATACGCCGAAACTGAATGTCCAATCATTCGAGGCAGGTCAGAAACTCGTCACTATTGCGGTCGTTAACCCGGACATTCCTAATGTCGAAACAAACGGCTTTGATTCTCAATGCCACTACCTCGCCGTCAACGTGCCGATTTCTCCTACCGACACACACATTGATCTTGGCAAGTTGCCAGAGACGGCGAGCCTGCTGCTTCCCTGGCTTGCACCAGCAGCTCAGAAAGGCAGTCCGTACCACCGACTGTCCTTTTTTGTTATGGAGCAGAAGGACAATCAGCCGTTAGATGCTGCTGCCATCAAGGAAAAGGGAGTCGAAAGACAGGACTTCCGTCTCCGCGCTCTCCAATCCAAACACCAACTGAAACCAATCGGTGCGGCCCTCTTCCGTACTCAGTGGGATGAGAACACGGACGAAGTCATGAGAGAATTGGGCATGGATACTGCAGGGTTCGAATTACGCAGAAAGAGGGTCGAGCCTTTGCCATACAAGCGGAGAAACCCTTCCTCGTTCCGGTAGAGGCTTATTATGTGTTTACAAAGCTTTTCGTGTTCCGTTTGATTTATTTTCATTATGTACTTTAGAAGTGTAGGATTATATATGTACATTCCCTTTTCTATAACACAATGTCCCACTTAAAAAAAGAACAAAAAAAAAAAAAAAAAAACGCCGAACTATGCTCAAATCGTGAACCAGTACAGTAGTGTTACAATATTCTTTCTTTCAACACCAGACTTCCTTCCTCATTGCCCACTTCGCGGCTGCATTGTGTTCTCGACCCATTGCATTTTCGACGGAGGCCATACTCGAGCGATTATCTTGCCATTGATTAATCCCATAGGCACGGGTCCGTAATTTCGCGAATCCCTGGACCAGGGTAAATTGTCACCGGCGAGAAAAACATGTCCTTCAGGAACCTTGAAAACAAACGCAGTCAGCCTGTGAAAAGCAAAACCACTGGTGTAAAATCGAAAAGTAAATACCTGAATCATTTCATTATCCGCGCCAACCTCTGTACTAAAAGCCGGATCCTTGCACACAAAGTCACCGGGCATACCAAGCACGCGTTTGGCACCATTAACGCCCAAGAAGGACGGATGGGAGAAGCGCACGATATCGCCGACTTTTATATCTTTGCCATGATCATGGCGGCGGGATATAAGTAGCCAGTCCCCTCGCACATCTAGGGTAGGGTACATCGAAGGACCCTCGCTTCTCTGAATCGTGTAGAAGTGTTCCCACATCAAGGTGACGGCGCAGAAGACGCCGAGTCCGTCGATTGTGCGCCTGAAGATGAAGCCGGGAGTCGCATTGCGGAGTAATTGGCGAAATGCTGAGTCCATATTCTTTTTTGGTCAAGGCGAGTGTTGCATTCCAGCTGGCTTCGCTGATTAGACTTGATTTTCTATCACATGTTGAAATTGGAGGCATCGCCGTATCGGAGAGCGGCGAGCTTTGATTGGTCGCCTGGCTTTGAGATCACGTGCGCAGCCGCACAGATTTATTTTCGATTTCCTTTCCTTCAAATCCTTCCTTTTGTCACATCCCCTTTCACCATGACAAGTGTCACGGCCTGAACTCATGATGCCGAGTTCACGCCGTAATACTTGTCAACTTTATCCTCTTCTAATGTTGAAGAGCATTTGATTATTCATTCAACGTATCAACCCTAGGACACAAGGAAAAAAAAAATCGCTTCTAAAATTGCTAGAGCTTGCCGTTTCCGAATCACAATTCACCAGGACGAGCAAGTGTGGACAGAGAAGCAAGATTGCATTTATTTTTACAATATGCCCACGAACGATACTTGGCTTTTACATTCATTTAAGTATGAAATCTGGAAAGTCGAGGTGTAGTATGTTGGGGACATCCATCTAAATATCACAGCACTCAATGAAACATTCAACTTTTTCTCTTTTCTTCGCAACTGCAAGATCTGAATAAATCCAGATTATCACTTGGACACAACGGCTTACCGCGTCATCGCGTCGGCGTCTGACAATTGTATCAGCCTGGGGTCTTCAGAGGTAGACAAGAACTCACCAGGATGAATCTCAGGAACCGGAATCGCCGCTCTCGACTGAGCCTTCTGCTCATGATCCACGCCGAACCGTTGATCCCTCTCCGCCAACAGAGCCTTCCGCCCTTGCGGATGCACTTTATCCAACATAGCATCGCTGCCAATACTGCCCATCAACTGCGGCTCTCCCAAGGGCACTTTGTCGCCCCGATCCACCTGCCACAGATGATACGCCTTGCCGTACAATGGGATAATGTCTTTCATTTCGGAATTTTCGGCCGGCTGCCAGACCGTTTCCGGAACGCCGGTGGGCGTCGGCATGATCAGCATACCGCTCTTAACCTCGTATATGTGGGAGTGCCATAGTTCGCGCTCGGCTTTGGGCAGGCTGTTGTATATTTTAGGTGTAATCATGTATTCGATGCCGATGAGTCGGGCGTTGGCATCGGGGGAGTCGTAGAGGAGACATTGTCGGACGTCTGTAACATTCCTCTTTTTAGTTCAAATAAACGGGCCGTTGCAAGGGAGGGAGCAAGAACAAACCCTCAGTAATATGCGAACAGTAATGATTCGCTTCGACTGCCCTGGACCGGTCGGACGCATACACATGAAAGGCATTCAGATGGGCGCAGATGCTCTTGACAGGCCGGAAGTCTTGGATCACTCCGGCGGCGGTTTCTAGTACACGGCTTTTAGTGGTGAGCTCGTCACCTGCTGTTCTGTCTGCTGCCATTTTCTTGGTTTGTGCGTATCAAACTATTTGGCGTATTTATTAGGTAGTTAGGGGAAAAGGAAGATTCTATTCAGCAGTAATGGGCCTATATTTATTGTTCTGACGTCACGGTGATCCTACTGATGAAATAAGTAACGAGACTACCTTAGGTAGATATTAGCTCGACTACATGGCATTTTTCATCTCTCTCAATGCAGCCATGACCTCAATGGGGTCTCTTTTTCCTGTTGCTTTCAAGACATCGGGATCCTAGCATCTCAATTGTTAGTATCAGATTGATGCATTCCGAATGACTTTTTTTTGCTTACATCGAGTCTCATGAAGACATTATGTGCCTGTAAAGAAAACGACGGTAATCAGCACTAAAAGAATTTCGGCAAAAGAGGTCTTTGTGTTTCACCTTTTCATCAGCAATGGTGAGAATTCCCTGTGTCCTCTGATTCTTCTCCGCGAAATCCTGGAGCTTCTTGATCGCCTCCGAGTTTGACACGGCAAGGAGGAATTTCACATTAGACTTGGTGTATTCATGGCCACTGTAGACTTTGGTATCGTCCGGTAAAGATGCAAGTGTCTCATTGAGAGCTTTGTGCATCTGGGCTGCGTCGCCCTCAAAGAATCGGCCGCATCCTTGTTCATGTCAGACAAGTAGATCTCTCACGAAGTAAAAAGTTGTACGAACCTCCAGTGAAAAGCGTGTCCCCTGTGAAAACAACACGCTGGCTTCCATCCTCCAGAAAGTAGCATATGCTATCTTGCGTGTGGCAGGGGGTATGGAGCGCTTTTATCGTGATTCGCTCACCAAGCTTCCATGTTTCAACGTGGGCAGGCGTTTTTGTGACCGATTGGCAATTGGCGCCGCCAATTACTTGCAAGTGCGGAAAGTCCTTGAGCTATATGGTATTGGTTATGTTAATTTCTTGCCCCTTTTACTTCTGTGGAGAGACTGTCTCACAATTTCATCATTCCCACCCGCATGGTCCCAATGGCTAATTCAGCCATCACATGTATCAATCAGCATAGCTCAGAATCTGGGCAGAGCATTGAATCAGATCAGTGCGTACTGGTGCGTATTGACGATGGCATTCAATTTGATCTTCCCGGCAGCGTCTTCGGATTTCAAGACTGGGATCACTCTTGATTATGGTCAGTGTCTCGGCAGAATCGGCAGCAAAGACGGACGAAGACAACGCACTCTTCTGGATTGGCAGGATCAATGATCACAGACTCCTTTGTGGGCTCGTCGGTGACCAGGTAAGCATAGTTATTGCTTTTGCCCGTCCCTTCATGCTGCTCAGTATGTGCACATTGGCCGGTCGCGAGATTGGGAACCTACACATGGGAATTGTCTGGATACGCATGGCGATTGTCTTGGCCGAGAAGCGTCGTAGAGTATACGTTTGTGTTTATTTTTATGTATCACAAAAGTTGCGCGTGTGAGGGGAGGCTCCGCGGGGCAGCTGCGATGCTCACTAAGCAAAGTATTCTTTCTTGATCCGGGGAAGCTTCCCATCTCGACTTCCGCCTCCGTCTTCAGTACATTCCTACACGTCTTCGCAAAGCTAACAGTTACTCTAGGGCGATTATTATTGCATGCTTTCCTCCGGGTAAAAGCCGTTCAACCTCGCTCGAGCGCCGCATCCCACGTGACATAGTCAGGTTGCTACAAAGCACAGCCGTCCGTTCAAGGAGGCTTCAAAGGACGTAAGACAAGCCCACGCTAGTTACTCAATGGGGGATATGCTCTGGAGTCAGCACTTCACGACATCCCAAGTTGGAATTCCAAAGACTGCAACCGCGTCTGCATGCAAAGGGCACTAGGAGAGGCGAGAACAGCTACGGATTTGCAGCTACATACTGATAAGACAAACAAAGACTGGCAAATGACACAGCACAACAAATCTAGTTAGTGCATGAGGATATCCGATTGACAACATGTACGTCGGAGTACGTACTCGTACGTACGCTCCGTATATCAACCGTTGCTACGCAGTCGGTCGGTATTGTAAATCGCCGAGGTCTTAGCGCTGGCACCATAGCGCTTGCCTTGAAATCAAGAATCGAATATTATCTTTATGGTGGCTGATCAATGCATTCACTGGGGATTGTGCAAATGAGCTCAGTTCAGTGATGTACTACGTAGTAAGCGTAAGCGTAAGCGTGTGGCAGGCCCCTCCTGTATTTAAGATTAAGCACTGACCCCTCACCGATTTTAGCATTGGTTTCTCTCTCTTCGTTGCTTTTTCGCCCTCTCGGTAATGCAGGTGAGTGACCGGCTGCGACTCTCTTGACCTGTATAACCACGGAACACGCCGGCAGCCACCAGGCTTCGCTAGCATTCTCTCTGAATGTGATAGAGGGGAGTACGGAGTAAGGCACTCGTACATCACTCGGATTCTCACTTCATTTCGCATGTAGATCGAGGGGCACGCACTAACAATAACAGGTAGTACTCCGAAGTGCCACCAAAATAGAGTAATAGTAAATAGTACGGAGAGACCGAGGCCACACTTATAACTAGGCGTGACTGCAGGCAAAACATGGCATTCATCGTGTGAGTGGGTGGTAATATGTGCGACCGATCGGGGGGCTGATTCCACATCGTCTATCACAGTGGTTAGCACTGTACTCTGCGGACTGCGATTGGGGCGTTACGCCGGCCAGGGGCTACGTACTATAGTGCGGCGACTATAGTTGTGCGCAGCGTGATCGATCTCCAGCTATGTGCTCCGTGCGACGGTGAAACAGCGTCTCCTAGTCTAGGCAGAATGATTACAGCAAGACAAGACGTACGCCGACACAGCCACGTCGATAATAATATGTATTTACTATTCAGTTGCCTTTTCTGAGTTTGTATGAAGCGAAGCGGTTGGATCCACGGATGTTTATTGTTGATTGGCGCTGCCTCAGGCCGGCCACTGGTTCGCTAGGCCGCAAACGCACTAGCGCGCGCCGTCCATCTAACTAGGTCGAGAGGACCAGGGGCCAGCTGAACCCGGTGAGTCAGTTACATTCAACCACTCCGCCAGGATTAGCAATTAATCTGAACGCAAAACTCAAAAGACTCCCCCCCTTATGCGCCGAGGGTAGCCGTATTCTACGCGTAATTTCATGAGCTATCCAGACACGCCCGTCCATCTGTCTCACTGGCTCGACGATCCTGAAATTAGCCACGGAGCATTCGTCCTGCAGGTAAGCAAGCACTTGCTACCCAACCTGACCTGTATTCTGCTGCATGCAGTCAGTCGTCTGTGAGGATACCTCAGAATGGTCATACGCAACTCTGTTTTAACCGCCAGGCTACATTACATATGGCATGCCCCTAATCTTATCTGGGCAATCTGATGGGTTCCAAGTCGTACTCCGTGACAGGCGAGAGCCGGGGTGAAATCCTTGCCCCAACTCTAGCTCCGTCCCCAGTTTACGACTGAAACCGGCATGGTTGCTCCTTAAGAGAGGGCTATTGACGCCATTTCGTCACACGCGAACCGCGTGGTTGTCAATGTCAACCGGTGGGGGCATCGACTAAGTTACTATCGATTGCTCCCTCCTATCCACAACCGCTGGCCTTCTGGAACACAGCGTAGTAGACCGACCTAAACGAAACACGTAAACGGCAACTCAACGGAATGACCTAACGAATCGGACGCCAGGTCAGCACAGACGTCCGATCACATACTTGCCCTTCATTGTCCTGCGTTTGCCCGCCGCCGCCCAGCCTCGCTTTGTATGTTCTATTTCGGTTCTGGAGGCTACATCTATCTATCTATCTATCTGAGGGAAGGATGAGATTGCCTGCCAGTGCTTAGTCATGCCACTATTGGCTGGAAGACTGGTTATTCCGTCGACGTTCACAGCTTATCACATACTGCATCCAGCTAGCCTGCAGACAGACCTATCTATAGGTAGAATTATCGGCGCCTTTTTACTTTTGGCGTTGTTGCACTTGGTTGTTGCTTTTTGGGAAATGCAATTCGACAAACGCAGGCATGTGTCTATATCAGGCTATCACGCAGCTAACTATCGCCAAAAAAGTAATGGCGGCCTTTTAATATCCGGGCCTACCGGAGCACACACGAAGCAGAGATCTCCAGGTCGTTGGATACAAAGAAAACTGGTTATGCTAGTTAACTACTCCGTATTGTTCCAAAAAATTAATATAGCCTGAACATTCAATTCGTATTCGGGCTCCACCTCCTGCGATAACATTAAAACTAAGCTAATTTATTTCGTAGGCCGTAGTAATAAATGTCGGTGTCATCCATTTCTTACCCACCGTAATTGGAAGTACGGTATTTTATTGCGGTGGCAAGCAAGGCCGGAAATACGGCTTTTCGTTCCTTCACGTTCGGTAACTTACCATACGCAGCAGCACTGCGACTATGGTTTATGCGCTGTGACCTCGCCCTGCAGCACGTATTGTAATTACCCCCACCAGCAAGTAGAAGTACCAAATACCAAAATACCAGAAAAGTAAAACGCTACCTTGGATCCAGGGTCATGGCCGCTGTCCGCCATGAATCAGATTCGTGTTCCTTTCCTTAGTGTGCCCTTGTTTCCATGTCATTCTTCGTCATCCTCCACCCATTTTATTTTATTGTGCTGTGTTTTTCTTAATCTTCATGCATCCGGGACCGTTGCGCTGCTCCACCGCTGAGCATGCCCATGCCATGCTTAGTTGAAGTCTGATTCACGTCTCAGAAGTTAGAACTGACTTTTCCTTTTTTTTTTCCCTATTCATTTTATTGACTAGTCCGTAGTTATTTCATTAATACGCACCGAGCCATAAACCATGACTGGGCCTCCTCCTCCTCCATTCGCGGCCGAGTCATTCTGTCTGCCCCTCTGCTCCCTTTTATAACCCTCGCTCCAGCCCTGTCTTCTTTCTCTTTCACTTCCCTTACAACAATATTATCATCATCATCAACAAGTCCCAAGAGAAACGACATGCTCACCATGGGTGACTACGGTCAGCCTTCCTATCTACCGCTGCATTGGAATGCCCACCAGTCCTTGATGCTTGCCAATGAGGCTCCGGCCAGAAACTATCGCAAGGTCCTGTCCAGGGTGACCAAGCCCAGCAGCGCTGGCAACAGTCCTCACTCACATGCACGTTCGCGGAATGCCCCGCAGGCCATGCCAATCAACACCGATGTCTTTTCAATTCAGAACTCTTCTTCTGTTCAGAGCACTGTCTCAATCCAATCACAGAAACAGCCACGGCCTACCAGCTGGCATCCATCATTGAGACAATTGCCTTACTACGTGCCCAACTGCCACCCCTCGTGGCTTCGTGATGTCTCTGTCTCTGATCTCGAGCCTCAGCCAGGAATGGCATCTATGTACAGCCTCTCCACGCCCATAACGTGCCCCATGAGCGGGGACCTGCTGTCAACCAACGATTACTTCGCAACTCAATCAGAATCATACAACTACCTCCCTCCTGGACCCCAGGCCTACACGCCTGTAGAACCTCCAGACATGCTGTTCTCTGAGCCTTCAGAGTGGTCCACCTTCGGCATGGATGGAACACCGCTGTCGGCTTATCCCTGGATGCAAAACCCCATTGCCTCGACAGACGCGGCTGTTGACTTTTGCTGCCATGAGAGCGTCGCGTCCGCCGATGACCCCACTGCGCCGCCAACTCCAGACCAGAATCCTCAAGATTGTCCGCCCAGCGGCGTCAAAGGCGATGATCTAGTAGCTCTCGGCTTGTACGACGAGCCTCAGCCGCTATCTTTCAGCAGCGCCTTACTTGGCGGCGGTTATGATGACTTTGCATGCCACCGTACGGGCAAGGGACTCAAATTGGAAGAAACCTTTACTCCTACTCCGGAAGCCGACGATGAAGACGATGAGGACGCCGATGCCGATGCCGATGACGAAGACGGCGAGGAGCAGTAGTCATTTCTTTCTTTTTTCTTTCTTCTTCACTTTTTACATTTTTATCACTTTTACGTGTTCTCATACGTAAACGATTACGATGAGACTAGAGCATAGCCTGGAGTTTTGAGTTTGCTATTTCATGTATCCTGTTAAGGAAAGGACGATACCCCTTGTTGTTTCAGTCAATGCATTAGTAGTAGTATTATTGTCTTCTTATTACCTCACATCTTATTCTCTTATTCCCTCATAGAAAGTCAAAAAGTGTAAGAAAATCCCGACAATTCCGTGCTAATACGTACACGCGCTCTGATTGGGCACCAATTCAAGATGGCGGTCCGAGCTTTTTTGCTTCCTTTTTTTCTCTCTTTTTCTGTTTCCCTTTTTGATTTGTGGCTGGCAGAGTGGGGCCACGCCAGGACATTCTAGACCCTTTGGCCTTGCTGCCTGAATTTTAAGGTTTACCGCGGGGCGAAGGCTGTTGCTCGGAAGAACGCTTTCTCCGGGGCTAAGCTCGTTTCTTTTCTCTTTTGGGAATTTTTTCTGATTGATGTGATTGGCCACCTACGATTGGTGTCTTTTAATATTTTGACGATTTATTCAATTGAGGGAATATGAGAATATAAGAATACGAGTTATATGAAATCCGCAACATGCCGAAAATTACTATCACGCCCTGGAGGAATATCACGGAATTGCTGGACGTGAGATCCAAGTTCTATCCTTCGTCGTCGTCCGCGAGCGATTCACGCTCTGATGCATGTCGAGTTGTATGTATATTTTTTTTAAACCCTAGGTATCGGACCGTATCAGATTGGCATTGCTAATTATTCATGCCCAGGTCGAAGCATGGAAACTACGCGGCCATCTCCCTCACGCCGTCGAAGCCACCGCTCTCTTGACTGATGCCATATTGCACGATGACGCCGAGCGCAATTCCGTGTTTGCCATCAGGGCTACGTATGCAGCTGCTTTCTCTAGGTACGTACTTCATCCTCAAAATTCCTGAGGACAGAGATACTCACGGTGTATCATCAGATTCGTCACGGGCCTTGTCGACACCAAACTAGGCGTCCATCGAGGCACCATGTTCAGTCGTGCCTCCATGATCGGCCTACCACTCTCCTTTGTCGAGTTGCGTCATGAAGCTGCGCATCGCGAACTACCTTCTTTAGTCCTGCTAAGGAACTATACAAATCGCGCACTGGAGTGGTTGTGGGGCTACTATTGGGCCAAAATCGATGCTCCTTTACCCTCGTCTGCTACTTTGACCGAGGCAGGTACCTCGTCAAGAACGCTGACAGAAGATAGTAATGAGCGAGATGACTTGACGATACGGATTAGGCATCTCTTGAAGCAGCAACAGCCAGACTCTTCGGCTGGGCCTCCGAGCAAAAAACTCAGGTCTACATATCTCCCCCTCGCCCAGTCGCTGTCGTCTGTTTGCAGCGGTAGTCATGAAGGCGCCCTGGTTTTATCTCGGGTTTTACTCGAAGAGGGCTTTCTTGTTCCGAAGGATAGACTGTGAGTTATTCCCTGCCATTTCAAGAGGATAAATCTGATATCGAAAACTAGATTTGGCACATCCATGGAAAGATCATTCTCGACCTGGGATTATACCCTACAAACAATCTCAAACTCTCACCAAGCCTTCCTGACTGTCCTAACCGAAGAAATGGCCAAAGAACTTGACTCAGCAAAGGACAATACACCTTCGACAAAAGAACACCCATACCTCCAAGGCGTCTATATGTGGCTCGAACATATCTTGACCTCCGATAACTGGCAGAAAGAGAGTCTGCTGCTAGGATCTGTGTCTTATATTCGAACTCTGTGTCGCGTGTCTCCTAATCATTGGACTACTATGCTAGAGAGAGTGTTGTTATCATCATTACCGACGCTGTCTGTTTCGGAGGTTTTGTCTTCCTCTGATAAGCTGGCTGGCTTTGAGGTAGAGGTTGGCAGCAGTTAGATAGGGTGAATATTTTAATTGGTTGCTATGTATATATTTCTTTACTCGAGAACATTTTGATACCATGCTATTCAGACCCTAGTGTTGTTATGCTTCCTCAGACGCCGTTGGAGAATCTACGAACTCTGTGCTTGCAATAGTTCATATTACCATTCTGGGAGATACCTAGGGGCTAATCTCTAGGTATAATACTTTCCAGCCTTGTGCTGGTTTCTGTATGGGTGCAACCCATATGTTTTGATGCTTTCTTTTTATTCTTGATCCTAGTTTGAAGGATTCCCTAGAAGCTGATACTACATGATGCCTATTATATATGTATGTGTATGCGCTATGACTTCCAGGTTGATATGTAATACTATGTTAGTTTTGAGATTCCGCTCTCCAGATGGATGATCTGCCGGTAATCTGGAGTCTCAAGAAGGGAGACCAATCTACGGCCGCCGCAGGATCGAATTTTCAACCAAAAGAAACTGAGTTTCATTTTTGTTTTCTCTGGTTTGGTCTCAATGGGTAGTATTGCGAATTGGCAGGTATTTCATGCTTCATTTGAGGTTGGATCCATGGTTATGAGACTTTCGAGCTTCTCCCCGGTGATTCCCCTGATTGAATTCATATCATCGTCGGAATCAAGCATCTGAAGTGTATCCCATAAATATGAATGGGAGTTAAAATGCACATGCGGGGTGCTCCAGGGAAATTGTTGCAGCCTTGAACCTTGCTACCTTAGGCTATTGCATATAAGCCTAGGGGCTTCCACACCTGGCATCTTGTAGATTGATCCCTGCTGGAATAACCCAATGCATACAGGCTACGCAGAATGAAGTGGCACCGTATACTATTCTAGCCATTGCGTGTCTTCTCCTCTTGCAATGGAAAACTCTTCCAATCAAAGTCCCAGGTGACCTCCTCGGATCTGGAAAGCCAAAGAAATGCAATAACTTCTTGGAGTCTCTTTGATAGTTCAAACACTTCATCCCAGTCATATTCCAGCTGTCTGGCAGTTTGCAATTCAATTTCCCCTTTCTCAATTTCTCTAATCTTCATATGAGCATTAGTGCACAATATTGACCTAGAAATAAGAAATGACCGAGCCAAGCGCCTTGCAACTTCACCATCTTCTCGTTCCAAACCATGAAACCCAATGATGGAGATACGCAGCTTTCTCAACCGCTTTCCACCACTACTTGAATCAATCACGCCCCAGATCGCCTTAGCCTGTGTGCCATCCACGGCGGCGTTGATAAAAACATCCTTAATGGGCAGTTTTGGAGTCTGCTCTGAAAACTGATTCCAGTCTCTGGCCATGCTGTCACGAGGATTGCAGTCCAGGTCTAGAATGAGGCTGTGAAGTGCAGGAAATTTGCCAAGTGCTTCATACAGTTGACATTCAGTTTCGTCCCCTAAAGAACGTCTGATGGGAAGACGTAGTTCTTCAAGCAAAGGCGCATGGCTAGCAAGTTCAATAAGGTCTTTGTTATGTAAGACAGAATATAATGGACGTATTTCTTCTGGCCGTTGGCCACCTGGAATGACAGGTTCGAGAATCAATCCTCGCAGGGCTTTACCATGGTGAGCAAATATCTCATGCATGATAGTCATATCACGGGGAGAGCAGACGCGAAGATACTTCAGCGGCTTCAGAGCAGCAAACATAAATCTCAAATCATTTTCAAACCTCAGGCGTGGTATACCAGGCGGTACTCGGCGATCAATATGTAGATATTCAAAAGTCTTTAAACATTGAGAGCTGAGTCATGATATCTAGCGGGAAGATGTAAAAGGGAAGTTCGACTGCTCGCACGGAAGATAGATCTGCCGATTCACTCCAAGCCATAAGCGCATTATAGTTCATGCCTGAAAAACTCACTGAAACTGGAGTAGCCATGTAATGAGGATTGGCTGAAGCTATATATTCCGCCCAAATTTGATTGCTTTTAGTGACCTCGTCTTCAGTACTAGCAAGGCCCACTAGATCTATATGTTTGAGATTCGGGGCCATTGTAAATTAGTGGGAAGATACAGTCGACCACAACGTTCGGTGGTTTGGAGCTACCAATATGGTAGAATATCGAGAGCGCATGTAAACAAGGTGATCGTAGAAGGCCCATCTCAAAATGGTCATCATACTCAAACATTGTCGTGAAGTCCTTCTCTTGGGGACCCGGTTCATCAAGCCTCAAGAATTGTATACCCCAGACACTTAATTGACAGATTGGGTGGTATTCATGAATCGCTTCAAGAAGACATTTAGGAAATATATTTCGAAACAAATAGTAAATCTCTGTTAAATGCACCATGTCTCCTATCAAAGCGATTAATGGCTCGATTCAAGACTAGGTGGCAGATATTGTGTCAGATACTTATCAGTAAAGAACCCTGGAGAGCCAAAGTTATGAGGTATTAGATCCCGCGCTCTGATATTCTCATCAGGGCGGCGAATTTCAAAATTCGACAGCCTGTTACTGCGATAGCCTTGCTGGTGGATATTCGGTGTGGCCATCAGATTTAGACGTCTCGCATAAACGAGAAATTGTTGTCGATAAGGATTTTTTTGGACCTCCCTCACAATGTTCTCGAGGGATTCATAGTCCGAGAACCTCATATTCAGGGTCTCGTAGATCAATGGGACTGCTATTTCATAGAAACGATGATTCACGAGGCTCCAGGAATAGAAGTCTTCGTGATCGAAGTCGCTATCTCGTGCCTAACAAACTAGTCAGCATCATTTTGCGCGGAGGGAGTTGGGCTTGATCATTTACATATGCACACATAATCTTGAAGGACATCTACGGGGAGTCTGTCCATGTTGTTTAGTTACGATTACAGGATATAAGAATATGAACCAACATGTTCGGAAAACGTGATGGATTTACTTTTGAGGCTCAAGAAGAGGCTAGCATGAAAACAGCTTAGCGCAAACTGTAAAGCAAGTCGGCGACCAATCAGCGAGAGTTCCCGAATTAGCATAACTGCGCAATATCAAAAGGGGTCATCTGTTACCATGAAAAGGACAGAGACTTGAGCTGTGAGTTTCGACAGGCGTTGATGACAACATTTCGCAAACTTGCCTCATCTTCTGCTACATGTTGATGCAACAGTTAACAAAACTGCATCAGAGAAATTAAAAGGACTACCTAATGATAAGCAAAAGATTTGTTTACATGTCCCCGAATATCTATCTAAAACCGCATTATCCAGTGTCTGAATGTGTATACACATTGCAGCTTTTCTCGACAAGTCACCTGGCCGGGTCGACTGAGACGTCGAGTGTTCACGTCGAATGTGACGAGAAGTTACTCCAGTTGCGCATCTGATACCCAGTGACCTCCAGCTGAGCAGCGATACCCGCCATTTTGCTTTATCCACCGGTATCCCACTGGACACACTCCCATCTTTCTCAATTTTGCCTGTGCTTCTTGTTCCTTCCTACGGGCTTTTTCCCTAGCTTCTTTCTCCTTGCGTATCTGCTCCAACACAGCCTCTTGCTGTCGGCGTTCCATCTCATGTTGCAACCGCTCTTGTTCGTGGCGCATTCTGGCCTCCTCATCGCCTTTCCGCTGTGCTTCTTTCAACTCGTTGATTGCACGTTCTTCATCTTGCTTCAGCTCAAGAAGCTGCTTCGATTGAGCTTCTTCCTGCTCTTTAAGCTTCAGCCACTCCTTTTCTCGATCTTCTGCGGCGAGTTTGTCTCGCTGGAGTTGGCTCCACACTTCATCCGTGACACCGGTATCACGAGAGTCCATATCTGTAGGCTGCTGAACAGAACAAGTTTCTTCATTCTTCGTCTCATTTTCGGATTGCATCGAGGAGGAGTTGGAGGAGTTGGAGGCTAGGTGAGTAGGAGCACTGAGCTGCTGCTGGACTAGATTTTCCATGTTTTGTAATTGCTGTCTCACTGGTCCTTGCTCTCTTTTCGACCGTTCTTTTATCATAGAGTCCAATTCCCCAAGCACCATTTCTTCTGTCAATGCAAGTGCTCTCCCGTTGTAAGCGCTGATGACTCTTTTGAATATGCCCTTGGCGAGTGAGCCAACGTCTCGCGCATTTGCCCAGCCCTCCACCTTAGATAGACGGTCGAAACTACTGGATAGGCTTTCTTTGAAATCATGGCTGGGGCATTCAAATACAGCCAAATCAAGATCCGCCTGACCCTTGTTTTTCAGATCTTTCTTCCTCTTCAAAAGCAAATTATGTAGCAATTCAAAGCAGTCTGTTGGACAAAAAGGCTTGAACTGAATGGATTCGGGGAATCGACTTGTGAGGCCCGGGTTAGTAGACATTAATTGATTGATTTCCGAGTCGTAGCCGGCTAGGATGATGATCAGCCGTTGTGCAAACTGGGGTTTAGTGATGCAATCCACAAGCTCGTCCATTGCTTCTTTCGCAAATACTCCATCAGCCAAGCGGTATGCCTCATCGATGAACAAGACTTTCCCGAGGGCTGTTTCGAGAAGGCTTTGCGTTTTGGGTCCTGTCTGTCCTACATACTGACCCACCAAATCCGTAGCTGAGGCTTCGATCACCTCTGCAGAAGCAAGCAAGCCCATGTCGTAGTAAACCTTGCCCATTTTTCTAGCCGTGCTCGTTTTGCCAGTTCCTGTTCAAAATAACATTTAACATGATGAATCAACCAAAGCAAAAAAGCTATATAGATAGATACGTACCTGGTGGACCTCGGAATAGAAAATTAAATGGCACTTGCTCTCGAGGATTCATTTTCACTTGCTTGAGCTTCTTGACCATTTGTATATTTCCTTCCAGCTTGGCGATGATCTCCTCGCATCCCACCACACCTTCAAATAGCATGGCAATATTTGTGTCAGCTCGCTCGGCACGATCATGATCTTCATCAAAATCTTCGGCATCAAGGACAGAGTTAGATGCATCAATTGGATTTCCACTAGAGGAAAGACGTTTTTGGTAGCGCATTTTCGCGGAATTGAGCAAAATATCAACCTCACCAGCATTTCCGAAATGTGGTCGATTGCGGGCTCGCTCTAACATCTCTAAGACCACCCTTCGACCCTGTTCAGTAATACCGAATCCTTGCTGCTTCAATTTCAGAGTAAGAATCTTATCTAACTCGTCTTCTGTGAAATCCTCGAATTGAAAGGCATGATCAATGGGAAACCGTCGGCTGAGACCAGGATTTACGTTTTGAAACATCTTTTGCATTTGGTCTTTGTAGCCTAGTAGCAAAACACACCGATCCTCCCCGGGCGTGCTTTGAACCTCTGCCACGATGGTGTCGACAACAGCACTTCTATACGGATCGCTCTTGGCGGATGTGCCGTCAGAAGTTCCTCCTGCAAACAGGCCGTAGGCTTCATCAATAACTAGAACTTTTCCCATTGTGGATGCCAGGATGCCTTTGGTGTTTTTCTCGGACTCCCCCACAACACTGCCAACAAAGTCAGAAGGGTTTTTTACCACCACTAAGTAAACAGTCAGAAAGAACACACGTTGGCATTAATATAATTGACATACCTTCGCCGTTTGATAGCAGTCCAATATCAACAAGTATCTGTCCATAGAGCTTGGCAACTGTCGTTTTGCCGGTCCCGGGGGATCCTAAGAAGACTCGATTCAGGCTGAATTCGACCAATGACTGCTCCTGCAGTTCACGTTGGTAGTTATATTGGACACTATCCAATAGTGCCTTGACAGTATTTTTCACCGACTCCAGTCCGATCATCTGCTTCAACTTTTGCCAGGCGGATGAGTTCTCCAAAGCCTGAGATGGTTCTGGCCCGATAAGATCCTCTTTGGTGAGGAGGAAATCGTCAACCTTGGAGCCTCGGCTTCGTCTCTCTCGCTTTAGTCGTCTAGATTGTCGATCTGAAATCCTAGCCATCGCGTTTTCAACCGCTCTCGCGTTGGCAAAACCCTCACGGCCACGACCTTGGCCAACACGGCGAGCAACAATGCGGCAATAGAGTCCTCCAAAGCCAGCTTCAACCTTCATTGGCGGGTTCTGGTATTTCTTCTTGATCCTGTACTCCAGGATTTGCATTAGCTCGTTGTCATCATAATCGTCAAACTTCAATTCATGTGGGAATCGACTAGGTAATCCCGGATTATGTGAAAAAAACTTCTCCATCGGTCGTTGATATCCTGCAAGAATGAAAACGATCTTCCCTGTGCGGTTTTCAACCTCCGCCAATAAGAAATCAAGGACTTGTGTTCCACCAAGAGTATTTCCCTGCACAAGTTGATATGCTTCATCAATAAAGAGGGCTCCTCCACCGTTATTGAGGATATTGTCGATGATCTTCTGACATCCCGAGACACCATCGTTTGCCAATCTCGATCCTGTGGTCTCAACAAAAGCATTCCCTGGAGTAATGCCCATGGATGCAAGAAAGTTTGCATAAAGTCGCGCCACTGTCGTCTTTCCGGTGCCAGGATTCCCAAGCAAGACAGAGCCAAATCGTTCTCCTTTAAGATCAATATTTTGCCTCAAGGCTGTGTCCACTTTGTCCTTTATGGAGATGAATTTCTCCTTGACAGTCTCGAGTCCAATCATTTCCATCATTGAATCAATCTCTGAACTCTGGGCATTGAGAAACGTTTTCTGGTATTCCCATTCATCTTTGGTCTCCGAAGGCTTGGGTGTTGTCTCTTCTTGCTGAACAGAGGGATTCTGCTTATAATTTAGGGGACTCTCTCTATCAGAAGCAGGGTTTCTATCCACTGTTTTAGTTGCCTGATTCGGTCGAACATCAGGCATACCCTGTGCGACCGGATCAGGCAGCCTGAGAGGATTTTTGATCCTCTCAATTTCATCCCAATGCTGCTTGAGCGTTCTCGATCGCTCTTCATCCTCGAATTTGTCGCGCTGAAAACGCTTCAAATGAGCGATTTCTTCCTGGGCATCGATGAGTGCTTGAGTGTATTGTTTTTGCTTCCTATCCCGCTCCGCATCGAGTATAAGATCTCGTTGACGTTTGCGCTCTTTTGCAATATCTTCCTGGTTACAATATCTGCATGAACCCTTGGCCTTAGCGCAAGGCTGAGAGATATGATGTCCGCGTGAGCAGCTCCACTCAATAATCTTCGTACAGGTCATCTTTGAATGATCCGCAATTTGATGACACTTGGAAGGACACTCGTGAAGCCCACAGTTCAACTTAACGCCACTAAGTAAAATGGTCAGCATTCTCGCATTGGCATGAACGCCCAAGAGGGAATTCTTACCAAGGTGCAGGACAGCCTCCATCCGGACATTCTGTTTCAAAGTCATCTTTTGTCTTCAAAATCGCAGTCCTATCTGGATGTCGCTGACAGTAGACGGGTAATCCGTCGTAAAGATGTCCCTTAGACTTGAGTTGGTCAACGAACGGTCGCCAGCACTTTTCCCCCTTTCGGCTTGAGATAAAAGTCTTGGAATTTCCAACCATAATCAAGGCATTTCGCGCTCGCGACAATAGAACGTTCAAACGTTGAGGAGCGCTCATGAAGCCGATATCACCGTTTCCATTACTCCTCGTTAACGAAGCGATGACGATGTCACTTTCTTCGCCCTGATAATTGTCTATTTGCCATGTTAGAACCAACCCCCACGAAACAACACATTCCGAGTACTTACCTATCGTTGAAAGCTTGATCTTCCGCTTTGAGTGGTTAGCACTAGCCTGGGAGAGCAGGCCAGCCTTGACTAGATCGTAGGAATCAAGATCGTTGAGCACCGGATCATTGTGTTTGCTTAACATTGTCTGTAGTAGACACAATTGGCCAAGATATGGAGTTAGAACCACCAATTTGTCTGTCCCATATCCTTGCTGCCCAAGGTATTTCACAATCTGCAGCACGATCTCGGCTTCAAACATATTCTGCTTGCTTCGTGTGGAATTCTCATCCCGCCTATCAGTGATTTGTGCGAAACTGGTTTCTGGATTCTCATGCTGAAAGAAAATAACTCTATCTCGTAGTCCAAGTGGTTGAGGTCGATTCTTCGTTTTGGGGGCGTCTTCCAGGGCAGGATAGGTAAGGTGGCGCACCAAAGTAGAGATCTCAGGGCTCATTCTATGTTGTTTCAACAAAGTCGTGTGCGGATATCCCGCACCAATAAGTCTCTCAAAAAGGGAAACATTGAGATCATATCCATCCCCCTTCTCAATAGTTAGACTAAAATTATTGATCTTGGGCCGGAGTTGTAAGTGATCTCCTATCAATACCATCTGCTTGGTCTCCGGTACCAACGAGGTAAGGACATGAGACTCGAGGATCTCGCCAGCCTCCTCGAGGAGGATGATTCCAGGCGCCACATTACGAAGCAGCTCTGAATACATCGCTGCTGCTGTAGTAGTGCAGCCTATGATGCGCTTGGAGGCCAGAATTTTTCCATCTCTCTCATTCCAGACGCTATTCCATTTAGCATAGCATTTGTTGATTTGAGATGCCTGTGTCTTTAAGGCTTCGCATTGTTCATCCAATAACGTGCGTTTCCAAGAACGATGCTTTTCTTGTCGCAAGTCTCTATTCAACTTCCATACGGCGTGGCAAGTCTTGGGAAGGGATTTCTCGAAAACTCCAGCGGTATCACCATGAATCCATCGTTTATAAAGATAGTCTTTCTGGATATCACTTCCACCACGGCCAACCGTAGTCATGCCATCTTCATTCTCCGGGACTGTTAGCGCCTCGAAGAATTCAGGCTCCTCGAATTCAAGATATTCTATGATCATGTCATAGTCATTCTTTCGGCTTTGATAAGCCTTGAACTTTTCATCCAAGTCACTCTTAAGTTCGGAAGCTTCGGTTTCTAGACTGTTGATAATCCTCCATGATTCTTGAGATCTCTTGTAGGCCAACCTCTGCTCTGACAATTTGAGTGACTGGGTCCGCGTCGTTGACTTGGAACCTAATCTCACAATGGCGGAAGAGTTGATACCAATATCCTGAAAGTCTTCCAAGAACTGATCCAGAGCGTGATTGGTATAACACATCACGAGAATTTTCTCTTTCGTATTGTCATGAAGCACTTTGGCCAGGAGAGCACCGATGAATGACTTTCCGGTACCTACAAGACATAAACCTGTCAGTGAACTCAATTTTTCAAATCTCTCACATAGGACGCTCCAGACTATCATACCAGGTGGTCCTTGAATTAAACTGACTCTCTGGGTTAAACCAGCCAAAAGCGATTCGAGCTGGGAGGGATCTAACTTCGCCCCTTTGGCCGTCTTTAGAATGCTCTGGATGTCACCATCCCCCTTTGCTCTCAGTTTGTGGATTAAATCCACCGGAATCAAATCAGACTCTCTTGGTGACTGGTCACTTTTGTACAAGAACAACTCGTCAATAAGAGGGAAATCTAACTTGTCCTGAAGGCATTTCAAGATCGGGTGGTAAGCAAAAATAGGAGCATCAACTAGAAGAAAATCCACATCATCATAGAGCTTCAGATATAATAGAGTCTTATGAAGCGGCTCATCGCCGGCAACATGCAGCATGATTACAGGAGAATCCAGAATCAGCTTATCGATGTCCCTCTCTATCGTGGCGAAGGCCACAATGTCGGCTCCACGGACCAAACATCCGAAGGCTTGATGCTTCAGAAAATTTCGATTGTTGTTCAAAAAGTCTTTCCGATCCTCTTTTGAAATACGTTGGAAGTTATTCAAGCCCGATCTACAGTGAACTCCAAGGGTGCTTGGTTGTAGTCGCCTTTTGCTATCATCGCCACCGGACAAGGAAGCAACAGAGAGACCCCCGAGGCGAGATGCAGGGCGACGTGTTTTATTTTTCCCTCTGGCAGCTTGAACATCCTCCCTCAATTCCGACAGCATGTCCTCCCGCAGGAGACGGAACTGGTTGTCAATGTGAGCTGCAACCCGTTGGTCTCCATCAAGCTCTAAGATATCCTCGGCACGGCGATAGAATGGTTTCTCAGCGCAGCCAAATTCATCAGGGGTGGGAAGAATGGCAATTCTGCGGAAATCTTGGAAGTCGTTATCATGACGACCTCCGGCAGTGTACGTCAATGTGTTGACTGCGCCAGAAGACTTCATTTGCAGCAGGTATTTGATCTTATTCCCGAGATTACGTAGATCGATATTTGTCGAGAGGAAGATCGACCCTTCATCCATCAATGCTTGGGCGTCAGCGGTCACATCTAGCCCACTAGAGTAGGGCAACGAAAGCATTTCTACCATCATCCAGTAGAACCAATAGACCGCCTCTTCGTCTAGTTTTCTGGCTCTCAGCGCCTCGATGAAGGCATTCCACAGTGTCCGTGGCTCAAGGATGATGGCCAATAACTGTTCAAGAAACTGTCCATTGCATAGTTGCTTGATTCCAGGATTGCTCAGGAATTGCACGAACTTGGCCGTGTATTTGTTGATAAACTCCGCTGCGATATTCGATCGCAAGCCTTGCCTGATAGAACTCAAGGCGCTCTGACTAGCAATGAGTCGCTCAACTAGACGGGCAGGATCACCTTGATCCAAAATTGCCTCTAGGAACCTTTTGAAGTCGGTCGAATTTTCGACTTTATCTTTGCCAGAAATCACGCCTGTCAGGAACTTTGCTAGGCGATCTGATCTGCCTTTATTTCCAGACATTGTAGCGAAGTACCTCGATGGTGAGGTGGAAGAAAGAGTGCGAAATATTGGAAGAGGGAAGACAAAGGCGTGAAGAGAAATGTAACATTTTATAGATAGTATTTTAATTCAAGATATCCGGGCAAGACCGTATATCCCTTTGAAGAAAAAAGAAAAGAAAAAAGCCATGCCACTTTCAACCCCGCTCCTCAAAGTACAAGTCACCGCAAGATCCCTGGCAATTTTGTTAGGCTGCGAGGAGATAAGCACCAAGGCTGCAGAAAGTAGAGAATTAGGCACTCCTAAGAGCTTTGCCTTTGTTTTCCAGGAAAGCTCGCCAACAAGCGCCGAAAAGTTAGCACTGGACTGTTCTGCTTTATGATTTTCGCCCAGGTTTCACGTCAGCTTTTCAACGTTAGTCACTTTACTACAACACAATAATATCTTTTCTCAGCAGTATGTCTCGTGCTTCCCAGAGTAATTGGGGTAGTCGCGGTTACCGCCAAACAGCTACTAAGAGGCCATGGAGACAACAAAAGTCCATACAGCAGAGTCCTTCTCCGCCGATGGGAGAAGTTCTCGCAACGATTCATCAGAAAGATCTTCAAGACTCGGGTTTTGATAGTAAAGACACGGCCTCAATCACTGAAAGCCAATACTTGTCGTCGTACAACTTGCTGAATCGAAAAGATAATAGTATTCTTGTCCCAGGTGAGGATATTTATTAACATGTATCAGAGTTCTGCTAACAGAAGTGCGATCAATAGGCGAGCCACCAGTCTGGACTCCGCTCTCAACGCCGACTCAGTTGCAGAACGATTCGGGAGAGTATTTTCGAGATCAAAATGCTGCTCGCTTTCCGAAGTTCCCTATCCAGCCCATGGTACAGGCAGTTCTCGCAGAGAATCCAGATTTCCGTTTTCAAGACATTGATATCATTGCTTGTGGGAGTACCCTTGGAAACCTGTTACGTTTTGTGCGGCGACAAAATCATTCTTTCAGAATGCTCGTCGAGGCCATCGGCAACGCTGTGTTTTTTATAAGGAGAGAGAACTCACCCACTGAAAAGATCCCAAATGTGTACGGTTATGGCCACGCCTTCCCAGAAGCATATACAACATGGTCCGTGACAGTCAAGAGTTCTGAATCTCACCAACGCATAATGAAATATGATTTCGCGGGTCTCAAATGTCTTGTGCGCTTTCAGGCAGATGGTTATCTGCCAGAGCTTGTGGCTAAAGGAAAAGAGAAGCATCACAATGGCGGCCTCAAGCATGATAAAGACCTGTCAGAGGATGACCTTATCTTGTCCATCAAGGAAACCACGCTCTCAAACATTTCCGCAGAAGCCATGAGCGAAACAGGCCAACCCCTAAAAATGTCAGAGGCGGGTAATCACATTCCACAATCGGCAATTTTTGACCTCAAGACTCGTTCTATCAGGAAGAAGAATGAGGAAGACACGATTGGGGAAGAGTTAGCTCGCTTATGGATTGCTCAGATTCCAAACTTTCTTCTCGCTTATCACACTGCCGGGGTGTTTAGCGACATCCAGATCCGCGATGTACGGGAGGACATCGAGAAGTGGGAGAAGAAACAGCAGCCAGCTTTGATGCAATTTGCATACTTGCTGAACATGATAGTGACTTTCGTGCGAAGCTCAGAACTTGGACGATTGGAAATCACCCGTAAAGAGGGAAGCTCTGTCTTGGAACTACGGGCGCAGTGTCAAGATGCGAGAAGGGCTCTACCACCATCGTATCTGGATCAGATATTGGATGAGGCACATGGAGATAGCTCAGGCAACTCAGATACGGCGAATGAAGGCGGCATCTTACTTACTTGGGATGACGACGAAGATGAAGAACAAGACTACACAGCCTGTTCGGCCAGCACTTGTGGCTACTGCGGACATTGCAAGCATAAGCATTAGCATTAGGTGCTGGTTCTTAGGGATGTCGTTGGTGAAGGAGGGAGTGGACGAAGGAAAAGGAGCGGCGCTATCCCTTTTTTAGCATAACCAGATAGTACACCTCAGGTTGCGAAAAGTCAGAACAGCGACTATACCATAATAACATAAACAATAGCAATACCTTCTTTTCAGTTACTTGTCCTCTTAGCAGCTTCTAGGGTGCCCTAGACACGTTGTTTGATTTATGTAATCATGCAGCCATATGTACTTATCAGCACGTGATGATAAGGAGGGGGTTGACATCATCGATGGATGACAACCCAGAAACACTCCCAAGACGAGAAAAACCAGAAACCACGTCAAAAGTCGAACGAGCAAAAAGTGCCATTGGAGCAAAAAGCTCACAATGGCTCAACAAATTGGTAGCTCGCAAATGGCCATTGAAGATTTTGTGTGTTTTCTACTCCAATTCCTATCTGTTCCTATTCCTCCCAGTGTGAAAGGAGGCGATCCAATGGGAGAAAAAGACGGAGAACAAGAGAACTAACAAGGACCTTGACGGTGCAGACTAATGCAGAGCTAGGCAATGATTCAGGAACTCAGAATCACGTTGAAGTGAGCGAACTTGAATTGTTCTTCCCCTTTCATGGAAATGAGCTAATTGGATGTTGCATCTGCAGATAGTCTTCGGTCCCGACAGCGATCACCGTCGCAAGTCATCCCTTGTCGCATCTGATGACCCCAGGATACGCCGCCGCAGATCCGATTCTCACGACAAGAATACTGCTTGTTTTGTGCACTCGCTCCTAAATGGAGAGTGGAACATACCACACGAAGAAAATGAAGAAGATGATGACGACGAGATTGCCAGGAGACCAATGGACTTCGAACCCTCAAACCGGGACAGTGAATTGAGGGAATATGATCGAGTAGCTGTCGTTGATTATGCCAGTCGCCTTCCCGATCAAAGCGTGCCAACAGTGGTGCATTCGCGGCACTTGACGAAACGGCAACTCTCAGACATGGCGTGGAATGTGCGCAAACTATCGAAACGTTTGGGCGGTATCAAGCTCAAGTTGATGGTCAAGTCCGTCTTTATAGTGACCAAGGCGCATGATGAGTCGCTAATAAAGTTGACGAGAGACCTTACTCGATGGCTCCTTTCAAAGGATAGGGATGCTCTGTACACTGTGTACGTGGAGCAGCCCTTGGAGCGTCACCCCAATTTCAACGGTGCACGTTTGGTCGACGAGGCCGATGAACCGTCGGCGCGTGATCGTCTGAAGTATTGGGATAGCCAGCTTGCAGCAGATCGCCCACAAACATTCGACTTTGTGATTACGCTCGGAGGAGACGGCACAGTTCTATACACTAGCTGGTTGTTTCAGCGGATCGTACCCCCCGTCCTATCATTTTGTCTTGGCTCCCTTGGATTTTTAACAAAATTCGACTTTTCGCATTATCAAGACACGATTACCAAGTCCTTTAGGGATGGGGTTGCCATTAGTTTGAGGCTGAGGTTTGAATGTACAGTTATGAGGAGCAACCCTCGACGGAAACCAGCTGTTGATTCTGAGGGCAATATCGTTAAAAAGGACCTCGTCGAAGAGCTAGTTGGTGAAGAGATCGGTGATACGATGACCCATGTGCCAGACAAGGTATTCCAGATTTTGAACGATATCGTGGTGGACAGAGGACCAAATCCAAGTGCGTACTCTATCTCTCCTTCTGTCGATGTTTTCGGTGATCGAAAACGCTGTGTTTGAGTCTTTTTCTAACCCAACTTGGCATTCACAGCAATGTCGACGATTGAATTATTCGGAGATGACGAGCATTTTACAACTGTTTTGGCAGATGGCGTGTGTATATCTACTCCCACCGGTTCAACTGCCTACAACCTTGCAGCTGGTGGAGCTTTGTCCCATCCAGAGAACCCCATTATCCTAGTCACAGCCATTTGTGCGCATACGCTATCATTCAGGCCCATTATTCTACCAGACACTATCGTCTTGCGTTTGGGAATACCGTATGATGCCCGCACGAGCTCGTGGGCAAGCTTTGATGGGCGAGAGAGGTAGGTGCAATTACACGCATGCCATACCATTTAATCAAAGAAAGCACAATGAAAAGAGCTAACTAGACATCCGCGTCCCTTATTCTAGGCTCGAACTGCATCCTGGAGACTACGTGACGGTGTCGGCTTCCCGGTACCCCTTTGCGAATGTGATGCCTGCAGGGCGACGAAGCGAGGATTGGGTGGAGAGCATATCCAAGACGTTGAATTGGAACACGAGACAGCGGCAGAAGGCGTTTAGCAAGGACGTATCTGCGGTTTAGTTACTTGGAAGTGACTTGTTTTGGAGATTGATGCTTTCGTTGCAAGCATTTACATCTTTTTCGCTAGCAAGGTAGATCTACTCGGAGTCACTGGTCAGCAGACGCTGTCGAATTCATGTCTATATTGAACATAATATAAACACTCCTGACAGCATAACAGTAGACTATCCTTGATAATAATTCGGGTTTAATTATTTTGCTCTCTAGAAATTTCTCTGGTGGAGCAAAAAAAGAGAACCGACCGAATCCGGTAAGGCGGCGAATCCGCTCCCCAAGCTATAAAAAGCGCCTTCCGCTGCGAAGAAAATTTCTTCCTTTCTTTATCTCCAACTTCAACACTCCAGCTTCATCCATGTTTCCAATTCAGACTGGAAGCCTTGGAAGCGGAGAGACTTTTTCTCGACTGACCCGACCACTCTTGCAACTGAATAGGTATGTCCATTATACTGAGTTCTTTTACTTCTGCCTGTCCTCAAGCATGCTACCTTCCTTCTTGTATGATGAAAATATATTTCCACATTCGCAGTTTTCACGCAAGCCGTCGCCGTGAACCCATTCCATAGACGTGCTGTGAGCGCAATACTTCCTTGGATGTCTGATCATTTTATTCACTTCCTGTTACATCTCGCTGTCAAGTGTGTTGAAAGTGCCGGGCTAACTTGCATTGAAGATAGTGTAGTGTGCCGACAGTGAACTGTCGGTTTCGACTTGGAACGAATGACCTGACTGTTTTGTCCTGGTCTACGTATTGAGGATACATTTTACTGCATGGTATACATGGCGAAGGGACCGAGTGAGATTTTCAGTCATAGCCGTGACAGAAGAAACTTGGATAGTTTGCATAGTCTTTCAAATGATCATGATTTGATGATGAAATTTTTTTTTATTCCGTGTAATATTGTAGTTGCATTGCCCTGCAAAATTTCAGAATGATCTGTAGCAGTATGTACCTCTGCGTGTGCGGATCGCTTGCTCCACCGTAAATAATAACGCCGGCGATAGGAGCATCCACGGTTCATCTGTCTGTTCCGCGAACCTTACGAAGTCGAACAGTTGAACTGGCATTGTCTTCTTTCTACGCGTCCCTTGAACGACTACTCTGGTTTACTACGATCTGTTCGGATTACCGCCATTGCCTTTTTTTTCGGTGCAGTACTGCAACGGGGCCTGCTCGCAAACGACAGAGTGCAAGCCTCCGCATTCATTCACGAAATACACGTACATACACATCGAGACACCCTCCGGATCGTATTCAGGAAATCTTATAATTCCAAGAAGAAGAGAAGAAAGAAGAACCATACTTAACAATGGCTGCGCCCGCAAGACGGCAGTCCACAATGTCGACGAGCAGTGCGGCCACGGAGAAAGCATCGTCACAATATCCAGACCAACAGCAGCAACAGCCACCATCGTCCTCATTACGCCAGAGCCAACTCATTCAATCGCAACCAGGCGGTGGCGGCCTCCGTGTACCATCGAATCGCAAGACAATATATGATCGGCATCTTAACAGAAGCCAGAAGGCGGATTTGAGTCGGGCATCGTTCGCTTTCCTATTCGCGGAGATGGTGATATATGCGCAGCGGAGAGTTACTGGCATTCAAGATCTTGAGAAACGGTATTTACTTCCCCTGCGCCCTCTGTCATGGGCAGACAAACGAACCAATCTCTGCTGAATCCTCGGTTTCTGACAAAAAAAAATAATTAATATACAGATTAAACGAACAAGGCTATCCACTTGGGCTACGCTTGCTGGACCTCCTTTTCTACCGCTCTATTTCAAGCACATCCTCCTCAGCCCTCACATCATCATCGACATCCTCCTCACCACCAAACCGTCCACTTCGTATATTACCACTACTCCACCTCATCCACGGACCACTCTGGCGACTCCTCTTCCAACGCCCCGCCGACGCCCTCGAACATTCCGTATCCCCCGAAACCCCCAACGAATATATGATTACTGATAACGACCCGCTTGTCAACACATATATCAGCGTCCCCAAGGAAATGAGTATGCTCAACTGCGCCGCGTTCGTCGCCGGTATTATTGAAGGTGTGTGTGACGGGTGCGGATTCGAGGCTAAAGTCACGGCGCACAATCAAGGCACTGAAATGTGGCCTGGTAGAACGGTGTTTTTGGTTCGATTTGGCGAGTCAGTGATGGAGAGGGAGAATGTTCTGGAGCGCGCTGGGGTTAAATAGGGAGTTCTTTGCAATTCGCTGGTCGATTGATATTAGATAAGACATGGGAGTTACTGGGGGGAATCGGCTTTCATTGTTTATGCATATATCCTACTACGAGATATTGATTTTAGCTTCTTCGAATTCATACTTTGACGGCGAGTGCAACTATCTTGTAGGCAACCCTTATGATTATAAGCGTCCTAGATTTTGCTTCCATCGTAATTCACGGCCCCAGCAATATGTTGAGATGATGAAGATATCAAGCGGAAAGGCATCTGGATTTATGTCCATTACTACATGTAAGTAGCTTTTATAGTATTGAAATTTTCAACAATGCTTATGCAAGAGGTAGACACAATACTATACGTACCAACAGCCTTTTGTCCGCGCCATATAAACACCCCAAATTCCCGATATATAAGGCAAATAGACGACGATACGCTGCACGATAAAAGACAGATAAAAACTAGCGTAAGCTTCCACTCTCCGTTCGACGACGTTTGTCTCGATCATCATACGGGGAATGACTTCGTTTCCGCTGGTCTCTCCTATCTCGATCGTCTCGATCATGGTCCCTATACCGGTCTTTATGACTACTCCTATCTCGGGAACGGTCAACACTATCTCGCCTCTTATAGTCTCTTCTCCTGGGAGAATATGAGCGCGATCTGTCTCTGGGCCTCGAGTGCGATCGACGGCGACGACGATCTTCTCTAACAGAGCTGGAATTGGCGCCTGTTGCTGCCGCACTTCTTTCACGGCCATGATCTCCACGACCTCCGCTGTCCGGCAAGAATCTTTCATCAGTAACATTCATTAATTTATCTTCACGAGGACGTCGTGGCCAGTTGTCGAAGCCTTCACCCCATCGCCCTGTGTCTTCAGAGCGAAGGTCTCTGTATTTCGTTCGACCTTTCTTTCCTAGTTTAGTCATATCCCGGATTTGCATGTATTCTGGTAGAATTTCACGATTCGTCTCATCTGCGAACCGAGCGCCCATAATATTTCTCTTGTCCAATCCTTCGCGTTCAAGATCATCCCGGAAAAACGCTCCCTTATGGAAGTATCGCTGCATGTACCCGGTTTGACCGCGACTGGCTTCCTTTTCTTCTTTCTGCCTTTGAATGAACTCTCGGTCTTCACGCTCGCGCTCTTCTGGATTCAAATTTCGTCGTCGTTCAATCTCTTCACGTTCTTTCTCTGCTGTTTCAATGACTTCGCGCTGTCTCTTGACACGTTTGAGTTCCCGCAGTTTCCATGCAGCGTATTCGGCTTCAGGGTCCAGCCCGTCGCGATCGTCAAGGGCTTCTTCTTCAGCTGCGACATTCTCATCTTCGTCCCATGCTTTCTTTCCCGCCAGCCGCGCCATAGCCTCCTTTTCTAGTTGATCACGCACCAAAAAGTCTGCTTTTTCTTGTCGCTGAGTTTGTCGAGCTTCAGATTCTGCTGCAGTGTCGGCAATCCCTGGAGCGGAAGAGAGTTTACCACCGTCTTGTTCATTTACTTTTCTTTGGCCCTTTTTAATGAAGGTCGGCCGAAGTAGGACTCTCCTTGGTGTTTCCTCTTCCGAGCTCTCCTCTTCAGATGATTCTTCTTCATCTTCTTCGTCTTCTTCTTCGGATTCTTCTTCTGCTACAGAAGCTTGGGCAGCGAGAGACGCCTTCTGAGGTATACTCGGCTTGGCTGCCTTTGAAGGAGCCTCTTCCTCTCCCTCCTCTTCCTCCTCCGTGACAAACCCCTCTTCATCCTCATCTAATGTAACGTCCTGCACACCTTTTGCAATTTTCCCAGCCGCCGAACCTGGAAAAGATGTCGCCTTGGGAGCTGGTCGTGATTGCTGTAGTTGTCGACGCTTTGCTTCCTCCTGTTTTCGTCGCTCTTCTTCTTGCGCAATTTTTTCATCATCCTCTTCCTCTTCTGAAGACGGCTCCTCGGCGAGCGCTTTGCCTGGACGGTATCGTTTGACGGGCTTGAGAGGATTTGCGGTCATGCCGCGGTGATAGGATGGAAATTGCGGAGGCATATCGGCGACGTTGACAGCCGCGACCAGCGCGGAATAAGTTTGTAGAAGTCGTAGTATAAATGATCGGGTGGCTATGAGTCTCTGTGTCTATATGGTCGTCATAGGCACTTCGTTGGGTGATATTGTCATGATTTTGATGGAGCTTTGACCATTTTTCCTGGATTAATTATCAGCGGCGCCGCAACTAGCTAGGTCATGTGATTTCGCGTCGCGGCACGCGACTAACCCCGCGATGCATCTAAAGCTTCTTTTGACCTTAAACAATTCGACTGTCATCTCTTCGCGACAAGGCGAAACCAACGTGAAATCCCCAGATCTTAATTGCCTTGCACGACTACAATTATAAATCTCCAGATTTAACCTACCCACGATTCTCGCACGCCCAAACCACCAACCGAGAAAAAAAACCACAATCTCCGCGCAGAGACCATCCAACGTATAACTAGCACCCAAAACCATGTCTCTACAGACGCCGCGCATTCTTCCATCGCATCTACAAGCTTTTCATGCGTCGTCTGGTGGCCACCAACGGATCAATACTGTCCGGATTCTCGGCACAGTAACCGCACTCCGCGGCGATACAGCAGTTGTAACATGCGGCAATCACGGCGACGTCACGTTACTGCTCCAACCGGATTCGCATCTACAGATGGGTAAATTATTTGAGATTGTCGGGAAGGTTGTTCAATTGGATGGGGGTCAGGTAAGATCGATAGAACGCTCACTCTTCGATCATGATATCATGCTTACAGTACAACCTTGGTCTGTACAGGGCTTGGGTATCAATGTGCTGGGGACTGTAGACTGGGAGAATCCTGCGGATTTTGGTAAGTTTTCATCACATCTCTTTTCTCACTTGTGTACTGGCCCTTGCTCACTGGATTACTAGACTACAAAATTTATGAGCAACTCGTTGATGTCACGCACCGGTACAAGGAAATATTTTACGACGCGGATAACTGAATGTTTGTATGTAAATAGTGTTTGGGTTTTTCTTTTCTAAAAGAAAAGTAGTGAACTAGCCCACTGCGAACAAGGGTTAGGCTCACTTAGGCGTTCAATTCGTATTTGTTCGGGCACTGGGTTTGATTGTAAAGTTTCGTTCTGTGTTATCCAGTGTTGGGATTCCAGACCAACCTGGAATTTTGGGAGTCATAGAATACACATATGCCTATAAATATGTATTATGTAGTATCAGATTCTATGGAGTCCTTCAGACTAGGATCAAGAATAAAAAGAAAGCATCAAAACATATGGGTTGCACCCATACAGAAACCAGCACAAGGCTGGAAAGTATTATACCTAAAGATTAGCCTCTAGGTATCTCCCAGAATGGTACTATGAACTATTGCAAGTACAGAGCTCGTACTTATTTAGAAGACTTTTCCAAATCAACTAAGAAGCAGGTTTTTTGCTCGATAGAAAATTTCAATATGATACCAATCTAATGCAGCTCATAAAATCGTAAACTGTTACTTACACCTTTCTATAAGTATCCTCCATGCGCCGATATATTCTAGCAAATACAGCTGACTCGACAGTCTAAAAAAGCTTTTGCACTTGAATAAATAAAAAGAAAGCAAAAAGCCTCAACACCTTCGCTTTTTAAAACGATAAAATGACATATAAATAGTGACCGTAGGATTCGTTTCTTGGAGTGAGTGAGAGTTATTGGAATTCATTGGTTGGAGGCAAAACCAGCTTGTGCTTCACCATTTCGAGCCTCGCTAGGATTTTTCTTTCCAGGGTCGAGCAGCGTTGCACTCGTTGCAGTGACACCACCTGGAAGTTGGGCGTTCACATCGGCCTCTTTATGGAGCTCTGATTCCGAGAGTATGGCGTTGATGAGAGCTTCATCGTCATTGAAACCGTCTGGAAATTGCAACAGAGAACCGCCGTTCACGGCCGTCGGGGACCAACTGGAAAACGGCATATACATATCTGACTGAGGTAGTGATTGCCACGGATCAAACAAATTATCATCCACACCAGTGAATGCATTTTTGTCTCCAGCAGTGCCACCAAAAGACGCTTCTTTTCTAGAAGCCGAGCGCGGTTCTCCAGATTTAGCTGTATTCGGCGACCGGACAGACGAAGCATTCTTGGTTCTGCTGGTGCTGGGAGAGCAGAAAGGGAGTGATAATCTCCTTTGGTTGGAGCGAGGTGTGCGTCGTTTAGGAGTGGAAGCATTGCGCACGGTAAATTCGAAGGATGGGCTTTCAAATAGATCGTCTAGGTTATGATTAGTAGCAGACAGATTGTTTTCTTTTTCTGCTACCGGCTTCTCAGAACCCCGTGATACAACGCGAGGACTTCGACGTGGACTGTTCAACAGGGACTCACCCAAAGTCTTTAGAGGGCCATCATGATTATTCGGGAACAAGGCTCTTCTCACGGGCTTCGGAGTGAGGTTTTCATCATCCAGCTTCAATGTGTGGGCATCAAGGTTGCGCGCTGGACTTGATTGAATCGCTCTTTTGAGTGCTTCTATGGCTGCATTTTCGTCCCATCGACTCTCCAGAGTGCCCGATGAGCGCGTTGGTTCCGCGCTACTGGCTCGAATACGAGTGGGGGGATGTCCTAGTTCATCGCCGTCGTTGGGGTTTTCGTTCTCATTATCCATCGCAGGAGTGGCGTCGTCATCTTCTCCAGCTTGCGAACCATTGTCACACGCCGGCGAGGAGCTGTCTGTACGAGCGGGAGACGACTCTGATGGCAAATTCATCTGAGGTTTACTTCGGCTTCTGGTAGATGAGGAGACGCCATTTGACAGGGGGCCTTTACGCGTACGAGCCGACCGTTTGCGTTTGTCCTTTGCTGGTTGCTTGTTCCACCTGTTTTGTGGGCGCATGCTTTTGAACTTCTGAAGCCAAAGACCACAAGCTAGATTCCGTTAGCAAAACATCAAGGCTTAATCATGCATATACTCACGATTGCAGAGAAGAATTTGGTCAAAGTCTTTATCTGTATCCACAAGCGTTTTCTTGTATAATCGGAATTTAGTGATTCTTTCCTCGTCGTCTCTCTTCAAGGATGTCCAGAAAAGAAACTGAGGATCCTTGAGAAAATCATTTGCTTCCTGTTCGCTACCCTCAAAGTCCTTAGACCAAGCTCTCCTCCAGGTAGGAGTCTCAATAGCACCGCAGTTGTTGCAATAAGGAGGCACTTGGCCTTCCCTAATGCAATTTTCAAGTCGAGCTTGAACTTGCCGTACTCTTCGAGCGCCCGCTCCACTCCGTCCCTTCCCATCTTCGACCGGGTGCGACGACGGGGTCTCCGCCGAAGGCAAATCACTCATTGGGCCGGGCCAAGAGTTGGTATGGTTGGTATGGTGCAGGAAGCCTTGAGGCGGTATTATTGGATCGCTTGCGGGAATTGAATTGATTAAATGCTCTATTTCGCTTTGTGATATTGGAGCTGGCGCGAGTTTTTGTGCGGCCCTGATGCTTGTTCGGGATGAGGGTCGAGAAGCAGTGGAACTGTGTTGAGGGGGAAGCGCTGGAGCTTCTTTGGAAGAAGACAAAGATTCATATGGTCCGTCACTGGCCAAGAAATTATCCTTCCGGTGTGCAGAAACTGAAAGATCATTTGCTGGAGGAGTATGATGGCTTGTCAGCGGGCGCTGGTTGCTATGATTTATCGGATCACAGCCGGCTATCATTGCCGTATCATGGTTTCCATCGGGATTTGCACGCAGGCAGCCTTCTTCGTCCATCAAATCTTCAAGTGTAGCACTCATGAATCCAGAATCAGGTGGTACCGGTAAAGGTGGAAGAACAGGGCTTGAGCGACTATGGAAGCCACCGTCTGTGATAGGCGGGGATGACGGCATAGTGAATTGTGATTCAAAAATACCCTGGTATCGGTGATCATCGGGAGAAGCGGTTGGCAAGTCAGTGGACGGTATATCATCATATGATGGGTAGGGAGATTTATAAGATGATGTACTGTTGACTGATGATTCACGAAGGAGACTCGGAGCGGGACGGCTTCGTCGCATTCCTTCATTAGATGTGCGAGATATTGGTGTAGGGGGACGAACGGGCTCCTCAAGGGCACCTGAAGACGTAGAAGGATGGCTAGAGTTAGTTGGTGTAGGGCGATGGATCCGTACAGAGGCGGCTGTGCTGGCAGCTACACGAAGGGACCCAGGCTGGCGCTCAATATTCATGTCATCCTTGCCAGTTAAATCTGCTCTAAAAAGTCTGGCACGTTTCCTCGGTGGATGTTCAATCACCTCGTCACCACTTCCATAACCGGAATAGGTCGAACCTCGTCGGGTTAATGTACCTGGCCGTGGAAACTCGACGTCACGTAAAGAGGCTCGAGACAACGGGCGAACGGATGAAGCGTCGCTGTCTCTTCGTCTATGACCGATCAAAGACGGCTGTTGGAGTTGGTGCGTACTTGGCAGTATACCGACTGGCGAGTCACAACGACTGGGAGGATTCACTGGAGATGGTGCTGCAGAATCTGGATGAGTCGACGGAAATTCCCGAGGGGTAGAGCCTTCACTGAGAAGCTGATGGAACCTCTCTATACCAGAATGGTCTCTAGATCCATTTGGCCTCTCAGAGGATCGAGGACGCTGGCTGTGAGCAAACATGTGCGGGTTTTGTTGGACGAAGGAAGACCATGCTTGGGCATCAAAGTTTTCGGGAATCACGTTGCTTAATTCTCGATAGCGTTGCATACTTTCAAGATATTCGCTCTGCATGACAGTTGGTACTGGGACTAGTCGTAGCTTAACTTCTAGTGTTTCTTGTGCGCCTTTCGAGAAAAGTCCGAGGACATTTTTGCTCACACGTCCAGTCACAATGGTTTTGGATTGATGAGCAGGAGCATTTGGTGTAGTAGAAGCAGAAGCGAGAACCCAGGACAGCATCCCTTGACCGACCAAAGGTGTCTCATACTCCGAGTAGTCGTACGCATATACGGTGTAATCCTGGCCAAGTTTTGCTACCAACTCCGGACTGTAATTTGCCTTAGTGACCCTGTGCCAACAAGTGCTAAGATACTCCAATTGTATTTTGGCACTAACCTGGCTGATACAATTGCCTGTATACATGTCTTCAACTCAATGACCCCTATCTGTGTGTTTTCGTCAAGGTATGCGGTTTGAATATCGAGTAGATGAGGCCAACGGGCTAAGCAGTTTGTTTTATTCTGGTCATCGAACGTATAAAGTACCTTCACTGTAGATTTGAGTACGACTGTTAGCTGTTTACACAGAAGCGACGTATACGTTCAACGAATACGTACACCTCATGGGTCGGACGGTAATTCCGTCCTGAACTTCCATCCCAGCCACGATCCTCGGCTTTCACCATACGCAAGATATCTGCCGAGATGGAGTCGAAAGGTGTACAACGCAAAGTATCGGAGAGATCGTGGCTTTGTAAACAGCAAGCAAAGCTATCCCTTAGTCTTGATCGATGATGAACCACCTATGTAACTTCACAATTTTGCTGGCTTTCTAATTTCAACGAACGCTCGAGACGTAGTTGCGGTGAGAGTCTTGAGGAGAGGCTAAGGTTTCCTAGCGCTCTTTGTTATGCAAGGAATCAACACCGTCGACTGGGAGAAGGAAGAGTATGCACGATGTGCATGCGAAGAGCATAGATCCATATACTGGAATGCTGGAAGTGGGCGCCGGGGGTAATGCAGGACTGTCCATGCAAGGTGTTTGTTGATTGGACGACTCAGTGGTGTCTTGAAGAGAAGAGGGAGAGAGAAGAAGAGGATGAAGAAGGAGAAGAGTAGAAGAAGAGAAAAGGCCAAGCCAGGGTTGACCTGGTTATTTAGTGTGGACTCTGGAGAGTCAATGGCATGGGGGGGAGGCTGGCAGAGCAACAATCGCATCGTGAAAGCACCGAGCTTCACCAAGCGTGTTTCTTTCCACGCGACGTGACGCAGCCAATCGCGGTCGCGGAAGCTTGCTTGCCCGATATGTAATGTCACGTGGCCCGCGTCCCAGGTCATGTGATCTTATACGATGAGTCTAATTCTATTGAGAAAGACAAAAATTAAAGCGTCAATTCCGCATCTACAAATATGTTTTTTAGAAAGTTGAGAAGGATGGCTAGACACGAAAAGTTTTAATCCTTGGCCCAGTCGCGATGCTTGGTCAACTCCGACATCGATCATTCCAAGTCTATCGCACCGCAGCACAAAACTTTCAATTCATTTCTGCTTCAAAGAGCACGGATTCGAAGGGAGACTCGGGAAAGCGACCGTTCAGCTAAGCAAGACCAGGATTACTGAATCACCACGTAAGAACCTAAATGTGATGTTAGCAAGACCTGTAACAACAAGAACAATGACCGCGATGAGGGTGACTGAAATGACACAGTGAAGATCCGCGAAGAAATGAAGAAAGGTATAGCAACCTATAATGGTATGTATACATTCCAGCGAAGACGTACATTTTGCTAATAAAGCGATCCTTGTTGACCCCACGGCCTTTGCCACCTTTAGGCTTCTCCGTCCACATCTCTTTGACGTTTTCCAGAACCATATTGCAGTGACGATCGAACGCTTTTACTCGAGCGAGAATCTTGCGGTTATTGCGGCATGATATCAATACTTGTGTGTGGGTTCGAGTGGCAGTCTGAAGGAGAGACAGAGGTCCGGTAGTAAACTCGTATTCTTCTACAAGCCCAACCTCGTATTCACTATTGAAAATGATTGTTAGTAACTGGATGACTTGATAGCTCTTTGGTTGTAGACGAATCGCTCGTCGATATGATGAAATTGTAGGATGCTGAAGTTGTGGTGTCGGGAAAAAAGAGAATATCTAATCGGGATAGAAGAGGAAGTCAAAACGTACGTCAACTCACTGCGAGGCTTGTTCAAGAGGTCCCTATGCAACGAAGAGGTAATAGTTAGCGCAAATATGCAATGAAAATAGGTTGACTGGCCGACAGAGTAACCGGCTTATTGTCAACAGATATGGAATAGCAGAATTGGGAGGGGTAGCAGAAATTCTCACATACTGAATCTTGGGATCAGACATCTTGAGCATGTACAGAAAAAGACACGCGTGAATGCTCAAAGTGCTTCTCGAAATGCACTTTTGCGATTTGGAAAGCTGAACTGCCGCCAGGGAGCTTCCGCCCGGCAGAATAATGTCCAGGTCACGTGGATGACCCGCCATATCTATTTATCCGGCAGTAATTTATGTATGATATAGGTATTCGGTATCCGACAATATCATTAGGGTTGCAAAACGCTTACCAGTCTGTCGATCATTTTCCCTTCTGTAGCAAACACAAGTCTAGTGTCTATAGACTCACTGAAGAAAAACCAATAATAAGATGGCGTAACCCAAACAGTTCCACAGTTTTACATATGGATCAACAGGATATTCCTCTTGTGCAGGGCTCTGTTGAGCCCACGACACTTTTAGAGACAATAGGCCGTTTGTTACAAGAATTTTAGATATTGAAACGTTATAACTGCTTAGGTCCTTATGCGTTTGCACTGTGCAGAGATAGCTGACAGGCATGAGCTCTAGGATTGGGCATTAGTAGGAGCACGTATCTTTTAACTCACCAAGCAGAAAATAACACCACCTTCATATTACCATCACTGTTACTCCTGCTTCATTAAAGTTCCGCGAAATGGAATCCTTCCATCCCTTTGGAAACATGGATCTGAACCCAGATACCTATCGGCCCGCGCTGATTCCTTTGTTATGCAATATCCTCTTGCATGTGAGTGAATCTAGTAACCATTGACTTCATTGGATCGAAGCAGACAGCCGCAAGGTGATTGGTGGAGCAGTTGAGTCATCATTTCAGCCCTGGTGGTTCAGTGGTAGAATCCACCGTTAGGGCCAATTTGATTGGTTAACTCGGTGGGGTCCCGCGTTCGATTCGCGGCTAGGGCCCAATATTTTTGATCTTCCTGAAAAAGCTGGGTAATTGCAAAGCAATGGTTTTTTTTTTTCTATTCGGTGTGCCATGTCGCCTTACGGTGCGCAGGTGGGTCCCCCGCTTACCTCTTTAGAAACATTCGCGCTAACAGATGCCAAGACGTGCTAAATATAGTTAGATTTTGGGGGGAAGTTGGGGACCCCACCGTTGACCAATCTGGATCCCTAACTGGAATCTACTATGCTTAGCTGGATCTTCTTTAGACTCCTAATCCTTTATTTTTGTTGGGTCACTAGATCGCACTCGTTGGTTTGTGGGTGACCTCGGGAGTTTGAGCGAGGAGAAGCGGGGCGCGAAGGCACCATCTCGGATTATAGAAAGACGGACGTCGTTTTTGATGCCTGGCACGGATCTTACAGTGGTATCCGTTTGGTTTCTGAGATTCTCACGGCGTCACTCTCCTTTGATGTTTGAGGCAGAACCTTGAGTGAACTCATGTTCTCGGCTGGCGTATGAGGGGCCTCCAGAAAAGCACTGGCACAACGCATCTTATTGGCTTGCAGTAAGAGAAAAAAAGAAAGAATGTCGTTCTGTGATTCGCATTGGGAGTTTATCCGCCCCCGGGAATTTCTAGGACTTCATGATTCAATTCAACGATTATCTTACTGGTGACCGCGTCACCGAGAATGGTCCCGGTGCGATCTTTCTCGAAGTAGAAGTAAAGTATGTCTTCGAAGACCGGGCAGCACAGGGAGCATTCGCTTTTTAGTCGCCAGGCAATGTTATCACTACGACGCTGTGTCTTCAACTTCTTCCAAAATAGTAAACGTTGGGGTCTTCGTTATATTTGCCATAATGATTATGACGAGTCTCGTGCCAAATTTCATCCAGAGAGCAGAGTAACCTCGAGCTCGAACCCCCTGCGTTCTCCCTCATCTATTTCTATTGCTTTTCACAAATTATTTTTTTATAGAAATAGTCTGTGTCATGTTGGAATTTCCGGTCAAAGAATATCGAGGTATATGCCGTGCCACGCCTTGCAAGTCGAACCTTCGCGTTTGTCGATTCGTTTGCAGCCATATTGACAAGACACCCTTTAGTAAGCTAGCAGGGCGTTCTCCGGATCTCAAAGTCTCAAATCATTATTGGCAATCCAAGACCATCAATGACCCAACTGATGCTGGGTTACACGACTCTGTGGGGCGTAAGAGGTCTAGGTTGCATCCTAAGTGAAACGGCAAGAAAACAGAGAAAGAAGAGCTCACCGTTCTCACAGGTGAGTCGAGAGGAAAACTCAAACAAACAATGAGGTCGAATTAGGGCTAGAAAACCGCCTGGCTTGTCCTGCTTACGTGATGGTCTTCTTTCTTCCTTCCTGCGTCTCTTCCTTATAAAATCCCCTTCATGTCCCGCACTCTGCCAACCTCTGCCTGATGTCTAAAGCTCTTTTGTCCTAGTGGCTTTTTCTCTCTTGCCTTCTCTTGCCTTTTGTCTCCCATGAGTTTCATGAGTAAAAATGATTCCTTTTCGTTATACGCGTTTCAAAACATTTCGTCCACTATCCATGGATCAGTTGCGCTTCCGGCTGCCCATATTACCGACATGCGGACATACAGCGTATGTTGTCCGTGTCGGAAAACCGAGAAGCAAACATAAAAAAAAGAGCTTTTTATCACGTATTCATGTCATGGATCAGGCGGATACCCTAAAAGCCTAATGTTGGTTGGCGTTTTGGGAACATTTCTCTTTGTTTTTCGTGGAATTGCCATCTCGGGTTTTTTTTTTCTTTTCTTCCAGTGTGTCAGGCTAGTAATCAGAATGTACCAAGCAAACGAGCTTAACGAAAAATGGCAAATATTTGCAAACTTAAGCGTAGATTTTTCTCATCATAAAAGGTTGTATGTGCTTGTCCATCCAGGTGCCGTGACTTGCGGCTGAGCCGAGGTAAGCCAAAAACATGCTATTTCAGCGTCAACCACGGAGTTTCACAATAGTATCCAGTTACTTTCAATCGTTCAAGTTTAGCGACAAGAGAATTTATACATGCTAGGTATTCTCAGCTAGTCGAAGACTTCCTCTTGCGGTGCGAGCGAGAGGCATGAGCTACCCAGGTAAAGAGCGGCTAGAGGACAACGAAATCGATCAATCACATATAATCTAAACGACATGCCTTTCCCATTTAATATCATTGAACATGTCATTGCCGGCCAGCATATCCGAGAATACCCCCAGAGCATCAAAGGGAGCCAGGAAACGCCATTACAGCTCGTCATCAAACAGTATGTTCCAGTCGACCAGTCCGACCCAGTCCCCGACAATGCAGTTACGTTGATCGGGGTGCCTGGAAACGGGTCTTCAAAGGAACTCTACGAGCCACTCTGGGAAGATGTATACACCCAGTTGAAGAAGCAAGGTGTGCCATTGCGTGCCATCTGGGTTGCAGATCCCTCGAACCAGGGTGCAAGTGGAGTCTTGAACGAAGACGTTCAAGGGGATCAAAGTATGGCTTAAATTTCAAACATCACATTACGTACCAAACACTAACTCTATCTAGCCAACTGGTACGACCATTCCCGCGACCTTTTGCACATGGTCAATCATTTCAGGGATCAAATACCTCGTCCCATCGTCGGCGTGGGACATAGTAGAGGTTGTGCCCAACTGTTAGTCAAGAATTCCAACCTTCGGACCTCCGTTTTTACGCAAATATTTCGCTAATAAGGCTACAATAGCGTAAACCTTTCAATCATACATCCTCGGTTATTGTCAACTTTGATCCTCTTCGACCCGGTCATCTTAGACGTGGCTTTTAGCGGACCCAATCCCGCCATAATGCCCAGTCAACGCAAAGATCTCTGGGAATCGCCCGAAAGAGCGGCGGAGGCTCTCAAAAAAGGCCTTCGTAACTGGGATCCTCGTGTTCAGGAGCGATTCCTACGCTATTCACTCCGTCTAGTGCCCACGCGCCTTTACGACCCCAGCAAGGACCCTAGTATCCCTCGGACAGCAGTCACGTTGACCACATCAAAACATCAGGAAGCCTGGAACTACAATATTCCCAACCTCGGGCCGGAGTCTCTCGATAGACTTTTATTGGCAGATTGGGATCCGGAGAAGGAGCGTCCGTACCTCTTTTCTCGCCCGGAGTGTTGGTCTGCAATGCGGAATTTGCCGTTTCTTCGCCCGAGTGTGCTTTGGGTATTTGGCGGTAAGAGTTATCTGTCCCTGCCGGAAGCACAGGATGCCAAAATGCGAGTGACGGGAACTGGTATTGGGGGCAGCGGGGGAGTGGCAAAGGGGATGGTTGAGAAGGCCGTTCTGGCAGAGGGTAGTCATACGTTGGTGTTTGAGGAGCTGGACTGGTGTGCTTCGGTGACTGCTGACTGGATACAGAGCTGGTTTCGACGGTGGCTGGGTGATGAGGAGTTTTGGCGAGGATATCAAAGTCCAAATTCGGATTCTGAGATGCTGAGACTGTCTGATGAAGCCTTTCAGGTCGCGCAGATGAGTGTGGGGACGAAAAGGACTGAAAAAGCGACACTAAAGGGGAAGCTATGAGCTGGCATACTGTATTGTGGATAGATTATTACGGAAAAAAATATACTACAAAACGAACATTATCATAAATAATTCGTCGTTATTTCTCCATTCGCATTTAGGGTTAGCCTAAGGTTGGAATGTGAAGCTGCGCTAGACCAAACTTTGCTTAGTGCAATAATTAGCTCAACTGCAAGATATCAAAAAGGTTCGCTCAATAAAAGTGACAACAAGACAACTGGCAAATGAAAGTCGATAACACGTCACACATAAACATCAAAGGGCAATGATCTTCCCTAAAATGCACTGAGGTCCTTTACAAATTATTTCTTGAAGAGAATGGATTGTTTTTCACCATTTACAAGCTGTCCGCAAGCCCGCTCAGGAACTCAGACAAGCCATAGGCACCTGGGTCGGGAACCTTGCCCAACCACTCTTCTTCGCTTCCGACATACACAGTACGACCAAGGCTAGCCTTGAGGTGCTTTGTAGCCTCGGTGCCTTCTTGAGCAGCCTTTGCGGCAGCGTGGACATCGGCAGTCTTGGAAAGGGTGTCACAGAATGGGACGAGAGCATCGACCAATGTGCGGTCACCAACTTGTGCGGGCGTGTATTTGGCCAATGCAGTTACAGCTGATTTCAAAGCTTGGCCCCAAATTTTTGCATCCACGGGTATGGGCGACCCAGCGGTGTCTTGTGCGCGGAGACCGTGGACGAGAGCGTTTAGGAAGATGGCGTAGATAGCGCCCGAGGTGCCGTCCATGGTGGCTTCAACGGCGCCGACAATCTTATGCGCTGTGATAGCCACATCGTCATTGATATCATTACCCTCGACGACTTTGAGGACAGCCTCGGCACCGCGTTTCAAGCCAACACCGCAGTCACCGTCGCCGACAATGGTATCATATTTAGTGATCTTTGGTTCTGCATCGATGAGACGCCTAAGACCGGCTGATAAGCTCTTTTTGAGGATAGCAGGGTCGACTAGGTGATATACGTAAGTAGGTAGGTAAATAACGAGCGAAGTCGTGGAAAGAGCATACCTTTCAAATTACTAGGCAGGTCATGAGCCAAATCAGCTTTCTTCAGTTCCACCGGTCCATCTGAAGCATGCTTCTCCCAAGTCGACTTATGGATCGGAGCAGCCCAGCCAACTGCTTCGGTGGGTGTATCGAGAAGTTCCAGTAAGGATTTGCCAGGACCCAGTCCGGTATCAGCAAGCCGCAGAAGCGAAATGCTGAAACCAAGACCGTTTAGACTCGTTAGATATGTGCCTTGCAATGTCCTGACAGGCCTGATATCGTAATCTCTGGCAAGCTGCAAGGAAACCTCGGCGGTGATACCGGACAATTCAAGGGTGCTGACACTACCCAGATTATTGATCAACAGAACAAACTTATCACCAGGCTCACGTATCAACCAGGCACGGTCTGGGTCATTGTGGTCCAGAAGTTGAAGAAGCATTGTCTTGACGAGTGAGGGCAAGCTGAACGACTTCATACGGTGCGAGCCAGGCTCATTGTGAATTCCCATACCCACTTCAACCTCGTCATCGGGCACAAACTCGGACGACACGTCGCGACCAGGGACATGTACGTGTTCAAGAGAGGAGCCTAGAGTGACGGTGTTGGCATTTGTAAACTGTGCAATGCGGTGGACATCCTCCAACGATGCTCTGTTTTTTGGGGGTCACAATTGATGATTAGCGACAACATCTTGCCAGTTTTTTTTTTTTTTTTTTGTCATTCGTCAACAGAGATTGAGATACTCACCCAGTTTCTGCCAACGCACTAGCGATCTTTAGAACTAGAATACCTCCAGCAAGACCACGTCGACCAACCTTACCACCCTTGGAGCGCCCGACGCCGACATCATCGCCGATAGCAAAGAACTCAGCCTTCCGGCCGGCTGCCTTAGTCTTTTCGACGGCCATACCGAAGTGAAGGACGTCTCCAGTGTAGTTCATTGGAATAATGAGAACGCCCTTGTCTGTGTCGACGCAGTCGATGGCGGCTCGGCTGATTTGCTCGGCAGAAGGAGAGGCAAAGATCGTTCCTGCGACGGAAGCAGTCAGGAAGCCCTTGCCTACATAGCCGGCAAAGGCAGGCTCGTGGCCAGAGCCTCCACCGCTGATCACAGCAACATTTGACCTGTTTGTGGTTTCGGGGCGGCGAAAGATGACCTTTTGCTCTTCATCAAAGGCTAGAGATGGGTTGGTGAGAGTGAGGGAGCGGAGGGCAGATAGGACAAGGTGAGTTGGGTCCGAGAAGAAGTGCTTGGCTGTGTTGTGGGAGGAGAATTAGCTAGACATTCCCTCATCCCCCTTTTTAAATCACTTACACGACATGTTTTTCGAGAGTCTATTTATAAGGCCTACCTGGGAAATGCGGACCTTAAGAAAAGGATAACCCGATTCCGAGGATGGGGAACGATTCAGGGGCGACAAAAGTAGCTTTATATAAGGTGCAAGAACGCTACTATGAATGCGAAATTAGGCAGATTAGGGCAAAGCAGCGCAACCCAAAAGGGAACCGAGGGCGGCGGGCAGATATTAGGATTATGAATATAGAATGGATATGTGTATGTATGGATGGATGGAGATAGCCGGGGAGCTCGCCGAAACGTCGGAAAAGGCGGGGGTGGGGACAAGGCAGGCAAGGCAGGGCTTCCAAGATTTTTCTAGACTGTCGACTGGTTAGAATGATGTGCAAACATGTGAGGTAACACCATCGTCAACTTCCAGCAGAATTCTAACCGGTTGTTCACAGAAAGCGGCAAATCCCAAGCCGCGCAGTCAACCCAGCGTGGGGGTTGCGTTTGCCCTTCACTCTACTACAGCGACATCACTCAGATATCCACGTTGTATAGCAAACTTTGGACACTAATTTGTGAGGCACGTGGGGGGGTACTCGCTCGAGATGGCGTGGGGGGGTAGAAACAGGACACGAAGACAAACTAAAAAGGTAGTAAAGGAAAACGTACCTGCAGCAAAAAGACCAAAGCCAAAAAAAGGCCGAGCAAAAGCAAGAGGAAATAGGACTGAAGAGATGGAGGAGGGAGCAGATCAAGCAAGCTCTCGAGGGGTATGGAGGAGGTACTTATACTGACACCAAGAGTGCCTGTCTATCATACTATCAATCAGGAAGCAAGGCATAAACCCCAAGGTTTGTTGGAACCCCAATTCCGCATAAAGTTAATAATTGATCAATCTACGCTGACGACTTTTCTTTTTCTATTTTTTTTTCTTCTGCTCACATGGACAGTCTTGATACAAAGTGTCTCCACAGCGACTCCGCTTGGAGAGCTGTTCGGTGCTGATAGCTTGGGAAGCTTAGGAGTGCATAGGGGCCCTGGAGGGAATCTGGGCCGGTCTAGTTGGCTAGATGCACGGCGGATACGGTGTGCGTAGTTGCTATTGGCTTGACAGTTGTACATACATCCGCGGTGGTAGTAGTATACGGTGTAGAATTTGTAGAACTATGAGAGCTGTTCCCGGCATTTCTATATTTGGATATTCCGCGAGGAACGCGGGACAACCAAAAACATCCTGTTCCATGCAAAACGACCCAAGTTCAACAATAATCCAAGCCGATTTCTCGCCCGAGTATCAGCAGAAAGCTGTATCCTTACAATTGATTGCCCACGCTGCAATAGCATGCGTGTTTGGTACATCTCTGTAAATCTTTACGTCTTGTTGATAGACCCGGCATGCTGGGAGTGCTGCTATTGGCTGCGGCTCCTAAGCACCCTTACGGGCCTCAGGCAGTAAGGCATACAAGGCAGACAAGGCGATAATACCGTTTCGGCCGAATCCATCGGCCTTCCTCCGCTGCTAGAATGAATGATTCTTTTCTCTTCTCTTGCAGCAAATTATGCATTTCGTTCTACTTTAACTGCATAGTTTCGTGTGTATGTATGTGTGCATTGACATTAATACAGACCATACCAATCTAATTAGGCTAGATAACTGTACCGATTTCCCTCTTCACGCTCCATGTAGTCTTTCTCAATCAGCCTGTGTACCGTTAATTAGCATCGCTTGGATTTGAAAGGGATTTCAGTGTGGAAGGTTAACATACTTCTCAATGTTCTTCTTGATCTCCGCTGGCTCCAATACTCCGCGACTGCGCGTTGCCTTGATCACTTCCGCAACGAGCTCTGCATGCGTAATAATCTTGCGACTTTTCATGATTCGGACGATTGCTGCCTGCGTCTCGTAGTGTCGATCTGCCGCAACTCGCTCGTGTGTCGTCTTGTTTTCCTCTTTAGTCTCCTTGAGCTGGATCTGGTTGATTTTGATCCTCATCTTGGGGTCCTGGAAAGTGGCGTTATACGAGAACACATCTGTCTTATTGACATCCTTGCCCTTTGGGTTTTTAAAGAGCACCCGATACTTGGCACATGCTAGCGATTGCAGGGTTCTCGTGAGATCTCCATCAGCTATTGAGATATGTTAGCACCTTAACAAAGACGAGATGGAGATGAATACATACAAAGACCTGTGGCTTCTTGGATCTGACCGTAGCTCAGAGTTTCACCATCTGCCACATCGTTGAATAGCAATAAGACGATTGCTTGGAAAGAGCTGACAACAATTTCTTTGTTGCCCTTCGCGAACCGCGATCGGAGCTGGCAGTGTGCCAATTGATGTTTCCAGCTGAGCTTCCGCCCATTGTGCTTCGTATGATAGTAATGCTCGAAGTCCGAGATAGCCTTGGCAATGTCGGGAGGAATGCGAACTGGTGCATCCGCATACGTGGGCCATGCTGCCGCAGACAAGACACTGACATGAAGATCTAGACCGAGCCGCGTCTGCCGTTGTGATTGATACGCGTTGTAAGAACTCATTTCGTCTCTAGCTAAGTCCATGTCGCGAAACATAGCCTCGAGATTGTGAGTAAAGCTAGAACCGCACTCTGGAATCCATTCGCATTAGTTTATCGTTCACACTGTTTTCCATGACAAAAATAACATAGATAGGAATTTCTCACCCGTCTTTAACCGAGCTAACATGCTCTTTTCCGCATCATCACTGGCGCTTCGATTCATGAGCAGACGGCGAGCAAGGTCATTCTTGTAGAATGCTTCAAACACTGCTTTGCCGTGTACAAACCGGAACAAGTCCAACACTTTGTCTAGCTGCTTGTTAATCTCTGTATCTTCATCCGCCAAACTAGTGTCCCCGGCCTTTCTTCCAATCACCTTCAGGCCGCCTTTGAGTAGTGTATCCACGTATTTTGCAATCATTTCACCCGTTTTGGCATTGTCAGTGCCCCAGCTAGACTGCGTTTTCTTGGTTTTGTTCATAAAGCTCTCAAATGCTTCACGAAGAACATGGCCAAGTGTTTCATCCTTATGGAACGACTCTACCCACGTATCATCAAGCTCCTGCTTGAAGTCGAGTAAACGGCTTACCATCTCAGCCTCACGTTGAGCATCAAATACTATAGTTTCCCCTTGCTCCTCGATATATTTGCTAAATGAAGTTCTTAGTTTGTGGCCGAGCTTGACGCGTTCCAATAGTGAATACACTCGTTCCAGAGCATGTTTGTTCTGAGTCGTCATCAGGCCCAATAAGTCAGGTTGTGCCAACAAAATATCCTCCTTGTCTCGCACCAAATACTCGTCAAAGAGTGTTGACAAGCTTTGCTGGGTGTTTCGGAGCAATGCATAAAGTTCACACCGAGTCAATTCCTTCTCGATGAGATGGTGGCTGTTCTCTGCGTATGTGCCAAGATATTGGCTATCCGCCTCCTTCTGGGACCACGATTTGAGAAATGCTTCGGATTCGGAGAGAAATAGCGGTTCAAAATGACGCGCATACACACCGAGGTCGTGAAACAAGGCAATAGTCTTCTTCAATAGATCAGAGCCCCCTTCACCTGCTCTTTCGGCCGCAATCAAGTCGCATGTGCCTTGAAGTATCTTTGGCCTCAACTCTTCATCAAGAAAAATGTACGTTTGGAACTGAATTAACCCCATCTCGTTGATGATGGGATAATCTTTCGAGTGTAGCAGGAACGACTGGTCTAAGTAGTAGAATATCCATCGAATTGTGACCTGGCCATGAAAAGTTAGGGAAAAAAAAATGCCAAATCACTTTTAACTTTAGCTCTATTACTAAAGTCTATTACTTACCAACTTTGTGTTCCATGCCGCCCAAGCACCGACAACTGCCTGCAGTGTGTCGACGTCGGTCCCATGTTTTGATCTGGCCACCATATCCTGCCTCAGATTGTTGACAACGTATGTCTTGCATCTTTCCTGAAGCTTTTGTGCTAACACCACCGCGCGACCTTGGCGGCAAACGTTCTCTGCACCTTTGTATAATTCCTCGAGGGAAGTCATCGGCTTCCCGCCGTCAAAGACCGTTTCCAAAGCAGTTGATAATTGGGACCAAATCTTCTCGAAATATTCATCTGAATTCAACCGCGGCCCCGAACGGAGATTCTTGACTACTAGTCTTTTGGCACCTGTGTGTGGCGTGAAATTGCTCGGCCGTGAGACAACGGCAGGCCCGTTGACTTTTCGCGAGAATTTTTCATTTGTCTTGGAGTCTGAACTCGAAAAATTGTACATCTTGTCAGATGAAATCAACGTATGTCTAGATTTGTTCGGGGATGGCGAGGGCGTGATCGAGCTTCGAAGTCGTTTCGGTGATGAAGGCTGCTGACAATCCCTGGCTTGGGGGTTGTTGCTCGACAAGAGATCCGAGATGCTTCTCTGGTGTTGTTCGTCACTTTCTTCGTGAACCTGTCTCCTCTTTTCGGCTGTCCCGCGCTTGCTGCCTCGGTGTTCGGTCGCTCTTGGATTGTGCTGCATCTACCCTAGCTCGATATCTCCCACTGGAGATGGCTATGAGAGGCGGAGGGATAGACCTGCGACTTAGGTTTTAAACATCGGAAGTATATAGGTAGACCTTGATGGCATGCGATTCACGTAGAAGGTTGTGGAACCAGTCGCGGTGTGACGGCGGTGGTGGTGGTGGTGGATGATGGATGGATGGATGAGTGAGCGATTACATACCTAACGAAGGTCGTGCGGAGATAAGATACGTACGCTCGGCCGTCGAAGGCCGCCGCTCCACATACTGCTTAAAGACTAAGTCGACATTTGTATATTGGGGAATTGCTGTTTAATAAGTCTGAACAATACAGAACTCTTGCGTATTTACTCTCTTTCGACCTTACATAAGTAGAGACAAATCTACCTCACAAACGTGGGCAATAAACACTAAGATTGGTTCAACTAGCTGGCTGGCTACATGCAATTCAACTCCTTCCAATGACTTTTCTAATGTCCATGACCCTCAACACCGGCAAGCAAAAATATGAGCATCCTAAAATCACCCTAGGAGAAGACCCTCTGTTCTGTGCTTTGTTCTAAGTCCTGGTCCTCGAACTAAATATAAAACGCATTAGTATGTGGGAGCATAGCGAGAATCTTCAAATCCCAAACACTTACCTCCACAAAACCAGCAGCACCAATTAGTGCTACATAAGCTTTGACAAGGCTTTGGATCACCTCACGATGATTTGAAGACACCTCCCCACCTATCTTGGCATGGCGCTTGAATATGCCGACCATACTGGGCCTGTTTTCCGTAAGGAAGTTCCGTGTGTGATCCATGATCTGTTCGTTGTGAAGACCCCGGGAAAATACTGCTAGGACGATAACTCGCAACATTGCGGCAAGAAGTTCATAATAATTCCGTAAAGCATCCGGGTTATCCATGTCTACGCTTGTTGTTAGTGCCATTATTTTACACCACCAATGAACTGTGAAAAGCTGACCTATTCCAATATCTGGATCAGCAGCGAAGAGTCGTGACTCTCGGATTGAAGCAAAAAGCCCAGCATTCAGCACAAGAGTCGCCCCAATCTTCGTCTGACAAAGTTTCTGGAGGAATGAAAGGAGTGCGTGGTAGAACGATATCAATAGGGGCACATCTGGAAATCATAATCAGCATACTCGCTTGTCCTCATTTGCGATTTGTGAAAGGGAAATGCCTTGAACATACCATGCGCCTGAGCATCTCTAAATTCCGAAGACAGGAACTTAATAGAATCCAGAAACATGCTAAGGTAGTTGGATTGGGATATTGTCTCTGCCAACAAATGGGAACCTTCTTGGGCATCTAACTCAGCAAGCAGATTCAAAAGGAGTATAGCAGACACTTTGCAAGTATCCTGCCCAGCATACGCGTCGTCGCTAACAACCTCTATCAAGGAAACGCCGGAAGCCTTGACAGCTTGTTGGCACTGACGCCGCAAGTTCTGGTGTATAGAGCCGGGTGTCTTTGTGATTCGAGAAATATAATGAGCACAGATGTTATAGAAAGATTCGCGGAGAGATACATCTCCGATGGCCAAAGAGACGCCTCGGATGCTGATTTGGAATAGTTGGTAGAGTTTCTCATCGATCAAATCACCCCCACGACTAGGCTGACTTGCTGACGTTGAACTTCCAAGTTTGCTTATGAGGGTTTCCGCTAACTGAGAAAGCTGAATTGCTTCGGCCACATTCTCAGTCATAGCAACTTCAAGTTTTGGCGTAATCAAACTGATTGCTTGAAGTACAAAAGTCCTCCGCCGCCCCTCTTCCATATCACATGAAATGACCATTGTTGTGATAAGTTCAGCCCACGAACGGATAGCAAGAAACCGATTGAAATGTATCTGTTTCTCCACATTTATTACGCGCAAGAAGACGAGAACGTGTTCTGCTTCTAGTTGAAATTGCTCTTCCTCCTGTGGCCGGACTGGATTGCTCCCTACAAATTCTTTCCGCCTCAATTGGATGAGTTCATGGGCTGCATCAAGATCATACAATATAAGAGAGCTGTCAGATTGGGGTTTGGCACAAATTTCAAAATCCACTCCCTGGAGGAAATGCAATTTAGGGAGTAATAGGCCATGCGAAATTTTCAAGTCTGCGAAGTCGAAAAGATCAAAGACGGTAGCATGAGGTATTGTCTCCCCGTTTTCAACAAGTGACATTCCAAGCAATGTCGACAGAATGTCCAGTTGCAGTGTTTGCGATCCCAACTTTGAAGCAGCTCGGATTTCGGTAGCCGCATAGTCATACAAATGACTACGGTAAGCTAGGAATTCAGAGAGAGCACTTGCGGAATCAGAAAGCCAAAATTCTTCTGCGAAGGAGGGAAATTCGTCCCAGAGTGTGTCGAGATTAACAAGGGGCTGGTTAATAAAAGACACTGTCAAAAAGCGACTCATGCGAAGCTCGGTCAGGACAAAGGCAGACGACAACTTTGATGACCAAAGATGTCTCAAAACCTCGAAAGCCAGGCGCTTGGAATGAACAGTCCATGATAGGATATTTCCGTCGATTTCGGTAGGATATGTCTGTATGAAGTTGATCACAGCATGAAGTAACGACATGCCCTTGGCAAAGAGGCTCTTCGAGTCCACATCGAGTGTGCTGCCTACACAGGAAAATCCAAGAAGCAAATGTGCAATATTGGGCCTGTCTGTGATCATGGCAAGACAGCTATTCAGCAGCCCCAGAAGTCCTTCTCGAATCAAATATCCAGACGACGTGGGGCCATAGTCAAGCTCCCTAGGATCAGGTTGCATCTGATTGACTAATGGCCGAGATACACTATCTGCATCAACTTCTGTACTGAGAACTTCCACAATTCTGTTCGGTGATTTCCAAGTAACGAGAAATGTTGCTGTAGACTTGTTGAGCTTCCTAGAACTCGAAAGTTTCTCCAGCAATGCCATAGAAACAACCGTGAGCTGTTGATGACCAGTCCCGCAATAGAGACATAGATCAGGTATCAAAGGAAGATTGTTCAGAATGCTGTCCTCAAATGAGGCAAGAGCCGAATTTGCCACAGTGGCCTTAGCTGTAGTTATCTGGTTTCTAAGTTGTGGGCGTACAATGTTAAGGTATGTTGATTGAAGGTCCAAGAGCAAATTCATCACCTCCACGCTCTTCACTAAAGATTGTATGAGGACTGAGTCGGACGCTGCCTTTGCCACTTCGGATGCATCTTGCCTAGCTGTCACGAAAAGGGTCTTGAGCACGTCTTCATTGAATAGCCACTCGAAGACCCGGGCAAATGGATGTAGACGAATGTAATTGTTGAGATCCGAAGAATTTATGCTCGTTTCTGGGCTGGCGGCAGGTTGGTGGGCAATGCCCACCAGGTTTTCATTGAATGTTGCCAGGCAGGTGGCCACAAAAGTTAGACAGTTCAGTGCAAGCAGTCTCCCCTGCGCCTCGCTGACGTCGGGGATTTTACGTGCAAATGCATGACCTATAATGAAATCGATGTATGGTTCAATGCCGGGCATTCGGTACGATGCTCCTAGAGCCTCTGGGAATGGTAGCGCGAGTTGCTTATCGGGTAGATCAGATGTCGGCGTAACCAGTGAGTGAACCAACTCAACAAAGGAGTTTGTTTGATCAAAACTTTCTCCAATCTTTTGAAATGCATGCCGCTCGTGCCAGGCCGGTTGGTTGGAGAGTATCGGTGCCTTTGCTAGCCCGGAAGCGTTTGCTGCGGCGCCCGAGATCCACTGGTCAAGAGCTAGCCACATATCGTTGCCATGGTTTGACGTGCGGTCTGTCATCAAAGCTTTGAGAGTACCAAATGCGCTTGCTCTGAGATGTGTGGGGATAGAGCCACTACACAGAGTTAATAGTGTGCTAACGACGTTGAAGCTAGGATGGTGTAGCATCCACTCTCTAATAGTGCTACTTTGTTTGGATAAATGCCCAATGAGTCGAAGGTAACAAGTGAGCATTACAGGACTTTCCGGTTCGTTCATGTCGGCGTTTTCCGATTTTCGCGTGTGAAGTATTTGATTTGATGCCGAGGGCTTTTCAGTAACCTTTGTCGCGTAGAGCTGAAGTTCCGCGAACATTTGGCTCCAGTTCATGGAAGGCGAACGCCTGAATTTAACGGACATCTGTTTATCTTCTTCAGATAGAAATCTATGTGCCGCTATCGCGTTGTCTTCACCTTCCGAAATCGAGCACAACATTTCACAAAAGGCACTAACGCGTGGAACAGTCTGCCGTTTCGATGCCCACTGTAGGAAGCCGTATAGATTGCCATCTGTATCGGCCCAGAACTCCTGCGCGGGATCATGCCGACCCTCAAAGGCAAATGCCATTATGACCAGGAAAGTTTCCAAGTGCGTGCGCGCTTCTAATACACCACGGTGCAAGCTAGAATTGAGCCCATCCCTAAGTGCAGTGATTTGGTCTAGGCGCTGAGCATCTTCGTCGGTCTTCAGCATTCGAACAGCATTTGGCATATTGGCGATGCATGACTCTGTAAATGTATCAAAATGCTCCATTAAAAGTGATTTCAAAAATTCAGAGACAGTGTCGGTGTCTAGCACAAAGGCCTGGCTTTCTTTCAACAAGAGGCTCACTAGTTCATTTCTGGCTGGATGATTCCATTCCTCATTGTCAACACTCGCACAAATGGCGAGCATAAATTCAAGAGCTCCGTCATCTAGGCAATCCTTAAAGAGCTTGGTTCGCTCTTCTGCCTCCTTTTCAAGATCAACGCCTTGTAAGGGCGAGGCTGGGCCCGAATCAAAATACCATCCGCTGTAGACCGATAGCCACCAGGCTATCACAGCCGCATGGAAGGAAGCGAGGGCCCATACGCTGCTATCTTTGGTGGAAATAACTGCCAAATGGAGGCTTCGAGCCTCACGCTGCGTGCCAGATCCGCTAGGAGAACCGTATTGAACGAGTGAAGCAATGATTGCGGGGATGTAATGCACTAGAAGCAAATCAAATCGGTCTAGTTTCCGCATACGATCTAATAGAAATCGAACATCTTCGGAAGAGGTGTACGTTCCTTTGAAGAGGTAGCAGACAGTGGCTCCCAGAGACTCGTGTTGCTGGATTAAACTCGCACGTTGGTACTCAAAGGCCTCCGTGATATCGGCATCGTCGGCCTGGCCAACAATGGAGACTTTTTGAATTTGATCAGCGATGAGAGTCAACCACCTCTCCATTTCTTCCATAGCTGCAAAGCATTTCCTTACAAAGAGAGACGCATTGCGAAATGTTCCCTCTTTTGTTTCGAGGATATGAGCGACCATATTTTGCATCAATTCCTGTATCTCCTCTCGTTCCACATCAAACGACTCTTGAAAGATCAAGCGCAAGCATTCGAGCAAGAAGTGTCGACGTTCGTGAAAGCGCATGATGGCAGTAATGAGCGGCGTCCTATCGAGCTGCTGAGCCTCCTCTTGCGCCGCCATGAAAAGACTGGCTGCTTCAAGTTCGTCAAGATTCAGCGCATCAGCAAGTTGCAAGGCTCCTTGCTGAAAGTCGGGATTGATCGCATATTCGACGTCCTCAATTGTTAATTTTCCTGGGCAGACATAAGCCAGTCAGCACTGGTCCCCTCACAGATCTGAGAATCGCGATCAGCACTCTCACTCACCTGTCAGGACCGATTTACGACTGTTGTCATTCTTCGGCGGCTTGTCCAGGAGTATGCGAAAATCATGAAGGTGAGATTCTAGTTCGAGACAAAGACGTTCAATGTTGACCATCGAAGAATCGGTAATGACTGAGAGGTCTTGATACAGGCCACGCAGGCCTCCCAGGGATTCAATGCCATCCATAGTCCGGTCAATATCTGGAATAGAAAATGGAACGACTGGGAGGAGAAAAGTAAGCCTGCCTGGCTTCGTTTCTCAGCGCGATCCTAGCTGTTGTTGCTTGTTTGACGCGGGCAAAAAGTGCAGGCGGAGAAAGATCGCGGCGGCGGCCAATCTCCACTCGAGCTTTCTAAATTCTGCAGGTGCGGAGCTTCCCTTCCGGCCGTGGGTGAACTGAAATCAACAATCTTTCCATCTGATTTCTCTCCTCTGAGTAAATATATCTATCTTCTTCCGTCCCATCGCTTTTCGCCAGAATTCCATCACTCAGTTGTTCACATATTCTATGGATAGAAACGTTTCGCATGCTAGAATGGCCTGCTAAGTGCCAACGACTCTGACACAGCGAAATACATACTTTTATATACCAACAACATGTTATGATGCATGCGCTTTTCACTTGCTGGCCTGTCTTGACCATGTTGGATATGCAGACTAATGGCTGAATCAAGTCTGAGTGAGACAGTTGCGCGTCTCTCTTCTGACAAGCAGAGAGACCGCACAGAAGCTTTAAACGGTACGGAACTCCCCTGTGGATTTTTGGAACCTTGGAAGTTGGCATGACCTGATTGGCATAGATCTGAAGAGAATTCTTGGTTTAAAAGGCCATAACTTGTAAGGTATTGCCCTCTCTTGAGTATGGCTTGTACTGACTGTCGAGCAACGCATAGCGAAGGACTGAATGATAAATCATATCATAGAATTTTCGAGGCGCTATTTCGCTGTGTTGCTATTGAGAAATCAATACACAACCGCTCGAGCAAACCGAGCTCCAGAAGCGTATCTGTGTCTCGTCTTCCACTGTGTGCCTCTGCATTCAGAGCTACAATAGAGGTATCTGTCCCTCTTTTACGGACAAAAACAGTCCATGCCATAATTGATCATGTTGTCCAAACTATAAACCGGCCAGGAGATGGATTATGGGAGCTCCTTGGACACGACTACATCAAAGGCCTTAGACTGCTTCTGGAATATCCAGCCCATGTGGAACATCTAACCGAAAGTGACTGGATTGATGCTGCTACGCTTTGCCTTCTGTGTCTCAGTCAGGCCGGAAATGAGGGAATCCTACTTAGTATCCGAACGAGCTATCGCTCATCATCTGAGGTCTTGAATGCCGAAAGTAGTCGACTGACGCCTAGTCGATCGATTTCTGCTCGAAATGCATCGTCTTCAATATCACAAGCAACTAGAAGTATCTCCGACGAAGCCGTGTTGTGCATTCAACTTCTTACTTCGACACCAACTGCTCCTTTACAAGACATTGCTAGACAGCTCATGAGTGAGCTCTTAGTATATCTATCTCAGTCGACAGCAGCCAACGCCCACCAGGCTCTAAAAGCTATTAACAACACCCTCGAAAGAGTTATATGCGATCAATGCGCCTTAGTCGAGGAAATTATCCCGGATATATTTCCTGTCATTCGTCGCCTTTGGCTAACAAAGTCATTGGCTGTGAAGGATGAAGCCCTCGTTACCATGATGTTGTGCATGGATCTTCTGCATATCAACGCAGAGTCATCTTTATTGCAGACATCATTTCAAACACTTGAGGATCTCCTAGAGACTTTAGAATCTGAATATCTTAAACGTCCGGACAAAGAGCACTTGCAAATTGAAGATCTAGTCTTTTATCAAAGCGATGACTGCATCAAACAATTTCGTCTTTTTGGACCTCGCCTTGGTAATACGAGATCTGAACACAACTGGACTTTGCTGTGGACGATTTCAAGTCTAATCAGCGTCATTGACAACGCATCAGACCGATTTTCAAAGCCCAATGATGATGAGTCGGCACCAAACAAGAGACCACGTCTATCATCACGCATGGATGATTTGTCACGAGAATGCATCACCTCTACCGGATTAAGGAGAGGGTATTGTTTACAATTGGTATCCTTTTTAGCAAACCAAATATCTGTCGAAGTTAAGGCTTCTATTTTGAGTCGCTTAGCTGTGAACATTATAGACGACAATCCTTCCACGGCGAATTGGACTTTGTTAACCATAGCAAAGTAGGTAACTTCGTATTTGAACTATTACAAATGATAGTCTTGTTGACAATTCTGGCAGTATCGCGTTAAGCGACATTTCGAGATCTTCGTTGCTTAAATCACATTGGAAGCAAATATGGGATCTATCATCTCGGGCATGTGCTTCCCAGGTCAATACGAGAGCTGCCTGCGCCTTAATGGAGACTATTTTGCGCTTAGAGCTCGTTGAGAACGCAGAGGCAACGGATACAATACGGTTGATGTTGTCCAGTATGGATATCAATGGACCATCAGCTTTGTGTGACACCTCCTTGCTACTTCTGGCCAGAATATTCAACAAACGCTTACATACAGCGTCTGGCCTTGGTATAGATTCTGCAAAAAATGCTTGCAATTGGCTACGGAGCTTGTGGAACTTTGGTATTCTTTTTGTCCTTCTTCCCCGTCTATTAGTTACAATTCCTGACTTATAACAAACATAGGTGCTGGAAGCGAGAAAATTCAAGCTGCGCAAGTCGCTTTATTCGCCCGCCCGGCAAATTTTCTTAGCTTTCTACTCTCGATTACTAACAAGACGGCATCTCTACGCAATCTAGAGTATCAGGGTACAGTAGCTACCATTTCAAGCGCTTGGTTTCGCCATCGTGAGAGAAAATCACTTAAAGATTACCTCTTTTCGTTTGACAACCAAGCCATCCTAAATGATCTTTGGTATTTCGAAGAAACATTCCTGTCATTGGAATCTTCAGCCAGAAGTGACGCAAATGATCATATCGCGATAGAATTGCTGCAAACAAAGGTAGATACTTTTTCACAGGCGTGGAAGATGATGTCCGAAGAAAAGTCACACTACATTACAACAGACATATTCAAGATTGTGGTTTCTGCATGCATTGTTGTCGCACTATTTGTTGAATGTCTTCCTCAACCTCAGAGTAAGCGTGTCACCGATTTACGGAAATCTGGCTTTCGCCTTTGGTCAGATATCTGTAATCACATCCCGTCAAGGGACGGCCTTATGCAGGCATGCCTAAGCATTCTATCGCCCGTGGTTTCATCTGGCTCATGTGCACTAGATTATGCGGATCCTACATCACGAGCTTTACGCGACCTTGCCCTCCCTCTCGTTGACACTCTGAAAAGGAGTAAATCAAAACAAGAAGATGCCTACTTGGATGACCCTGACGCAATGGACTTCGATGAAGCTTCCTCGTCCCAGCAGGATGAGCTAGCAAGCAATGTCATCTTGTGTTATAACCGGCACGATTGTTGTGCATTTCCTGAAATGAACACCTTTGAGCACTGCCTATCGATACAACTTACTCTCTTTCTCCTTGGTGACAAATCAGCGAAAGTAATAGGACCCTCAAATGAGACCTCACTTTTGGGTTACTTGAAATCCCTGAATGACGTGGATGTCTTGTCAGCGCGAAGACTTTTGTCTCGGCTTTTTCAAGAGTCTCACCGTTTTACCCGTACTGATATACTGGAAATCGTGGAGCATTTTGGAGAAATTTGCTTACAGACGTATCAATTAGAGCGATGTGAAAGCGCACAGTGCTTCTCTATTCACATGATGGAGTGTTTCGTTGATTCGTGGACCAGAAATGAGAGTGACGATCTCAATGATTCTGCTGCGGACCTGTACGGTTGGTTTATACAAGTGTTTATAAAGAAGAAAAAGGGGTCATCCAGAGTCTTGATTGCTCTCTCTCGCTTGCTAGAGAAAGTCATCTTTTTGAACCCTACTTTCAGCGTGGACAACGCGGGCCCCTCCCCTCGGACAAGCTTATTCAACATTCTTCGTGATGGCGATACAATGGTGAAATTCACGATTGCCAGCTGTATCTCCAATGTGTTCAGTCGCTTTCTTCTCAAAGACCACGAGAAGATTTTTGACGATGTCCTGGAGAGTCTGCCTACAGACCCGGATTGGAATGAAGGTATTGCCTTACGACTTTATATTCTTGGGTGCTTAGCATCGCGATGGCCTACTCTTCTCCGAAGAAGCATCTACCATATCTTTGAAACTCCTGCGCAAGTGTCCGCATCAACCCGGTACGCTCAAAAGTGTCTGTTAGATGTCTCTCGCTCATTAAGACTACGGGAACCAAAAGATATTTTCCGGCTTTTTATGCCTCAAATTCTTTACACTTGGACTGAGACCCAGTCTATATTTTCAATGCCTTTCACAATATTTGGTTACTCGAGTCTAAAGGAGATGCTTCAAGATTCTCAGGATGAATTGGTTGGACAAATCATGATGAGAGCTAGCGATCATGATGCCGAGGAGGTAGCTAAGCATCTTGAAAAGCCATTCACTGTGTTATTGCATGAATCATTCCATAAAGCTGAAGCTTACACAGTGGCTCGTGATATCAGCCTACCGCCTTCTCAGGATAGTCAGCCTAAGGGAGTGGAGAGCCGAGTAAAGAAAGTTCTTGGTATAGATCAATTCGCACAGTCAGTTGAGATGAAATTTCCCGAAATTATTGGTGCCCTTTTCAAATCACTTTCCCAGGAAGAACAAATTGAACGTGCATTTGCAAAACGACCTAGTTTTGGCTACGCGGCTGAAATCCTCAAGCGTATCACAGGAAAAAGTCTCTCTGCTTCTGTACTTCCAGGCAATCAGCAGCCGTCATTCAGGGCTCGATATCTTCTCGACGAGCTTGAATATATCTGCAAACGAGCTGGGTATGACCTAAAATCTATGTGGACGCCAGCGATGGTCTCGTTTGTATGCCGTATGCTTCTTGACTCTATGGACCCTGCCCTTGGGTCTCTTCACGCCTGTGCAGTTCTTAGAAAAATTCGGATTCTGGTCTGCGTTTCTGGACCGATCATGTCTCAAGATTACCCCCTGGAGCAGCTTTTAAATGCACTTCGGCCGTACCTGACAGATTTTCATTGCTCCGAGGATGCACTGGGTCTGTTTTGGTATCTTCTCGAGTCGGGAAAATCATATCTCACTGGACATCCAGGATTTCTTGCAGGTGTTGCTGTGTCGACGCTTGTATCATTGAGAAATTTTCTGCGATCCTCACCGGAAAGCACCACCCAAGAGAGTCAATTCAAGACAGTCCTATCCAAGTTTCAAAAATTTCGACAGTGGCTCGGGGACTATCTGGAGGACTATCGACCAACGAATCTTGATGAACATTCTGCAGAGTCATTGCGGCGAATGGTGAGATCGTCGAAGCATATTTGCAATACAGGCAATTCTGAAAAGGGTACATATGAAAGTGAGCTTCTGCTCGAGCTGCTTCGTGACAGAGCCTCCAGTAAGAGGCTCTTGAGCCCATCAGTGTCTGATCTTGTTCTCTCGCTGCTCTGTGTTGAGTTTAGGATGTCTTCAGACTTATTCAATGACATCCTGGGGGATGATAGCGAGTCATCTAGACATAGTGTCGCTGTCTGGCAAAGCATTCAGAATGGGCTAACTGATAGAGGATACCGGCTGTGGGCTGCTCGAGTGCTTGGACGAGCGTTCGCAGCAACTGGGCAAGTCAGTGACGAATTGCTTCGAGAGCAGAATATGGAAGCAATCCCATCTCAATCACAAACTATGCAAGATTCAGACCCATTTCTTGTATCGAAGGTTGCTATCTTGCAGGTCCTTTGTGAAACTCTTTCAGGTAGTGACCGTTCCAACTTGGGGCTTGTGGAAGGAACTTTGCAACTTATCATGAGCAAAATTTCTAAAATCCCAGATCTCGAACAGTGTGAGAATGTTATTCCATCATCTCTTATGAAGGCACTCATCTGGGAACCCTATCATTGCCCTACTATTCCCACTCGTGTTCGTCAAACCACGAACAACAAATCTTGGCCAACCCTAAAACTTGAAATACCAACGACATCTACTCAGTGGGCTAGGGACTTGACATTAGCACTGGCAAGTTCAGCTGAAGATGATCCTGTTATCGGTCATCTGAGTGAAGTCCTCTTTAATATACCTGATATATCTGTGAGGCTCCTCCCGTTTGTTCTACATGATGTACTACTCTTGGAAAGCGGGCAGAAACAGGTGTGTCGAGAGAAAGTCTCGAAGATTTTCAATGACGTTCTTCATACTATTACTGAAGCGACTATTGCGCATGGCCAAATAGTCTTGAATGCAATTCTCTATCTTCGTCAACAGCAGAGACCGCAAGAGTCAACAATAGTTGAACGTGAAGAGTGGTTGGATATCGATTACAGTTTAGCAGCCTCTGCAGCGGTTCAATGTAGAATGCATAAAACTGCTTTGATTTTCATCGAAATTCAGGCTTCTCGAACTGTCAGCACTAGTCGTCGATCTTCTATTGTGAAATACTTGCCTCCAACAGATTTATTGCATGATGTTTACAGGAAGATAAGCGACCCCGATCTGTTTTATGGAATACAACAAGATGCCACTCTAGAGTCAGTCATGGAGAAGCTAGCATATGAAGGCGCAGGTTTCAAGAATTTGATTTTCCAAGGCGCTCAGTATGACAGCGACCTACGACTAAATGGCGAGGGAAACACCTATGGGGTATTCAAAGCTCTTAACGCAACCAATCTTCATGGTGTTGCTAGTGCCATGCTTGCTATTCCAAATAATGCAGAAGGAGCGGCTACAAATACAGATCATTTATTATCAACAGCCATAAGCCTACAACAATGGGATATTCCTGCCCTACCATCAAACAGCTCTGCCATGAGCGTTTTGTTCAAGGCATTCCAGAATCTCAACACTGCTAGCGTGATGAAAGATATTCTCAAATTCAATGATAATTGCTTCCTAGAAATTCTTGATCATTCCCAGGACAGAAATCGTTCTGTGACAGCGCTGCGTGATTCAATGCGAGCACTTGGCCTCTTGACTGAAGTGGATGACATCCTACGGTCTACCACCCCAACGCAGATAGAAGATCTGTGGAATAGAATTACATCAAGGACGTCTTGGTTTCAAACTGAAAAGTATGTTCAACTTTAATTTTGAGTTGTGAGTAATTAATTAACTTTCATTCTTCACAAAATAGTTTCCAGGACATTGCACACATTTTATTCTGTCGAAGCGCCCTCTTCTCATCTATCAATAAGCGGCCTTATGTGAAATCCGCTCTCAAGTTGACATCGCGTATGTCGCAGCTTTTTGAAGCCAAGGCTCTGAGAGAGTCCTTCCAAGTGAGCCGAGATCTTGAAGGATCCCAAGAAGCTTTAAAATCTGCTATTTCACTTTCAAAACTAGTGAAGCCGTGTTCGGAACTTGGTATAAGTATAGAAGGAGCAGCAAAATTTGATATGGCCAACGTTCTTTGGGACCAGGGTGAAATGACTACTTCCATTCGCATGCTACAACAACTGAACGAGCAGGGCGACCTCCAAAGACAGGCGCTTGTGGTTAGTCGGGCAGAAGTTCTAGCTAGTCTAGTATGTTTTCTATTCATTTGCCATTATTTCTTGTCTTTATAACAGAAACTTCGTTGGTCATTTTGTACGATGATAGACAACAGCTAACAGTTATCACAGGGACACCATGTCGCAGAAGCACGCCTGGAGAAACCTGATGCCATAATTGAGGAATATTTAGTGCCTGCGGTGAAGGAGCTTCGGGGCAATACCGAAGGCGAAGAAGCTGGTGGTGTTTTTCACCGTTTTGCGTTGTTCTGTGACCAGCAGCTTTTAAATCAGGATAGCCTGGAAGATTTTAAGCGCATTGAACAGCTTCGTGACCGCAAAGAACAAGAAGTTATAGCCCTTCAGCAAATGATGAACGTTGCTGATGGTAAAGAAAAGAATCAGTTAAAGATGCATTATAACAAAGCAAAAGGATGGTTCGATCTTGATGACCGCGAGTTTCAAAGGCTCAAAAATAGCCGCCAAGCATTCCTACAACAATGTCTTGAGAACTACTTGCTATCCCTGAGAGCATGCGATAGCTACAAAAATGACGCTTTAAGATTTTGTGCCATTTGGCTTGACAAATCTAGCGATTTGAAAGCAAACGAGTCTGTGGGCAAGTACCTAAGCAAGGTGCCAAGTCGAAAGTTTGCTCCATTGATGAACCAACTGTCCTCCCGTCTTCTGGATCAATCTGATTTATTCCAAAGCCTCTTATCTGCACTTGTTTTCCGTATATGCGTGGACCACCCATATCATGGCATGTACCAGATTTTCGCCCATAGCAAGTCAAAAGGGAGCAGAGACCAGGCAGCATTATCTCGTAACCAGGCCGCAGGCAGGGTGGTTGAAAAGCTGAAAAATGATGCGTCTGCTGGCCCCATGTGGATGTCCATACATAATAACAACATCTGCTATGTGAGATTTGCCACAGAAAAATTGGACGACAAGATTAAGAGCGGTGCAAAAGTCCCGCTCAGGAAGCTTCCCACTGGCCTTCGACTAGAACAAGACGTCAACAATCAAAGACTCCCGCCGCCTAGCATGAAGATAGAGCTTCGGGTGGATTGCGACTACGGTGACATACCAAAGGTTGTCAAGTTTCAGTCTGAATTTGCAGTGGCTTCCGGTATAAGCGCGCCCAAGATAGTGGCCGTCCTTGCTACCAACGGGCTGCGTTACAAGCAGCTAGTAAGGCCACCACTGCGTTACCCTCGGAAGAGACATAAGAAGGCTAATGATTTATCTATAGGTGAAAGGAGGAAATGACGACTTGCGGCAAGATGCTATTATGGAACAGGTTTTTGAACAAGTTAGCCACGTGCTACGAGATCATCGGTCCACTCGACAACGCAATTTGAACATTCGCACATACAAGGTGCTGCCACTCACTTCTAATGCAGGCATAATTGAATTTGTCCCAAATACCATCCCACTGCACGACTACTTAATGCCAGCGCATCAGAAGTACTTCCCTCGAGACATGAAACCCAACGCGTGTCGCAAACATATCAACGACGTGCAGACGAGGTCACTCGAGCAGCGGGTGAGAACCTATCGCCAAGTAACAGATCACTTCCACCCCGTGATGCGATTCTTCTTCATGGAAAAATTTAATAACCCGGATGACTGGTTCAGCCGGCGACTGGCTTACACTCGGAGTACGGCTGCAATCTCAATACTGGGACACGTCCTCGGGCTTGGTGATCGACATGGACACAACATTCTCCTAGACGAGAAAACGGGCGAAGTAGTACATATTGATTTAGGGGTAGCTTTCGAACAAGGCCGAGTTCTTCCTGTGCCTGAAGTAGTCCCCTTCCGACTGACCAGAGACCTGGTCGACGGCATGGGCATCACCAAGACAGAAGGAGTATTTCGCAGATGCTGTGAGTTTACGCTCGAAGCCTTGCGCCAGGAATCATACAGTATCATGACTATCTTGGACGTCCTCCGCTACGATCCATTGTATATGTGGACTGTATCCCCTCTGCGAATGAGACGCATGCAAGATGACCAAGACGCTGGAGGAGAACCTCCGACAGTACTGGCCGATGGCGGAGGGGGAAATGTTGCAAAGAAGAATAACAACAATAACAACGAGCCGAGCGAAGCAGATCGAGCATTGACCGTCGTAGCAAAGAAACTTAGCAAGACTCTCAGTGTTACGGCAACGGTTAACGAGCTCATCCAACAAGCTACAGATGAGAGGAATTTGGCAGTTTTGTATTGTGGTATGTATGCCCTCTTTTGTTTCCCCCCTTTTGTCTCAAACACATGCTAACTTGACTCGTGCCATGTTAGGATGGGCTGCTTACGCATAGCTAATTTTATTCATTCAGTTCAATTTTGGGTAGTGAATTGTTTTCTATGATACGCACGCCGTATTTGGCTTATAGTCGAAAGCGATCCCTAGACGAGACATGCACTCGTTCTATATGGTAAATAATATATTTGCAGTAAAAGGACACCTGTATCTACATCCGCTACATACAAAATAGAATGGATAAAAAAAAGTATAGATACAGAAAGCCGCCAAGAAAAATACTTCTTCGGTCATTTCTTCCCAAGTCAACCAACCTCAATAGCCTCTTACCCACCAGGCACAGCGAGAATGGTCAGAGGTAATGGGGGAAAGAATCAAGGCGGTAGGCCAAGCTTTTCATTGTATCTGAATGGCAATTATGTGAATTAGAGAATTAAAAGAGAAAAACCCAGCCCATTCTGTGATAGAAGGGAGATGAGAGAAAAGCAAAAAGCGCGCTGGCGTAGAAGAAAGATAATTTTGCAGAGACCACCAAGTCTATGAGGTCATCGCTAAATGGGTATAAAGAAAGTCGACGAATCGATGGAGAAACAAAAAAGGTAGAATTGCAATTCGAGAGGTGGACTGATAGGGTTGAGCTTGCTGAAATATTCATGAGCAGGATCCAGGGGTTTAACAAGTTTTACCAACAGAATGTGAATACCTGAGGCCTCCGAAATCAACACCGTTAAAACGCCGCAGAAAGATGGAAGTGAACAAAGCAATCGTCAAGGCATAATGTCGGATGGAACGTTTCAAAATCTGAAGCGCATCAGGCGAGCTAAGGAGAGTCCGCCTGACCTATATCACCATCGATGATTTTTCTCCAATGCTGGGGAAGACACACGCAGACAAGAGGAAATGCTTTAATCTCTCCACGGGCCTGAGGTGATGAATCTCGTCTTCCTTGGGATCCATTTGATACTCCACTGTCTCGTTGAGCGTTGTGCTCATCGTAAAAGTCCTCTGCTCGCTCGTTGATCCTAACACCAGTCGCCCAGCCATCATCCCATATGCCAACGATTTTTAGCATATCACCACGATCCAGCTCAAACTCATCAGCAGCACGAGGTTGATAGGCCCACAGAACTGAAACCCTATCGTTTGGATGGATGTCATCTTGTGAATAGTAGTCCCGGAAATAAGGCAACTGTTCTGATTGTCCACTAGCGACACCTTCAGGTGACGAAAACTGACCGGCTGTGCCTGACAAAGGTGAACTATCAGTTTCTAATCCCAATGCAGACGTACTAGACAGCGAGCCCTGACGTCGGCCGGCCACAGGAGCTCTTCTCCGGGAACGGGACTCTGGGCTAGAAATCAATCCCTCCGAATCAGAAGTATCACTGTATTTTCCTGCAGCTGGAAATACGCCTCTAGCGGCACTTAGGTGGTCGGAGTCATCTGCTTCAGCTTGTAGGGCAGACATTCTTGCAACGCGGCCGCCAGGGACGGGTTCAAGGCTCCTTTTTGAGGACGCTACGGGGGCCATTTGCATGAGCTGATTGCTTCTTTTAGGTGTAGGCTTATTGAAAACATCATCGTCCGTTGCGTTGCGATGTTTTCGCAAACAGAAAAATAGGAGTCCCAGGAGTCCGGCGACAAGGGCAAACCCAGCAACTGATCCCACGGCAATGCCCGCGATTTGACCGCCGGACAGATGAGAACCACTTGGATTATTAGATGCGGTAGGAGTTGTGGTAGCCGTCGTAGTAGCTGTGAAAAGAGGGGGCAAGGAAGAAGTTGCCGGGATGGTAACATTAGAGCAGCTAGTCGAAGCATCGGAGTTGATGCAACAAGAGTCGGTGGCGTTTGGCGAACTGGAGGCACAATAACTACACAGACCTTCAAGGTTCGTGCTATAGCCACAGTTGTCGGGTTCATTTTGCTCGCCGCTAATACAGGAGCCCGTCAAAGAGTCGGCAGGCAGCGAGCAGTCGGTGAAATCGGCGCGGATCTGACTCATGTATGTAGAAAGCGTTGTATCACATGTTTGGTTATTAACCACAATCTCCTCCTCACTTGTGGCATACAAAGCCTAAACAGTCCTTATTAGCATTTGGTTACAACTCAGATAGGAAAGACCATTTCGGAACTTTCACTCACACATGTGGTTGCACAAAGCGGCATTGACTCGGTTTCACTCAGATTGCAGGGTGTCTTGGAGTTTTGCACAATACCGTTACAAATCACGCTCGTTGTGTAACGAGCGTAATAATCGCTGGTGTCGGTGAGATTGAGGTCCGAGCAACCCAAGAGAGTGCCATAGCTATAAATATATAGCATTAGAAATCTCCAAAGCGCAATTGCAGGGCACAACGGGAGAGACATACTGTTCCTTGACGTAGTCCTCACTGATATAACTGGTCAATTGCTCATCGAACTCTGAAACGGTTGAGACGTATTGAAGAAATGGACTAGAATACTAGGTCAGCGAGACGGCGCAACTTTACTCCGTGGCAAGGTGCAAGATTTCATACTAGAGAGCAACCAGGCTACTGTCGGTCGATATGGAAGAAGCATTGAAGGCGGAACAAGAGGTTGAATTCTTGAGGGAAATGCATGTCGACATGGTGGGCGACCCGGGCTCGCTCGAATTGCAATCGCAACCAATTCCGGAGCCTGTGCTACTTCTAAGTTCTCGGGGCCGATGATCCTTTTGATTTGGTTCGTTCAAGGCCTCGGCATGTCGATTTAATCGCGAAAGAATGAATTTGGCAAGCGAAGAGAGGAAATAATTCGGATGAAGACCGGGCAAGCCGCAGGAGATCCGACGAAACGAGTGGCAGGCAACAGGGGGCCAAAGAAGAAGAAGAGAGAGAGAGAGCGCGCGCGCGAGCGAGGGAATAGAGAAGGAACGACCGCCTTGTGGCAGGGAACGGCGCTTGACAAGGAGCAGCAGGAGGAGGAGGAAGAAGAAGAAGAAGAAGAAGAAGAGTAACGAATGGCCTGCTAAGACTGAAGCAGGGACGAGAGAAGAGAGAAAGAGCCGGCGAGGAAAGAGGGTTCGGCGGTGCACGCTCCCTGCCGCGCTCGTTTAGTTTAGTTAAATTGTGCCTAACGCAGTGTAGCCAAGCGCCTCGCAGCTAGTCAGGGGTTTATTACTGAGCAGATCGCCCGCCTTGCAGGAGGAAGACGGCGTTTATATATCTATCATCTACAGTTGAACAGCTGTCTGTAGGCATGACACGTAATATGGACGCACCTTGCAGCACCAGAGGCAAGACTCGCGAGTCGCAAAAAAAGCAAACTAGGCGTGCTGGCCGGTCCACTCGATGGAGGCTAAAACGGGCTAGGATGAGGCCGTCCTGTCACTGTCACTCAACTAACGAGCTAGCTCAGTGCGGTAGTTATAGGTTATAGTATCTGAGTGACTATATATTAACTCGTAACCAACTAGTAACTAGTATACGGAGATTGAATTAGGCAGGAGACAAACAGAGCAAACGGCTTAACGGCTCACGTGATCCGTGCCTGGCCCCGCCGCCAGCGGCAGTGACTAAGCAGAGATAAGACGTCATCTAACTAACTAACTAACTTAGGCTTCCGTATTTCACCTGCTCTCACGAGGCTGAGTTGATTCATCTTCCGTCTTGACTCCCTATCGCTACAAACACCTAAAAACGCTCCGAAACCATGTGCGGCGCAGATGTCTTCCTGGCCGTATTGGCAGTCTTCTTTCCTCCCATTGCAGGTAGGTACTGCATGCAGAGACCTCGCCTCCCAATATCACGATGCCAAGCTTGCTGACTTGCTGTTAAATTCTAATAGTATGGATCAAAGTCGGCTTGTGCACCGCCGATTCCATCATCAATATTGCCTTGTGCTGTCTCGGATACCTACCTGGGCTCATCCACGCCTGGTACATCATCTTGAAATATCCCGATTCCGATGACTATCCAGAAGGATACGAACCGATCGACCCGTCGCGCGCAGATGTCGAAGGCGGTCGTCGCGTGACATACCACTATGTCAGCAGCCGCCAACCCGCTGCTCAACCCCAACCCCAACCAGACAGAAGATATGGTGCGACAGAGACTTCGGCGCCCCAGGTTCCATCGCAAACAAGACCGGGAAACAGCAGTACAGAACAGCCATCCGGTGCTTCTCATCCCCCCACATATGCCGAAGCTGTGAGAGGCGACCACAAAATACAGACGCAAGCTTAGGATCCGGCGCTCTCGGGAATGCCTGTGCGCTAATTACTAGGGATAATCAATGCGTATATGCGTGCATCTGTAACTAGCGCCATCTTGATATACTTACAACATATCCCTCTATCCGGATATGATGGCATGCCATGTGGGAACTGCGTCTTCTTCTGCGAATACGTCCTTGAAGAAGGCGAGGAGCGCGTGGTGTATAATGATATTGTAACGTTGACACATGACTGGTTTCTTGGATGCAAAGTGCGGCTAGGGAGGGAAATGGGCTTGTTTTAATTATTCTCGTTTTATATAGCTTATTCCTACAATGCCACATTTAGGTGATCAATATTTATTATTTTCCCTTCGCCGTGAACAAACCTACCTCGTATCGCTGGGTACTTTGTATGTTGTCGGAGCGTCGGAGCCGAGGGTGAACCGGCTAGCCAATCAGAGGCAGAAATCCCGGCGCTCCGACGCCAAGATTGATAGCTACAGTTGAACGTCGTCTTTTTCTGTGTTGTGATTAACAACTACCACCAACAGCTACTGTCAACTGAGAGCCTCTGCTAGCAATGCAGTCAATGCAATTGCTGCTTAGGCAGCCTCTACAATCAGGCCTTGCCTTAGTAAGGCCTGCTTCATCCGTACCTCTCTCGCTCTCCCTCGGAAACCCCGCGCCACGAAATTCCTCAATATGCCTTCGGTGCCAATTTAGATCCCAGCTGCGATGTTTCACTTCAAAGCCGGAAAATGACTCGCTTCGCAAACCCGATACGAAACTTGAGAATCTATACACGGCTTTCGGCGCCGACAAGGATTTTTCCTCGCCGACCGCGGCCGAAGAGAACCTTCCATCGGCATCGGAGAGACGTCGATCACAGCTATCCAAACAATTCACAAATATCATGGACAATATCCAATCAAATATCTTCATTGCTGGTCAGAGGTTAAATGACTTGACGGGCTACTCGGGAATTGAAAGCCTAAAAAGGGAGATTGAAACGCAAGGTAACAATGATCCTTGTCTTTCCGCAGCTAAAATACAACGTTTAACTCCGTTATAGAGAATCAGGTACTAGATGCCCGCTCGATTGTCCGACAAACCAAAGACGCATACTCCGCAGCAATCAACCGACGTTCGGCCTCACAGCGCGAGGTCAATGAACTTCTCCAAAGAAAACATGCCTGGTCACCAGCAGACCTTGAACGCTTCACCTCGCTCTACCGCTCTGATCATACCAATGAAATCGCAGAAGTCGAAGCCCAGGAAGCTTTAACAAAAGCTGAGCACGACCTGGAGGAGGCCACAGCGAAACTCAACCGTAGCATTCTTTCCCGCTACCACGAAGAACAGATATGGTCCGACAAGATTCGGAGGATGAGTACATGGGGGACATGGGGACTGATGGGCGTGAATGTTCTTCTATTCCTCATCTTCCAGATCCTTGTTGAACCATGGCGCCGACAGAGGCTGGTAAAAGGCTTTGAAGAGAAAGTCAAGGAAGCTATAGAAACGGAGGCCGCAGCAAGCAGGGCTATCGTTGCTGGACTGACTCGGACATATGAGGCTGAAGCGTTGACGGCACCGGTGCCGGTCTCCGAAGATGATGCAGTCCTTGAACATAACACCGAGGAAATCATTACGGAGAATGACTCCAGTATAGCAGTCGTTTCTTCTCCGGTCGATGGGGCTCCTCCTTACGTTGTATCCGAACAGCCTTCGAAAATGGCTCTACTATCCGACAAAGTGTCCACACTACTGTCCACCGAATACTGGAAACAGTTCATTCGAGATACTTTCAGTGACCGCCATGTTGTGCTTACTCAACGGGAGTTGACCAACATCACAATCCAAAGCGCCGCAGCTGGAGCCACGTCCATCGGTGTTATTGCACTTATTGCACTTTTACGGCAACATTGATGAAACCTTGTGAGCCAAGTTCAGTGCTTATAATTTGCTACCGAGGACGTTGGTGTGACTATCGGACTGTATTATGACTAGTCTGATCACTAATCTGAATATTCGCCAGCAGCCGTATTGCATGCACATGCAAAATGTAGATCGCGGTGAAGAAAGCCCCTCCACCTCTGCACCAGATGTAACTAGGAGGGGCATTGTCTGTTTCCTACTTGTTCATATTGTACATTAGCTCACCTATCAACACATAGATTTTCAAGTATATTAGACCCTTCGATATCCGAGATTTCCCGCTCGACCCAAAAACACAACGAGCTCTATACACGGTCTGGTTCGATCCCACAAAGAAATTATGACATTATCCCAAAGATAAAAATTAGAAAGGTGTGCGAAGTACTCAGCCCCAGGATAAGGTTTGCAATTCTTCTATGCAAGACTGTTATACAAAGAAACTTGCACACACAAAGAAAGCTTCATACTCTGGCGTTCGTGTGAAAGAAAGAAAGAGAGAGCGAGAAACAAAAAGAAGCTTCCACAGGATAAAGAAAAAAAAAGCTAGCAGGATGTCTATCCCAATTGGTTACCGGCTTCGCAAGCACATTTTCGGACATCGTCCTGTGCAGCAGCTATCTCCGATTTCTCTCTGCGCGCATGACGGAGCTATAAAAGGATCGGTCTGTCTGTCTGTCCGACTCAGTTTCTGCTCAGGAAAGAAAAGGGACAGAAAAGAGAAAAGAAAAGAAGACAAAAAGAAAAAGAAAAGAAAAGAAAATAAGACTGACACGTCATACTCGTTCTAGACCTGCACGTGTCTGGCGAACCTTGTCCGTTCCTTCCCTTCTGCAGCTCCTCCATCCTTCCTTCTTCTCTTTCCTGCAGCACGTTGAGACCTCGAGGTCGACACCACCATCGCCGTCTTCAACCATACCAGCCATGGCCTCCCCCCATTTCGCCTTGGCTCACTCCGAGTGGGCTGAGCTGCAAAGGCTCCTCAAGTCCGACAAGCCTGTTGTCGTCGACGGGCACAGCTTGACCATCGCTGCTGTTATAGCAGTGGCCTTGTATGTGCTCACCATTTCTCTCAAAAGTTCTCTGGCTCTGTCTGACTGCTTCAAAAAAACAAAACAGGCATGGAAAGAGTGCGATTTTGACAGATGATGCTGCTACTCTGGATGGCGTTCAGGAAAGCGTCGATTTTCTCGAAACAGAGTTGCAAAGAAATCGCATCATCTACGGAGTCACTACTGGCTTTGGTGGAAGTGCTGACACTCGTACTGATAAGGTGCGAGGCCTTCAGGTCGCCCTGCAGCAACACCAGAATATCGGTGTCCTCCTCCCATCCGACAAGGGGCTGGTCAATGATTCAGGCCCACAACTCGAAGGCCTTCGAGACCATGCTCTTCCAGTGTCTGTCGTGAAGGCCATGATGCTCATTCGCTGCAATTCGCTCGTCAGAGGGCACTCTGCGGTGCGTCTAGCTCTCATTGAAAACATTCTTGTCCTATTGAAGCACAACATGACCCCGGTTGTGCCTCTTCGTGGCAGCATTTCAGCTTCCGGTGATCTTATGCCTCTCTCATATATCGTCGGCATGCTGGAGGGAAGTCCCGATATTTATATTCGCCTTGGTAACGAGAATCCCGCGACCTTCCTCCCTGCATACAAAGCTCTTCAACAAGTAGGCATCCAACCAATTCGTTTACAAGCTAAAGAGGGGCTTGGTATGGTCAATGGCACCGCTACTAGTTGTGCAGCTGGCTGTATTGCTGTTTATGAGGCCCAGCAAATTGCTATTATGACACAGCTTCTCACTGCCATGGGCACGGAGGCGTTACGGGGCACCGCTCATAATTATCATCCCTTCATTTCAGACATTCGACCACATCTGGGACAGGTAGAGGCCGCGACGAACATAACCGCTTTCCTCTCAGGGTCCGATCTTGCGCTAGGTAGACATCCTGAGACAATTGGTCTCGCCCAGGATCGCTATGCTCTTCGCACTGCGCCTCAATGGATTGGTCCTCAACTAGAAGATCTTATCTTGGCACATCGTCAAGTCCAAGTCGAGGTCAACTCTACAACCGATAACCCGCTGATTGACGTCAAGACCGGTTCTATACATCACGGCGGGAATTTCCAGGCCGTGTCTATTACATCTGCTATGGAAAAGACCAAGTCGGCTATGCAGATGCTAGGTAAGCTGTTATTTGCGCAGTGCTCGGAACTCGTCAACAGTCATCTCAACAAAGGGCTGCCTCCAAACCTTTGTGCCGATGACCCCAGTCTTTCTTACACCTGCAAAGGCCTCGACATTAATATGGCTGCATACATGTCAGAGTTGGGTTTCCTCGCTCAGTCAGTCAGCTCCCACGTGCAGTCAGCAGAAATGCATAACCAATCTGTCAACTCACTCGCGTTGATCACTGCACGGTACACTATGGATGCGGTCGAGCTCGTATCAATGATGGTAGCAACATATATCTATATTCTATGCCAAGCTCTTGACTTGAGGTGTCTCCACGCTGAATTTATCAAGGCTGTAGAGCCTGTAGTGTATGAGCTTTTGCGTGAGCACTTCAGCTCGGGCATAGCAGCGAAGGATTTCAACGTTTTCGCAAAACGCACTTTCAACAATCTGTTGGAAAAGTGGCAGAGTTTATCGCACCTCGACTTAGAACAGCGTAGTGAGGCAGCAGTGAAGGAATCTTTGGCAGACCTGACATCTGCTTGCCTCGAAAACCGCTCAGGACTACGCACGTTACCAGACATCCTTGATCGCATTGAAACTTATCAGGGAGTGGCGGGTAAGGCTTTAGCAATTACATACAATTCTACTCGCGAGGGGTTTTTCAAACACCAAACAACACCCTCCTACCTAAGCTCAGCATCTCAACAGCTCTACAACTTCGTACGACAAGATCTCAAAATCCCCTTTCACCGCGGCCTAGTCGATCACCCCACCTTGCCTGACACCAGTCTATCAAACGGTGACAAGTACGTTGGGCCTGGCAGACATCTTGGTTCTCTCGTCAGTGAGATCTACGTGACAGTTAGGAGTGGCAGACTGCATGACGTTGTAATGTCTTCGCAGAGCTCCAAAGCTTGATCTTTGTCACTACATAATTTCATATTAGGTCAAAAAGCATCTCAACTTTCTCCTCTCAACAACTTCCAATTTCTATCCTAGTTCTCTTTAATTACTTTCTCTGAGCTCCTTCCCGTCTCTCAGCTCTCTCTAGACTCCTTTAACATCCTCTTTTTGACTATCTCCTCTGCGCTTCCTCCTTAGATCTCTTCTTCTTTCTTTTATATCTTGTCAATTCCTTCCTCTGAGTTCGCTCCCCAAACCTATCTCTTCTTCTCTCGAGACTCTCTGAGAATTCCTGTTCCATCCTATTCTCTTGGCTCTTTTCTCCATCGACAAAGAAATGGAAGGCACAGAAGCTCCAGATCTTGCTTCTGCCTCACTCGCTATTCGCTTACAGGAGTATCTGAACCCTCCTATCCCATCAACGCCACCAAGTGCCCCTTTAGGCGAGGATTGTCCGCCGAAGCCAGACGCTGATCAAGCAAATGATGAGCTCTTTATCTCGGAGCATGAACCCCCAAGGAAGCGCGCTCGACGGACGCCTTTGTTAACGAGCAAAGAAGTCCGTGAAAGTGTCAGAATTGGTTTGGACGACGCGTACGCAGGACGAATTCCATCATCTAGTCACCTTAACGTCACTTGGAAAGCCACCGATGACAGCAAAGGTCGGAAAAAGTCGAAAGCAAATGAGCTTGATTTCGCAACCTTAGGGGGTTCCAACATCATTGAAGATATCCGAGAAAACTCCAGGCTTCCATCGATTCCAGTATCTACGAAAGCGAATAAAAACATTGCTCTGCAAGAGCTAGTGGAGGGCATTCCGGAGGCTGCTCAAAAAGATGCGGCACCAGACAAGAGGGCCATCATAAAAGCCACGAAAAAGTTCAATTACAAGCCTAGAAGTGACAGACAGGGGGGATGGAAGCATATCAAACTCCAAGCCAGTCTATACCATCATCAGGTAAGCTACCCATCAGCAGAACTTGTTTTCGTGTCCAAACTTTACTAATAGACGATGAAGCTTCTAGGCGCAGCATTCATGGTATGTCGAAATCGAGTTCCGCTGCAACATATATAAATTGAAGTTGCTAAAGCCAGACAAGCGTGAGCGAGAGAACTCTGACCAAAAGCCTTACGGAGGTATGCTTTGTGATGTTATGGGATTGGGGAAAACGCTTCAGACACTAGGTGGGTTCTTTCTTTCTCTTTTGCAAACTTTCAGTGCGAAAGCTGACTTTCTTTTTCAGCCAACATCGTCGATGGGGATTTTAAAGTGCTAGACGATAATGCGAATACCACATTGATCGTCGCTCCTAGAGGTGTAATTGGTCATTGGTGAGCGTCTTTTTTTCCGTCTTCTTGCGGCCCGTGTTGGAACATGCGACTTACTAGTAAACAGGAAGTCTCAAATCGACAAACATGTGCGCCCAAATATATTGGGGCCTATCTTGTCTCACTACGCCGGCAGTAGGGTTGACTCCAGCAATGCAGTTGAAACTATGCTATGGCACAAAGTCATGTACGTTCTTCATTTATCGCTATTTGGCTGGCTCTTTACTTACAAGAAGTAGTCTCACGAGTTACGACGAAGTCCGAAATTCGTATCCGAAACTAAAGAAACCAGACGGCATGACCTTGGAGAAAGTCCAACGATGGGCCGAAAAAGAATTCAAAGAGAACGCTGGGCCTCTTCATCAAATACGGTTTCGGCGCATCATTCTAGATGAAGGGCATCAAATACGAAATCCTAGTTCTCAAACCTCGATTGCAGTCCGAGCACTCCATGCGCATTACAAATGGATTCTGAGCGGAACACCTTTACTGAAGTGAGTGATCTCTATTGCTATTGCTTCTTTTGCTATCCTATTTATGTCTATGGCTCTTTAGGTGGGGAAGAATGAGTGTTGAACTGGGCGACATTGAGAAGCTAATCCATGAAAACGACAGTCACAACGCCGAGTTTTGGGCTTATTTCAATTTCCTCGAAGTTCCCCATGTGGGACGATTTTCTAACTTCCTTGCAAATTTTTGCAGTGTAGGTAACGCGTGTTTGATTGGAATCTCTATACAAAGCTGATATTCACCGCAGGGGAGTGAGTTGGCAAATCAACGTCTAACAAGCATCGTGAAATCAGTTGTCTTCAGACGTACACATCGGTCACGACTTTTCGAATGCCCTATCATCACACTCCCAGAAATAGGCGAAAAGACAGTGACCGTGAAGCCTCTTGCCATTGAAAAAGCCCTTTATAATATGATCAAGGATTTTTTCATCGATGGCATAAATTGCATTGCAAGCAGCAATGATCAAGAAGCTCAAAACAGATGCTTCCTGACTATGTTACTAAAGTTGCGGATGCTTAACAGCCACCTACTCTGCGTTCAAGACATTCTTAAGAAATTATTGGCCATCGATGTGAATTTGGCTGAGCTGCAGAGTGTATTGACCGCCAACAGCGAAAATGAAACAGATTGCAGTCAACAAATCTTTTCGGTGATCCATGGACTCGTAATGACTGGAAAGCAGGCCAAAAAGCCCCGTGCTCCTGCCACGCCCCTTACTGCCCAGTTTCTGAAACGGGTTTTCGAATGGATGAACAATGAAAATCAAGAGGAGTGTCAAACAAGAATGAAGTGTGCACGCTGTGACGCCCTAGCAGCTAGAACTCGGGTTACTTCGTGTATGCACCTGATATGTGAGGACTGTTTTCAATATTTAAAGGAGTCCGATTCATCATGGAGCTCCAAAATTGTGTGTCCAGTTTGCACGGATAAGAACACAGTCGACACGGAAGATTTTGATATGGACCCGAGCATCCTATCTCTACGACTTGGGTATATGTGCGCGAAGAGCCGTGAGAACGGAAGCAAGAAAAAGCCCAAGAAGAAAATCTCTGCTTCTGCGACAAACAGTCTATTCATGAGTGTGTTTGAAGAAAACGCCGATGAGTTTAATCGCCGGGCCGACATTGATTGGCTTAAGGCCGAGGGCGAGGACATGCCCAGTTCCAAAGTCATTCAAACACGAGACTTGATTCACAAATGGATGGCAGAAGATCCGGAGACCAAAATAGTCATTTTTACTCAATTCCGCGCTATGGCATCTATCTTTGGTGGGATGTGCAGGAGGGAGAAGTGGGCATATGTAATGGTATGGCACATATCCAATATAATATATCGACACGGCTTCATATCTTCATATCTTTGGCGTGCAGCGAGGGCTTTACTAACAAGCACCCACAGTTAACAGGAGACATGGACTTCGCTAGTCGACAACAAAGCATAGACGACTTCCAAAGCAAGCCTGAGTTCCAAATAATGATCGCCTCCCTGAAAGCCGGGGGTGTTGGTCTAGATCTCACGTCAGGCAACAAATGCATCCTCGTCGAACCGTGGTGGAACGACGCCATCCAACAACAAGCCTTTTGTCGTCTATTCCGCATCGGCCAGGTGCGCAACGTCGAAATCGTCAAACTCGTCGCCACGGACACCATTGACGAATACATGATGGAACTACAACAAATGAAACTCGAACAGATTGAGCATGCAATTGGCGATGCGACGCTGCCGTTGACCGGAGTCGCGGGCATGCTAATGAAGCATTTCGGCACCCCGGAGATGAACGAAGATGGTGGGTACACATTGCACGCCAGGACTGAGTGATTTTTTTTTTCCCTTTGGTGTTTGGGAGGGTGCCCGGTGGGAAGATTAAGGCAACCTAGCATAGTGTCATAGCATACGGGAGGGCTCCTGAGAAGCATATTTTTATATTCTTCTGATCCGGATGAATTTTTTTTTGAGGGGGGTGTCTTTTACTGATGTCTTGGCTTGCTTTATGATATGGGAGGGCACCTGGTTGCATGATTTTTTATGATGATAGAAACCTATCGAATACGGAAAAATAAAAGGAGATGCTAGATCATGATTCCAATGAAATATATCAATTCGTCCTCAGTCCGGGTATGCTCTAACATACGTGTGTATATAGTTATAGTATTGTAATTATTTAAAAGGGTATCAAGTCAGATCTCGTGCCAACAACGTTTCACCTACACTTTCATCAAACATCGGCCAACCACAGCACATAATTAAAAGAAAATAAAGGAAAGAGAAAAAAAAAAATATAGTAGAAAGAGAGCAAAGATGAAGAAAAAAGAGTTGAACTTAGTAGTAGACCTTTTCTTGATAGATCGGGGGCTGGCCGCGGGTAATGTTCCACTGCAGGTTGCCCTTGTCATCAATCCAAGAGTCCTCATCCGAAATGGGAATGACACGACCAGTGTGCTCAATTTCTTGCTTGCTTACACCAATTTCGTCATGAGGGATCCAGAGCAATGGTACTGTCGAAGTGATCGAAGGATGGTAGTACGCATCACGCTCAACTTCCGGAGAATATGTAGGAGGCTCAATATGATCAGGCACGAGCCGGCGCATCGTCGCGTAGTCAGCATATTTGTCTGGACGGAGAAATTTAACCAAGAAATTGGGTTTCTTGTGTGGAGCAGGCAACGCAGCAGGACTAGGATTGCCCTTTTCGACGCTATCAATGCCGTCATGATAACCATTATCACCGTTCTTCGCCGATGTGCCGCCAACCTCGTCAGAACCTTCCGTAATGGCGGGTCCGAGCTTGTTGCGGCCTTCAGCCAAGAGTGCCTCCTCTTCAGCTTCCAGATTCTTTGGAAGATAGTTAAGCAAAGGATCCAGCGCCGCGTTGAGAGACACATGGTACAAGACAGCGAAGACCAGGAAAATGATCATCAAGACCAATGGTCCAGTGCCAATCGGCTGATCAGCAGCGGCAATTGCAAACAGTCCAATCAGGCAAACAATTCCAATGTAGCAGCCCACAAGCAGGTGCTGAAGAGCACGAGCATAGATCCTTCCTTGAGTGTCGATATTGGCGTTCGATACATAAAGCAACTGGTATCTGAAAGCAAAGTAGAAAAGGTAAAGACCAACTGTGGCGAAGCCCAGGATGAGAGGAGCAATGATTGAGTAGACAATGGCTGCCATATCCGTCAGTCTGTTGTTATTACCATGATAAGTGGGAGGTGGGGGGGATAAAACTTACCAATGAGACCCAGAAGAGACATCGGAGGTAGCACGGTGCCCCAGCTTAGACCGGACAGATTCGCCCACCGCGAGTACATCTTACGGGGAGTTGAATCAAGCAATTTGCCCAGAACTTTGCCAAGAATGAGACCTGTAATTCCGAGCAGTCCACCCGCTGTAAATGTCAAGCCTTGGAGGACGATGTAGGAAACGTAGAAATTTGCGGCCGAGGGTAGATTGGAGGCTAACAAGCTCGCTGCCGATGTAGGATCATCAATGATATCCTCAACGACAGCAGAAGCAGCAGAAGAGATAGTTGTGACTAAGAATACTTGCACAACCTGGAAGCCAAAATAGGCATTTTGAGTCCATAGCTCTACAGCAGCCGCAGTCGGGCAACCACCGAGTTTGGCACACACTGAAAATTGTCAGTTCTAACCATGAGAAGATCGAGTGATGACGAGAGAACAAGGAGATGAATACACGTACAGCGAATTATGATAGGCAGCAGAGCCATAAGAACAGACAGTAGCACAGATGGCAGCAAACCAGTGATGACACCACGGATAAAAGTTGGGACGCTCAAAATGAAATGCAGCCATGGAAGCTTCTGGATAAGGCTGTCGATATTGGAGATGGAACCAACAAAGGCAACCGGAATAGCCCAGAAAATAATCAGAGCACAGATAAACGCAATGGTAGCGAAGTTTCGAATAACGCGCTCCCACCACATAATACGAAGGTTTGACCAGATGACTTGGGTTGGGTCGACGCCAATGTACCGAGGAGCCATGTGGAGGGGAGCGTTGTGAGCGACGGATTGATATGCGTCTTGAGCATCATTCTGATTGTAGAACTCAACAAAGACAGCCGATACCTTTTTGGCGTCACCGGCACGGTGCTTGGCCTGCTCTTCCTCAATCTCTGGGTTGAGACGCTCAATTTCAGAACGGGCCCAATTGATAGTGTCGACCTTCTTTCCGATCAAAAACTTCAAGCGATGAGTTGGGCGGTCCTTGGCTCTCACCCACCGCGCTGCGACAGAACCAGACTCGGAATCAGAAGTAGGGGTTCCCAATTGCTCGTCTTCTGCACTGGCACCCTTTTTCAATGCCTTAAGACGCACGGCATTGGCCAATTTAATCAATTTGGTCTCAGCGGCCTCCAGTTTCATGGCAGCACCGTCTCTGTCACTGACTTTTTGGTCAAGGTCACTAGTATCGGTTGCAAGCCAAACATTCTTCACACGCTCGATACCAAACATGCGACGAAGTTTTTGCTCGTCAAGGTAGTCCTTGGGAACAGACGAGAACATGACAGTTCGTGATGAAAGGCGATTGGCGTAGGCTGGAGAGAAGGCATAAGCTTGGCGCAGATTGATGTAGAAAATACTCTCGCGCGTAACGAGGTAGAAAACGAAGCCAAAGAAGATCCAAGCAACAAATGCGTGAGCAAAGTATCTCGCTTTGTTTTTAACATTTGCCATTGCCAGAATATTAAATTGCTCGCCGGTTCCGCCGCCAGTAGCGTTGATGGGAAACAAGATGGGCCAAGTGATGCAGCAGCCAACGAAGCACATTACTACGAGCAGTTTCATGTAGCGCAACAACAAATATGCGTCCAGAGAGTGGTGCTGCAGGACATAGGTGTCGGGCAATGTATACATGGAGGTGATCCAGTTGAAAAGACCCGTGGGGGAAGCTGGGGTTCGCTCATAGTCGCGTAAAGTTGGCATATAAGTACGAGGCATATAGTTGCGGAGATATCTGCGACGGAGAATGATAAAGGCGAGCACCATGGCACCTGCGACGATCAGGGCCGGGATGAGAGTCGAGAGGAAGCCCGACAAACTCGTCGGAGCGGCATCAGTACTCTGTGATACAAGTGAAGTCAGCGAGAGGTTGTGCAATTACATAGGCAGCCGAAAAATCACTTACAGAGTCCCTTCTGGCGAGAGGGTTTAGGCCTGGCAGGCCATCATTGAGCCACGCCATCCTCGCGAGAGAGGCGGTAGTTAGCAAAGACAGTGGCGGTCGAGAAAGAAAAGGAAAGGAGTAAATGACGTCCAAGACAGGTAAATGTACACTACGTAGGCATATATCGATATATATTGTATGAAGCGGGCGAGGGGCGGTGGTGAAAGAGGGTTAAATAAGAGACGCGAAGCCCGGAGGATGAAAAATGGGAGTGGGTTTGGTTGTGGCTAGCTTTCTTTTTTAGTGAGCTCCAAGCCCGAACCTTAAAGGGAAGGAAGAGAGAGGGGCGATTGGAATTTGGGAAGGAGCACCGTACCGAACAAGAGTCTGGTAGACCCTTTTAAGTTGTTGTTCTCTGTGGTTGAGCAATTTCATTCGACGTCTAGAGTGGATGTTTCTGCTACTACTGCGATTATGCAGTGCCTGATGCAGCGCAAACGGCGTCACCACCTTTTGGTCAACATCATCATCATTGTTTTCTTTCCTAGAAAAAGGGGGGGCCGTGCTTGTGTTGTCGACCGAGCCGAATTCTGGCCGATCTGCAGTGGGTCAGGAATTTCAGGCTGCCCAACCAGCGCGCCGCAATCACCCACTTAGCTCCGCGCCAAGATATGCGGGTCTGGTTGTGGCGGCTGCTGATTGGCCAATCTCACCGCAAATCCGGCTATTTGTGAGCTATCGCCCAAGCGCCGACTGTGATTAGCTGAGCGCAGCTGATCAGCTAGATCTTGATATCATATGAAGGATTTATTAGATTTGGTGGGAGGCGACCCAGCCCCGTCCTGTGGCTGACGCCAATAGGAGCAGCTGGAAGGTTGCAGCCACATCTCTCAAAGAGTCAAGACTCAAGCGACAAAAAGCAACATGAAAATTACGTGTTCCCTGGCCCTTGCAAGGCTTGCCTCGGCCACGCCGACGACTTACCAGCCACTGTCTACGGAGCATATAATTCTACGGTGAGACGCAAACGGGATCTCGGTGGCGTAGGCATTTTTTTTTTACCTAATTTCTTCCGCAGAGTAGAGACTTCGTGCTTTTTTTTTTCCCCTAGTTCATGGCCTAACTGCTCTAGGCACGTGTACACGACTACACGCATAAGCATCGAGATCGCTTCACTAGCATTAAGTTTGGCCCTCGCGAACCGTTGGAATACCAGCCGATCCTTATTAGCAAGTTGCCACTGCAGGTGTTGGGTTGTGATAAATTCTGGTACAGACTACTAGGTTGCACATGTTATTCAATATTTTAATATCTATCCAGATTTGCAAGACCGAGATTATCCATGACTCGGCCGAGTTAGTCCTGTTATTTCCCCATTGAGCATAAAGCAAGTCTGCATAGCGCCTGAACGAAGCAAAGAGAGCTAATGCACAATACACAAAGTATGTATTCCGTAGGGAGGACCAACAATCAATTGTTGCACGCCGTGGTTGTTGAGGACCGTCACACAAATAATTCAAGAATTCTTTCAAGCTTTCTCAAGATCTCCGCTTGATTCTGTCACACATTCATGGTGATGGCCACGAGTGAGAAATGGGCAAATGCCAACTCAGTCGCTCGTCCGTCGGAACAAGTGGAAGCATCTAATATGGATGACCGTTATCCAGCTACATATCAATGAGCGTTCAATGGTCCTAGTTTCTTCCCAAAACACGTAGTGTTACCGCTTGGTGCAGCGAGCACACTGTTTTGCCGAGAAATACACCAATAGCATGTATATTCCAGTTCCTTCGAATTTGAGGACAAACAAGGGGGAAAGGCTCGTGGCGAATAAACCGAGGTAGCAAAGCCCTGTTCTGTAGACACAGGTAAAGCACATCCAGTCAACGACTGGTATCTGAAGCTTTAACCAATATCCATAAATCTTCCTCAGCAAACCTCAGAATGCACAATTGCACGGACATCTCTCTCAAAAGCTTCCACAGTCGTAACTGAGGGATTCAGCATTAGATAATCCAAAAGCAATTCATTGAAGCGAAATTGCAATTCAAACGGAAGTCTCTTGTGAATGTCGAGTATTTCATTTGCTCGCCAAGCTCTCTCCGGGTCTCTCAAATCTGCGCTAAATGTTTCTTCCAGAAGCAAGTACAAGAAGGACTCGCATGCTGGGTTGCGGTCTAAGCCGTAGTCCTGGATGAGTTGTTGTAGATACTCTAGAAAACGAATTACTTTTCGTTTTTCTCCACAAAAGTCGTACAGGGAGAGCATGACGTAGATGAGTCCAGCCGTGCGAGCCCACTCAGTTGTTGGTACATTCTTATTGACCACGAAGAAACGGCGATCAATAGGTACCTGGCTAGGTCGAGGACCGCTTGATAAAAGTTGGAATAGAGGACTATCATATTGAAACACCGCCGAGCGCTGTGGAACCTCCCTCAGATAGTGGCTGGTAGCATCCTTTTCCATTGATTGACGCGCTACATGAAGGAAATCGACCAATTTACTCGCTTCATCCAGGCTGACACCCGAAGTCGGAGGCTCCATGATAGCAAGGAAATAAAGAAGAACTGGTCGACCAACCGCATCGATGGGTCGTGATTTCCGGTGAACTTGTAAATCTTTGGCTTGTCGAGCATATTCTCGCGCCTTGTCCTTGTCGCCAAATCTTTCTTCTTGAAGCGCCAAACCAACCAACGCCAGGGAAATGGTATCATCATCCAGGGCAATACCCCCCCGGTCTGTCTTGTTGATTATCGCTTGTCGAACTCGAGACTCATAGTGGCGAAACACGGAGTCGTCCGAGCTGTGGCTTAGATGGAGTGCCCAGCGAGAACAGTAGCCTAGAATTACTGCCTCAAAGGTAATGCGGTGACGTACTGCCGCTTGAAGTATTTTTGCTTTCAAGTGTTCGTTCTGTCCGGACCAGTAAGTCAGGCGCGAAGTCCACATATCAATCAATTGGTCTTCTGCCCACGGCACGCTGGCATCATATGCCAGTGTTGCAAGGTAGTCTGTCTTAAGATCGGGAGTTTGATCAATCCCAGAACTGCGATGGTCTGGCTCGAGATATGTGTGTGATGGCGGGGGTGTTGTCTGCGAAAAAAAAAAACCACACACATCAGTCTTGCACTTGGATCCTATTCGCATATCCTTACCGTTGAGACTGCCTTGCGAATGGGCCTTGGATTAGGGCCGATTCCATTGCCGCCAGATTTTATCATCCAAGGGAATACTCGAGGCTCACGGCAAGACTGCCGATCTGTTTGAGTTGCCAGCATATTTTGTTTTCTCTTTGTCTGAATATGATGGCGCATCACATGGGCACGTTTCTCTCGGGTTGAGGAGGCAGGATCCACGAAGAAGAAAGATTGGTTTTGTCCATTTGGACTCGATACGTTCTGAGAAATGGAAGCCGCTGGACGTTTTCTCGATCTGACTGCGTTAAATGCCATCGCTCCATCGCTCAGCCCGTCTATATCATGCAGAAACTCGGTTAGCAATGGATAATCGTGTTGTAATGCCTGTTTGCATTCTTACCTTGAGATGACATGGTAGCCAATGTGATTGCCCTCAGCGCCCTCTACTTCCTTTCTTTACCTTGCAAGATATTGCCCACTGGCTGCCAGGGAATGGTAAGAATGATCAATGGGAAGACTTCTTGGTGAGCTGCAACGAAAGCCAAGTAAGGTTGCTGGCTTGCGAATTGCACTCGGTCTTCAACAAAAAGTATCCTTGTTGCCGAGGGTTGATATGTCCAGCACAAGCAAGCACATTCAAGGCAAGTCTGCTAGGTGTCACAAGTCAGGGCCCAGTCGTCGTGCGCATGATCTGATGTTCCAGCGCCCAACCTGGTATTAGTAGAATCAACTGTGAGGAACCGGCTTGATGAAGCCAAGCACAGGGTGGTGGCGGAGCCATAGTTCAGGATCGAGGTCAGCCATCGAATGGGGCTTGTAGTGGAGTTCACACGAGGTCCCGACTAGGCAGTTGGTTTCCCGGGATAACTGACTGCACTGCGTGGAAGAAGTCATGGCAAGTCGTCCATACTCTCTCGGTGTTGGTTTCCCATTGGCATCGGCATTGGGGCTTATGGTGCAGGTGCGGAGGCACGAAACGCCGAGCACAGACTAACCTAACTCGGGCCCCATCCGTGATATGGGCCTTTGGGTCGTGATGCTGTACAACAAATACGAAGTAAATTACCATTTACCACAACGATACTCCGGGGTAACGGCAGTTTGTCCATCTAGGATATTGCCTGCTTTCGTACACACGGATGCCTCTATCTCACAGCCAGTTTCCCCTTCCAGTTAGTGGTTTAGCTTTGCATCTGATAATTCGGAGTTCAGTCGAAAGCCTTGAATAGGAAGCCGGTTAAGCCTGACGTGATCTTATCAAACTTCTGGTAATGTTATTTAATATTTTATACCGCCCCGTTCTGTTTTACCAGACCGTCAGGGAGCGAATCTTTTTCATGACGACGAGTAATTTTGCGCGTAATTTTCTTCCTCGCCATGACAGACAAACAGCGCAAACATCTTGAGAAAACCACTTTACGCGTGCCGGAGCGGAACAACCCAAAGTACGGCACGCGTCGCGTGTTGATCGCGTTCCGCGGCTAAATTTACTGAAAACGAAAATGTTCAGAGATTGCCCGTCGTCAAATCCCGGGCATAAACCTCAACAACACCATTTGCTTTTCTGCAAACTTCTTACATAGACACGTGAGGCCCTGTCTTCGAGCGCTAGTAAGTGCCATAACCGCCGTTCTGGTGTGGCGCCCAACCCCTCAACATGTCCTCCCTTTTCGAAGCCGTCCTGCAATCCGAGGCCGGATCAACAGCTGGCCGCGCTGCACAATGGCCTCAATCAGACCAGCCATCCAGTTCCCGTCCGCATTTGCCCTCAGAGAGCAACGGGCCTATGAGTGACATGCAGGCACTCCCAGATGATGAAGTTGTTGGGGCATCGAATGGCGCCGTCAACCGTCTACGGAATCCATACGCAAGCGCTCCACCCCCAGTGCGCGATCTTGCCGGTGAGAAAGTGCAGCAATCATTTGAAGAGTTTTTGGAGAATTATGTAGACAGTCCTCCCTCGAATACAAACTCAACGGCTCCATCCTCGTCGGCACAACACTACAGCGACAAGTACTACATTTCACAAATTCATGGCATGAAGTCGTTTGAACTTTCTACCCTCTACGTTGATTACACTCACCTGACGACCGTCGATAATCGGATTCTAGTCGAGGCTATTGCGAACCAGTATTACCGCTTCCAACCTTTTCTCATTCGTGCTCTGCACAATCTCATAGCCAAACATGAGCCGGGATACTTCGTCTCTCACCGCCAGCCAACCAGCAACTCCTCTCAGCAAAATGCGTCAATCGTGGCTGTGAATTCCAATGCTAGCGACATTTCGAGCGAGGAAAAGGCCATGAAGGAGAAGACACGACACCAGCAGACGGATCGAGTGTTCTCTTTGGCATTCTACAACCTGCCATTAGTGTCTCGACTACGGCAACTACGAACGTCACATATAGGAAAGCTGCTGTCGATATCCGGAACAGTGACGCGGACATCAGAAATCCGACCCGAGCTCTCGTTAGGAACTTTCATCTGCGAAGGATGCCGCACTCCTTGTACCAATATTGAACAGACCTTTAAATACACCGAACCCTCGCAATGTCCAAATCCGACGTGCGGTAACCGAGTTGGCTGGCGCCTTGATATTGGAAAGAGCACGTTTGTTGATTGGCAGAAGATAAAGCTCCAGGAATCTTCCCATGAGATTCCTACGGGGAGTATGCCACGCACAATGGATATCATCGTGAGAGGAGAAATGGTTGACCGAGCAAAAGCTGGAGAAAAATGCATATTCACGGGTACATTGATTGTCGTCCCCGACGTCAGTCAGCTGGGCTTGCCAGGTGTGCGTCCCGAGGCAAACCGTGATACCGGCGCTTTCCGTGGAGGAGACGTTGGAGGAGGAGGCGTCTCTGGCCTGAAGTCTTTAGGTGTAAGGGATCTCACATACCGCCTTGCTTTCCTTGCTTGTATGATCACCCCAGACTTGACAACACCTGGTCAGCGGACGAACCAGCAACTCAGCGGTCAATCCCAAAATATTCTGGCATCACTAAATCAAAATGATCAACCCCCGGAGGAAGAGGAGCATGCGCAAGAGGCTCTCCTGCAGACGTTTACCCCTGCAGAAGTCCAGGAACTAAAACAGCTCGTCGAGAGTGAGCACGTCTATCAACGATTAGTCAACTCGATAGCCCCCATGATTTACGGTCACCAGTCAATCAAGAAAGGCCTCCTGCTACAGTTAATTGGCGGTGTGAGTAAGAGTACAGAACAAGAAGGCATGCAGCTCAGAGGAGATATCAACATTTGCATCGTCGGCGATCCTTCAACAAGTAAGAGCCAGTTTTTAAAGTAGGTTTTCTGTTTCTCAGTAACTCAGAAAATTCGCGCTAACGTTCTTGGTCAGATACATCTGTTCGCTGCATCCACGAGCGGTCTATACCAGTGGTAAAGCTTCCTCTGCGGCAGGTTTGACGGCTTCAGTTGTCAAAGATCCGGAGACTGGCGAGTTTACAATTGAGGCAGGAGCTCTAATGTTGGCTGTAAGTTTTGTAACAACCGGTTTGTCTCTTTTTTTTTTTGGTTTTGCTCTACTAATTAATTACTTAGAATGGAGGAGGAATATGCGCCATTGATGAGTTCGACAAGATGGACGTTGCAGACCAGGTTGCTATTCACGAAGCTATGGAACAACAAACCATATCAATCGCCAAAGCGGGAATACACACAACTTTGAATGCACGAGCTTCAATTCTTGCTGCCGCCAATCCTATCGGTGGTCGATACAATCCAAAAAATACACTCCGCCAAAACCTCAACTTGAGTGCACCCATCATGAGCAGATTCGACCTGTTCTTTGTTGTCAGAGATGAACCTAATGAGCAAGTTGACCGAAATCTAGCTTCTCATATCGTCAATGTTCATATGAACCGAGACGAAGCTGTGGAACCTGAGATCAGCACGGAGCTTCTTCAGCGCTACATTAGACTTGCCCGAACGTTCAAGCCTGTGTTTACGGAGGAGGCTAAAGTTGTTCTAGTCGAAAAGTATAAGGAATTGAGGGCGAACGATGCCCAGGGAGGTATTGGCAGATCGTCTTATCGTATTACTGTCCGCCAGTTGGAGTCTTTGATCCGTCTATCAGAAGCAGTGGCTAGGGCCAACTGTGTTGAAGAAATTCTTCCAAGATTTGTTCGCGAAGCATACAATCTCCTTCGGCAAAGCATTGTCACTGTCGAGAAAGACGACATCGAAGTTGAAGACGACGAGGATGAGCAACCTGCACAACATGGTGATGGAGAGGACGAAGTGATGAACGAGGCTCGCGACCGCGATGGTGACAGCCCCATGGGAGGTGACGACGATGAGCCGGTTCCAGAATCACAACCAGCGGCCCCTTCGCAAAAGACAAAGATTACATACGCCAAATACATGCAAATTCTCAACCTACTCGTCCGACGTGTCAACGCTGACGAATCTGCTTCCGGTAATGGTGTCGAGCAGAATGAATTGTTGACCTGGTACTTGGAGCAAATTGAGTCGGAAATCAACAACAACGAGGAGTTGGAGCAGGAACGCAACTTGGCGAAGAAAGTACTGAAACGCATGGTTAAGGTATGTCTTTTTTTCCCCCTACGTATACTGATCATAAAGCTGACTAACTCTTGCGCTTCTCTCAGGATAATATCCTCATGCCTATTCGTGGTCAGGGCCTCATGGATGAGACACAGGATGACGAGCACACCCAACCACCGCAGCAGCTTGTATACGTAATGCATCCTAATTGCGCGATCGAGGATGTGGAATAAAAGAGTAATTGGCATTATGTTGGAAAATGGTGTTTATTCAGTGTTTTAGAGACGGGGCGGTATGATTTCCTGAATAGGTAGTTAGGGCATTGTTTTTTTCCCTCGTTTGGGTTGGAATTGCGGGCTTGGAGCATTGTATTGCATGGTTTGCTGTTCTTTTTTTTTTTGATTATGAGAATATGCATTTACGATTCCCATGTGTGTTCAATTTCGAATTTGCATCTATTTGTATAATCCGTATAACTGCATACATAGGTATTACCTAGCTAATAAAAAGTCCGGTCCGTTGACAACCCTGCATACATACATACATACATACATACATACAGACAGACAGACAAGGCATACATAGTTACATGCGCAACTTACAAAGCTCCTAACCAAACAATACCAAGGTATGGGACTACTAGTGTTTGAGATCGGAGACTCGACGTATATCCGCAGATGCTAGTTACTGGTTCGTTCCAGTGAGGCGCCAAGGGTCCACGCCACGGCGAGTTTGCCCAAGTTAAGTCTAGCCAAAGTCTTACGATCAATTCTTTTATTGAGGGATCCATAGTCCACATGGCAGACGGAGCTCGGTAATTTACTTCGGTACTGAGGAAGTCAGGATGCATGCATCCGTCGATGCGAGCAGGTACTTTACTTTGACTTTTACTTTATGTACGTAGGTACATCATGTATGTATGCAGTATGTACCCCGACTCTCAGCTATGCCTAGGTAGGCATCTGACCTACTACGTAACTAGATAGATATATATAACCGCTAGATACATGTATACATACGTACATATATATTCTCTTCCATTTCCCACGTATGTTGGTCCCTTTTTTAAACGATGAACTACGTGCTCTGTACTTGGCACCGAAAAGGGAAAAAAAAAAAAAAAGCCATTACTGAAAATAAATACGAGTGATCAGAACAATGAAAAGAAAAAAAGAAACACTCCGACCACGACCAACGGAGTTGGTTACCCAACTAGGTAACTCCTTTCGACCAGATTGAAAGATTGAAATCTTACTCAGGGAGGGAGTCAAGCCAATGCCAACGCAAGGCAGTGAGTACATTTTACTTATGAATTTAATACTACCAAGAGTAGAGTAAATCAAGTGGCACCCGACCCATTACGTATGTTTTGTTGGTCTACGTAAGACTTCCTTACTCGCGGAAAACTCTCTTTTTTCGCTCCGTTAAAACCTAGTGTCAGGGACAAGAAGGGGGGAAAAAAAAGAAGGAACAGAGTGTTTACAAGTACATAATAAATAAGAAAGGAATGTGATTCCATTGAAGAAAATAAAAAAATGCTTGGTACATATAACGTACTCTGTAGAAATTTTTTTCACACAAAAAATTGAGATTCTCTACCAGCTTCCTTATGTGGTAAATAGCCTAAAACGCTCTAGTCTCCGCCTATAGTTGAGGTGTTCTTATGGTGATGGACTTGACTGGTAATTGGGACGGCCACGGCTACGTACGATACGAAACTGTATTTGCTGGTACGGGCCTGGTAATGGGTATGTTTTGGATTGCAAATACAGCGGTTGTTGCTTGGAACGGTTAGTGCGGGTTGTATTTGCAGTACCGCCGTTCGCCCAACTTGAATAGTGCTAGTGTGTCATTCGTCGCATTTCAAGGTTATCATCGTACATACACAACACCAGAGAAAAACATGTAGAATGATAGAGTACAGAGTATGAAAAGGGAAAAAAGCCCCGGAGAATGACAGTCAGATACGCATCATCATCATATGCTAGCAATCATCGGCACAGACCCTCGACTGACAACATGGCAATCAAAACATTCTCTCCCAAAGCAAATCAGATTTGGTTCTCGATCTGGATCTCACTGAGCACCGCGCGACTTTCATGCTGATGCACCTCTTCAACAACATAGTAATATTCGTCATACTCGCTGATAAACTCATCTGGAGCCATGTCATACTCGGGAGGTTGGTTCTCCTTCTCGTCGCCAGGCTGGGTTGGGGTCCAGCTTGTCATTGACAAACCGTAATTGGCCAAGGCACCGTCACTGTCCTCGACGATTCTATCTTCCCAGATGATGAAATTTTGTCGCTCTCTATCGCGACGCTGTATACGTGACAGTCTGGCTCCTCCAGCGGGAAAGTCCTCCAAGGTATCAGTATCAATCGACATCCTCGAGAAACTGCCAAGGGCTGGCACATCCGCCACAGGTTCTTCTTGTGTGTTGTCCCTGGACAGAGAGTTTGAAGTGGTGGAGATAGCTACCCTGGGCTTTTTGTGGGTAGGACGAGCAACGACAATACCATCTTCGTCTTCGTCTTCTGAGTCAGGAGTTGGAAGACGCTTACGTTTCAGACTGTTGTTTTGTTGTTCTGCGGACTCTCTCTCTTCTCTCATCTTGTCGGCCTGGTTGGGGGAAGCAAACGCATCAGCAAATATGACAATATGAGGGCGAACACACAACTCACCCATATCTCGATATCGCTACAGAGCTCCCAGTCGACTTTATCGACAGTCGTATTTGGTGGGAGTGGCGGAAGACCGAGGACCTGTTTGCCGTCGAGTCAGTAGGCTTGACTTTTATATAAGTCGAACTTACATAGAGGAGGCGTGGTTTGAATGACAAAAAGGGCTTACCCTGCGGATTTCTTGGGTGAGCATTTGGGCGTTGATCTTGTGATGGTTCGAAACTAGGGAGGACATGGCTAAGTACGCCAGGTCTGATGGATGGTTGAAAGAAGTGAATGAGAGGAATTGGAGGGTGTCAGGTATAAATAGGCCAAAATCTGCATCGTGAAGGGACCCCAACAGACTCACTCTAGCAGAGGCCTGGCAAATCACAATGACTCAGGCAGCGTCGCACCCAGAGAAGACAAAGAAAGCAGAATGTTCAAGAGAAAAGCCCAATAGTGAAGATACAGATCAGGAAATAGGGCGCACAACACGAAATGAGGTTGTGTTGAGTAGGTATTGTTGTCAGTTGGGAAGGTGCTCTCTCCTTGTCTTCCAGAACATGTGACCTCTGCCATCGTATCTGCTCTAAACCCTTCAGCTTTATAAGACTAATTTTGAAGCACTCAGGTATATGAATATGATATATATCAGATATCTAGGTATGGTGAGCAGGAAAATCTGTTATACACACACACAGATAGACAAGACAAATACTTGCAAAGTATCATGCAGCTGCACAATATCCTGTGCTGATCATTCGATGCAAAGTACTCAACATTTAATAAGCCCTTTCTTAGAAGTTCATTTCTCATTCACACAACTAATGGGATGTTGACTTCTACCTAGGTGGTTTCAATTAGGGCTCAGCATTACCTAGATAGGTAATTAATTAAAGTGCTGCTGACAAAGCTGCTCCTAACAATGGATCACTTGGGCCCATGGGTAATAAACCCATGTTAAGTAATGGGCTGTTCAGTCTCTTTTGAGCATAGTGCAGTTCTAGAAGAGGTCATATTTAATGCTTTCATCGGAGATTCCCAGACCTCCATATTTGGTTGTATTGCTATTGTGTAGAAGGGGACATAGTTACTGAAGCCAGGCGCATTCCCAGAACTTCATATCAATCCATATTGTTAAGTAGGCTTACTATGTATACATAACAAGCAAGCACCTCCTATGACTATTAGCCAAATCAGCAAAGAGCCTGAGAAGCGTAGCCAAAGCATTGTCATATGATTACATCTTCAGAGGATCAAGGAACAGTGCAGCCAAAAACCAGCAGTTACCCAATCCAGAAAGTCTAGCCAGTCAGTCAGTCCACCTGGGTAGCCGGGAATGTGCGTCCAAAGCATATGCATAGCTCATGATCATTGGTCCAACAGTTAAAGAACATTCGCTAGGAAAGCCGGAAAATAGATTATTGGATAGGAACAAACAAAGAATTTCTTTTTCTGTTTGTTGGGCTCGGTTGCATGGCATAGCATTACAGGGCATCCTTGCCCCCGACCGGCTGCTGTGGATTCTTTGACGAAATTGAAATGAAATTTATGTCATGGAATATTAACCCTGGTTCTCTTGAAGACAAAGGAATTGGATATTAATACTACAATGATATGCATATTCTTTGTCTCGGATGTGCTCGGCGCAAACAGCTAGCTACAAGGTAGATAGAATCCATGCCATATTTAGTTCCTACTCTTGTTAATCTATAAAGTAACTAACTACTTAACTACCCCGTACATTCCTACAGATACGAAGAAGAACTGGCAGCAGTCAGTCAAATGACTTGCGTCAGCTTCGGCATAGGGCTGCCACGTCACTACCTACTATATACTTCACGGGGTAGTAGTGTCATGTACGGAGTGCATGTCCTTATCCACACTTAAGCGAGTCATCCAGGGCTCGATCGCCTGTGCATGAATTATTGAGGATGTGCTTACAACTCGTTACACACCATATTGCTCTTCTTCTTGGAAAAAAAAAAAAAATACAATACGCGCTGATACACTACGACCGACACTACGTCGTCTGACGCATATCAAATTCTACTTGGGACTAACATTGATTCTCGTTTTTGCGTGTCCTGCATATAATGTTTGATATGCCGTGTACCTGTCTCGACTCCACGACTCACTCCAGATTTTAGTAGAAATGACAGCGCATGATAAACATGATAAGTAAAAACAGGCTAGATGTAGATGCGAGATGTAGAAGAAAAACAATTCCTGTAACGCCCTGATGTATGTTGTTATGCTTGCTCGCAGTAATATAAGAGAGAAAAAAAAAAAAAAAAAGAAAAATGATGCCGCTCAATCAAATCCGAATCTCAACGCAATGAATGGCTCCTGATGCAAACAGTAATTCTCAGTCATGATCTGAATATGAGTCATTAGTCAATAGTCCATAGGAAGTGATAGGGTAGGATGAAGACTATCCGCGAAACCGATTAGAGCGGAATGCTGCAATGTCAATAGATATGGAAGAGGCCGACGCTGCGTCGTCGACTTCAATAGCTGCAATGCCGGGCTCAAACGCCTTGTCGTCGTTGAACAAATCGCTCACTTGGAGAGAGGACGCGGCAATGTGCTCCTTCAACGATAGGCTTCCGTCTGTCCGTTGTCTCTCTTCTCTCTCTGCGCGCAACCGTGAGGCTTCGTTGCCCGCCATTTCCAGCACAGTGCTGAACTTGGCAATGATCTCCTCGAGTTCCTCGCGGCAGTCTCCGCATCGCAGGAATTGATGGGCGGCAAATTCAGACAGGCTTTGTGCGATTTCCAGCTGTTTCTCGGCAAATTCGAAGGTTGCCGTCTCCTTCTGATCCGTCTCGACAGGGCGTGTTCGCCGGTAGCTTTCCACCATGGGGTGGGGTGAGTCCCGTGACTGGCTGGTGGTGAACATGTCGAGCGAGAGGCTGGCAATGCGCGTCGTCTGCGACATTTTGCCCTTGCGAAGGCTGTTGCGCGCAGCCCCGATGTCCCGCACGGTCTGCTCTAGCTGAGCCTGGGTATGGCTGTCATAGTAGATGACCAATGGGCGGATAGGGCGGACCTCGTCGCCGGACTGTTTCGAGGGCGCGGGCTTGGTGTGCACCGAACTGCTACTACTGTTTTCCCGCCGGCGTGGTGATTGTTGTGGTTGGGAGCGCGCGAGTCGGTGGAATTCCTCGGAGAACTCGGCGTGCTTCCTCGACGTGTGAGCAGCGAGCTCGGTGACTCGCGAGATCCAGCAGGGCACGTTGTCTATGAGAAAGGTGAAGCATTGCAGGGCATCGACGGGGTGGCCGGCCATAGTTCCCCCATCCAAAGCAACGTGTATCTATCTGCCTCTCTCTCGCTCTCGCTCTCTGCCTCTTCCAAAGTTTGCTGGTCTCTACGGCGGTTTGTTCGGTTCGGCGGCGAGGAGGCCCAAGACACCACGACTTCAAGTGCCGGACGGACGGCGGAGGATATATATGCATACACACAGCACCTAGGCATGCATTGCAGATGAGCAAGGACGATTGGAAACACACCCACGGGCGACGGGGATTGGGCGGCAATATTATTTGACTGACAAAGGGAGGCGATCTAGCGCAACGCAGATGGGGCCGAGGGGCGAGTCTGACTGTGACAGGCGACGGACGGATTAATATTAATATGGACATTAACTAACTAACGGCCATTTCTCTTATTACTTAGTAGGCTCGTAATGTTCTAATGTCCTTCCTGATTCAGTTAACTACTGCATGCTATTACTCCTGGCTTTTCTATGCGTCTCATCCCGGTTGTGGGAAATGTCGATCTGTCATTATTCCCGGCCATGTAGCGGTGAGCGAATGCCGCCCAGCCAGGCGTGCATGAGACCAACTAAATCACAACCATGGACCGGTACAATGCAAATAATCCATCAATTCATGCTGTTCTTCTAGGCCCCCTACGTAGCAGAATATAACTCATCCACTCGCGAGTATGATGTTGTCAATCAACCGCACCGCAGTCTTGTCATCCCCGACCCCCAGCGTCTCGCCCGGTTGAGTGTCGTCAATCGGCAGCATCTTGACCGCGCCGCTGAGAATAGCTCCTCGGCTGCGGTCTACAGAGTCAACCTCCTCTAATGTGTCCGGATCTGCAAGGGAAATGTAGTCTACTTCGAACAGTGCTTGCTGCGACCGCTCGAGGCCGCGTTGCTCCTCCAGTTTGCTCGCCGCAACCCGGCGGGCCGCGCCCAGAATATCTTCTCTCTTGCATTCGCCCTTCTTGAACGCTGCTTCCGCCGCCCGTAGAGCTTGTGAAAGTACGAGTCCGACTGATCGCCTGCGGCTACCGAGATACACGTTGCGCGAGCTCATCGCCAACCCATCCGGTTCGCGAATGGTGGGCTCAATGCGCACCTCCGTGTCGATGTGAAAGTCCTTGACCATTCGCTTGATAACCACACATTGTTGAACGTCCTTTTGGCCGAAGTAGACTCGGTCCGGCTTGACAATGTTGAACAATTTCGTGCAGATCGTCGCAACGCCCCGGAAGAAAACAGGCCGCGATGCCCCCTCTAGCTTGGTAGCAAGTGGTGTGACGGTGACAAAAGACCCAGACCCATCAATCTCCGACGTCGGTGGCAGAGTCGGGTACATCACTTTTCCCGTGGGTGCAAATATGGCCGTGATGCGACCTCTTGAAGAAGAAGAAGAAGAAGAAGAGGAAGCCTCGCTTTTCAGTTCCTCATTGAGCTTCTCTAGTTTCGCCATGTCCGCGTCCCATGTGCGCGGATAACTGGCGAGGTCCTCATTCACGCCGAATTGTGTTGGATTGACATAGATGCTCACAAACACATCTGAATTCTCAGCCGCCGCTTGTCGGATAAGAGACAAATGCCCGTTGTGCAGAGCCCCCATGGTAGGGACTAGGCCGACAGTGCGCATCGACATCTGAAGCCGGCGCCGCATGTCGCGCAGTGAGGGGACATCTCGAAATACCTCGAAGGACGAGGACGTGTACAGCCGTTTTGCCATGGCATTGGCAGTTTCTAGAAGTGTCAGCACGCCCGATCTCAAGAAGCAGAGGACAACTTGCAGGTTCTGTATTCACTTCTCAATACTTGCTTCTGGCCAAACATGTTTGCTGTAGGCAGAAAATAAAACTCGTAGAAACCCACTCGGACTGCTCCCAACCTATGCCGAGAGAGAATTGGGCGCACTTCAAGTAATTTAACAGGGAAAGAGAACGTGCCCCTCCGGCATCATGCCATGACCGTATTTGCAGTATGCGACTCAGTCAACCGAGTTGTTCTACTGGATGAAGAAAAAAGCAAAGAATCTGTCATATCTAAGCTTAGCTACAGCTTCGGCCAATCACGGGGCAAGCGCGGCGTCACGTGACGCCGTCTGCGCCGAGGTCAATCGGCGCTCCGCATGACGCTCGGCCTTGCCTTCTGGGGTAGACCGTTTGACGAAAGTGACTGGCGAACATGGTCTTTTCGTCTTCTTGCATGTCATAAATCATACCCGGCGTTTGATGTGACGTGTGTCGTTCCATCAATCCGCTTGCTTTCCTGCGGCTGTTTACATGGCTCACCGACTACGTGCTACCCTCGACAATGCCCTCCAAGAAAGACCGCGTCGATGCTGGACAGGCAGCGCCTGATCTGGAAATAGTTGGGAGCCAAGTAACGCTTCACCCGACTGGTTTCACCGGCGGTTACGACAGCCAAGATGGCGCCATCACGGAGAGGAACCTGGTGCGACACATGGCACGTTTCCGTGAAAACCCCTTTGACTTTCTGCGCGAAGTCAGCCTGTTTGTCTCGGGCACAGGATGGCGCGCGTACGACTCGGTGATCGGTCAGCCGGTGTACTACCCCGGCTACTCGGACAACATCAAGCGTTTGATCGTGCGCAGCCCTTTGCTCCAGAGCAAGATGAGGGATCTAGCCGAGGCTAGGCTGCAGGTCGAGCAATCCGAAGGATTGTTTGATGGTACACCGGATGCGGTGAAGAAGGCTATGTCTCGACGGAAAAGCGAAATTGAGCTGAGCTTGCGGGATGTGGTGGAGACCATGATGGATAGTATGATTTGCAAAATGGACAGCAATGCTTTCATTCGCGGCGCATACTACATTACCACGCAGCTATTAACCCGAGCGTACCACCAGGGTAAGCTATGCTCAATTTCCTTTGTCTCGGAAGCATTGTGCTGATGTTGGGTCGACTCTCCAGGTATCCACGTCTCAAGCGAGGAGGTCCTTCGATTGAGGTCTGTAGCCCAGGCCGCTGCGGACAAGAAACAATCGATTATTTTTCTCCCCAACCACAAATCCCACGTCGACTATGTCTCCCTGCAGGTGATATGCTACCGACTTGGCATAGCGTTGCCTATTGTGGTTGCTGGGGATAATCTCAATTTCCCGGTTGTTGGTGCCTTTTTACAACACGCAGGTGAGATTTCGATAATCTAACCTCGTAATAAGATCACGCCGTTGATAATTCTTATAACATCGTAGGTGCTATGTGGATTCGCCGTAGCTTTGGTGACGATCAACTATACTCCACGTTGGTGCAGACGTATATCGATGTTTTGCTACAGCAAGGATACAATTTCGAGTGTTTCATTGAAGGCGGCCGGTCACGCACGGGGAAATTGCTCTCTCCAAAATTTGGTATCCTGAGCTTCATCGTTGATAGTTTGCTGTCCGGCCGAGTTAAAGATACTATCATATGCCCTGTTAGCACACAGTATGATAAGGTGATTGAAACAGAGTATGTTTACTGCAACCTAAAGGAGAACATTTTCTACTTTACCAACGTCTACTGATATACTGCAACTGTAGGTCTTATATCAGCGAGCTATTAGGTCAACCCAAGGCAAAGGAGAATCTCTCAAATTTCCTTTCACAGTCCTCTGTCTTGTCATTGAAGTTGGGTCGAGTTGACGTGCGGTTCCATGAACCGTGGAGTCTCAAGGAATTTCTCACGCAGCAATTGCAGCGTATCCAAGTAGCCCAGACACTAGGCTCACAAATAAAGTTGAGCTACTCAGATCGTGGTCGCGTCTTACGGGCTTTGGGCTACAGAGTTTTATCAGACATCAACGATGTTTCTGTGATGATGCCTACTGCATTGGTTGGCACAGTTCTACTCACTCTTCGAGGCCGAGGCGTTGGAAAAGCAGAATTGGTCCGTCGAGTCGAGTGGCTTAGTGAACGCGTTCGAGCGAAGGGTGGCCGTGTAGCTCACTTTTACCGCGCTCCCACTTCTCAGGTGGTTGATCGTGCCCTGGACGTTCTCGGTCCCAAACTAGTTGGCGAGGTCACTGGTTTAGCGGAACCGACGTACTATGCGGTTGACCGATTCCAGCTCTCCTTCTACCGGAACATGACAATCCATTTGTTCATCCCGGAGGCACTCGTCTCAGCCGCGATGTACACCAAGGTGAAACAGGGTGGTGGCCCTACCAACCAGGACATTACGTATGAAGCTTTGCTGGAACAAGTTACTTTCCTGTCACAGGTAAGTTATTACTCTCATTCTTTCATCTTGTCTGTGACAAACATTATCTGACGGGAACAGATCTTCCGCGGCGAATTCATTTTCCCACCAGAAGGCCTCGTAGCCAATCTAGGAAAGTCTCTTCACGGACTTGAAAAAGATGGCGTCATCAAGATAGCCAGAAACGCAGCCGGCGCTCCTATTGCAGTTGGTCTTAGTGATGCCGAGCGGCAGTGTGGAAGAGAGAACTTTGACTTTTATTGCTTCCTGATCTGGCCGTTCATCGAAGCTACATGGCTGGGCGCTGTCTCGCTAATGGGGCTCGCGCCTCCTTTGAACGGACCCTCGGATGTCTGGGTGAATTTGAACAAAGCCCAGGATAGTGCTCAACAGGTAGTCTCCTATCTCCTCACTGACCTTACTGTGAACGCATCGCATTCTAATTAACTATTTTCCAGCTTGGAAAAACACTTTATCATCAAGGAGACCTGTCCTACTTCGAAGCTGTCAACAAGGAGTCGTTGAAGAACGCCTATCAAAGGTTTGCAGAAGAGGGGATTATTCAGATTGCGCGAAGCAAAGAGCAACGCACGACCCCCGCCACAATGAGGCTTGCTCCCGAGTGGACACCACAACGTGATGAACAGACCGGAAAACTAATGGATCGTGGACGGCTTTGGGATTTCACCGAGAGGATTGCTCGATCGAGGCGGGAAGGGTAAGCATGAAGACTTTTCCTCTTTGATAGGTATCCATCGTCTTTCGGTTCACCGGTTCTAAACGTTCTTCTTTCTATAGGAAAAACCGCCGAGATGGAGCAACCGTATCTTCACGTGTGCTCACCATGACCGACACAGTAGGACGACAACTGTTTCAAAGCGTGGCACGATCTGATGCGACGGATATCAACGTATCGACGCGTCAAGCACGACGGACGGTCCTGGCGGAGAAAGCGAATCTGTAGATTCTTTGTTTTCATTCATGATTATGCAAAATTATATATATACCCCCCCGCCAACTAACTAGCGAGAGCATTCACATCGAAAATGCCATATCCACATTATCTTGTATTGTCTTGTCCAGTCGCAGTCGACGATAAGTAGTGTAGGCCTACACCCAAAGAGGAAATTATTTCCCGGTTTGGAGATGCGTGATAAGTCAGGCTTGCTTATCATCAGAGCCAAGCACAGCCAAGTATTGGTGTAGATAATGCGACTGGCATGCCTGCTAATGAGAGTCCAGCTTCATGGGTCATGGCTCTGCTTAGCAAGGAAGCTAGATATCGGTCATTATCTGCTAATCTAGAGCTCTTGTGGATTTTATAAGGATGGCCAGTTGCTGCCGGTCAGCTCTCAACTTGGTCAGACGCATCGCATACCGCTAGCTATATGAAATATGGCCGACGCCGTATGTATCTCGCAATTTTCAATTACCTAGGTACTACAAAAGTGGTGATGATGTGACTAACCGACGACACGAACAGCCTCAGTACAACGCCTCTACTCCCAACGGGGGAAACCCACTAGAGATCGACGTCAACGCTCAATATGATGGATTCGAGTACAACTACACCTACATCGTGTTTTGCGGGTTCATTGTCTGGCTCATCATTCCCGGAATCGGGCTACTCTATGGCGGAATTGCGCGGCGAAAGTCGGCTTTGGCGCTTCTCTTTCAGTCTATGATGGTTGTTGCTGTGTATGTTCCTTTTCTCTCTCTCTCTCTCTCTCTCTCTCTCTCTCTCTCTCTCTTTCTCCTCCTGTCAAGGCCTGTAGCTGAACTTTGGAATCTGGTTTTAGGACTACCTTCCAATGGATGTTTTGGGGCTATTCGTTGGCCTTTAGCAGAAACGCGGGCCCGTTTATTGGGACTCTCGACGCATTTGGCATGATGAATGTGCTCGCCGCTCCGTCGCCGGGGTCTGATGTGCTCCCGGAGATTGTCTATTGTCTTTATCAATTGCTTTTCTGCGCCTGCACGGTATGCGATTCCTATTGGTTTAGTTGTGCTCAAGAGACAAAAAGCCATGCTGATAGGCGGCATAGGTCATGATCGTGGTCGGCGGCGCTTTTGAGCGAGGAAACATAGTCCCCTCACTGATTTTCAGCTTCTTCTGGGCTACCATTGTCTACTGCCCTATTGCCTGCTGGACATGGAATAGTAACGGCTGGCTATACAACCTCCCCTCTTTGGACTTCGCCGGTGGAGGTCCCGTGCATATTTCCTCGGGCTGGGCTGCGCTGGCCTATGCTTTTGTTCTGGGAAAACGCAAGCATCACGGCGAGCATACACATGGGAAACCGCACAATACGACCCTGGTGTTTTTGGGCACTGTGTTGATCTGGTTTGGGTGGTTTGGATTTAATGTAAGCCTGACTCCTGCCCCTCTCTCTTAACTGCGTTTGAGGGTCTAATACTCTCTGTTTAGGGCGGCTCTGCTTTGAATGCATCAGTCAGGGCCATGGTGGCAGCTTTCAATACCAACACAGCAGCTTGCACTGGCGTCCTTGGCTGGGTTCTGGTCGATTACATTCGATACAAGGGCAAGTTCTCAGTAGTTGGAGCGTGCGAAGGCGCCATTGCCGGTCTCGTCGGCATCACGCCTGCAGCCGGTTACGTGTCTGTCTGGCTTGCAGCAGTAATCGGACTTATCACATCTATTGTCTGCGCGCTACTCCAGAACGTCAACGATTGGCTACACATCGACGACGGAATGGAAGTATTCAAACTGCACGGCATCGGCGGAATCTGCGGTGCCTTTATGACGGGGATCTTCGCGACGTCGTCCATTTCTGCATTGGATGGAAGCTCGCTTAGCCCCGGCGCTATAGATGGTAATGGGAAGCAGGTGTACTTGCAGCTTGCTGAAATTGCGGCGATTTCGGCCTATTCTTTCACCGTTTCGTGCATTCTGCTGTACATTCTCAAATTCATTCCCGGAATGAAGTTGCGTGTAGAGGAGGAAGCCGAGTTGATTGGATTGGATAAGGCGCAGTTTGTCGATGAGCAGATTGGTGACTGGAGTATGTTTGATACTTATACTGGTGAAACTAGCAGGGCTGAGTCTTCCGGGGTGTTGGCGATGCCTCTTTCGAAGGACGAGCCTGCCGAGTCGAAGACAGCGTGATTTGATGTATGGATCCAAGCTTGTGTTTCTGGCTGTGACGTATATGTACACCTAAATATTGCCCCCCTGTTTTTAGAATTAGAGTCGGTCGCAATTCAAGCGAGACATCCAAATGTAACTTCAATATGTAGTTAGTGGTGATGACGCTTTGGTACATTGATAGCGCGGTTAAAACAAGGCATCAATCTGGATTCCTGACGCCAAGCCGGACCACACGGGCGCTCTGGCCCACGGCCGGCCAATCAGAAGGCCGCGTGGAGAGACCGCACGCTCCGTTTGCGGAGCTCCGCATCCCGGCCAATCAGAGCAGGCTCGCTCCTTCCACCTGTCTTACTCTTTCGACTCTTGCATGATCCGCTTCATTTCAACTTCAATATATATCTTTATTATTACACTCTCCCCTCTAATATTAACTAATTTCTCCTAACCAACTAGTTGGCCGTCGCTTCCGTCCAGATCTTTCGCCCTCGCTTTCCTCTGCAAAATCCCGACCTTGTTGGACTACACTGTAGCCCTCCGTCGCCGTTCGTTCGTTTTCGCCAGCAGAACATTGCGCACCAAAACAACAACCGTCTGTTGCAGTCGATCATCTGCTTGCCATCTGTCTAGCTGGTCCTGGGCTGTCGCAATTTTGCTTTGGGAAGAAGGAAGAAAAACACACTCGCTCAGCTATCGCTCATCTTCCCCGCCGCGCTACAGTGACTTTCGTTTGCCGCTTTTTTGTTATACGATGCTGTTTGGGTGATATTTATATAAGGAACAAATGGGAAAATGTGCGCTTGGCCGTGGGCTTTACCTTGACATCCTGAAATACTGACGCTCTTCTCTCTCAGGGCGATATGGAGTGATCCTGGACGCTGGCTCGTCTGTATGTTCACACCAATCCTATACGTTAGCGGAATTCGCACATTTTATCTAACACTGAGTTCTTATTTTCACAGGGGACGCGCGTTCACATCTATCGATGGCTTAATAATACCAAGGCGCGCCAAAGCGACTCGCCGAAGAAACTGAAATCGCTACCCGAAATCACAACCAAGGAGGACTGGACAAAGAAAATCAATCCTGGTATGATGATGCCGCGCGCGTGTGTAACTGGATGATGTTGTTGCTAATAGCATTCTACTACTCAGGCATCTCCACTTTTGCCGATAAACCAGAACGAATTGGACCTGATCATTTGGAAGAACTACTGCAGCATGCGCTTGACATTGTACCGGAAGCTTCCGTTAAGGATACGCCGATCTTTCTACTAGCCACCGCTGGCATGCGTCTTTTAGGCGATTTTGAGCGTCGTGAGATTCTGAATCAAGTGTGCTCGTTCTTCCGAGCAAACTCCGACTTTTTACTCCCCGAATGCGATATACATATACAGGTAATCCCAGGCGAAACGGAAGCCCTGTATGGATGGATTGCTGCGAACTACTTGCTAGGAAGTTTTGATTCCCCGGAAGAGCACGCTCATGGCAAGGATCATCATACCTACGGTTTTCTCGATATGGGAGGAGCATCTGCTCAGATCGCATTTGTTCCCAATGCTACAGAGACGGAGAAACATGGTAACGATCTGAAACTTATGAGGCTTCGGAACGTGGATGGCTCAATCCAAGAGTTTCGGATATTCGTCACTTCTTGGCTTGAGTTCGGCGTCCGTGAAGCGCGCCGCCGCTTCGTTGAAGCTCTTCAGGAATCAATCGACGTGCCTGAGATCACTGAATACCCAGATCCTTGTCTGCTTGAAGGTCTACGTACAACACTTGATGGGACATTGGCTTCCGACATCACCCACGGGCCTTATCTGCTTGGTACAGGGCGATTTGACGAGTGTGTTCGACAAACGTATCCGCTACTGGACAAAGACGCACCTTGCGCAGATGAGCCTTGCCTACTACATGGAATTCACGTTCCTGCAATTGATTTCGATGTCAATCATTTTGTCGGTATCAGCGAGTATTGGCATACCACGCACGAGATTTTTGAAATGGGATACAAGGATAAAGCCTATGATTTTAATACATACCAGCAGCGAGTTGGTGCGTTCTGCTCTCAAGACTGGGAAGCTGTTGAGCAAGGGATAGCCGAATCTCGATGGGGCTCCAAGGTCGACCTTCTCAAGGCGCAAGAGGTCTGCTTCAAAGCATCGTGGATTATAAACATGCTTCACAGTGGAATTGGTATTCCCCGCGTCGGCCTTGAGGACACCAGACTTTCAGGGCATAATGGCACTAAAGAAATTTTGCAACATGGCAAGGAGAAAGGCTACCTTGATCCATTCCAAGCTGTCAACAAGATTGACTCCACGGAAGTCAGCTGGACGCTCGGTAAAGTCGTGCTCTATGCATCCTCTCAGGTGCCCGCCGTGGAGCCAGATGCCCTTCCTGTCGGTTTTGGGAGCAACGAACCAGGTATTCCTAACGATTTTCAATATCCCAGCGTCGAGCTTGTTCCTAGTCCTGGACCTGCAACGGAAGAGGCTGAAAGCTGGCACGATACTCTATTCGGTGGGGAGTCACCCAGACGAATTCCAGGCGTGCTACTATTCGTGTTTATTGTTGTGATTATGCTGTTCTTCCTGTGTGGCCGTAGTCGTCGCTCACGGATCTTTCTCAAATTCAAAAGTCTCTTCAAACGCGGTGGACGTGTACGTCGCAGGTATCCTACAAAGCTAGGATTCATGGGACGTAATACTCAAGCCTACGAAAGAGTCATTGAGGAAGGTGGACAAGTGTTTGAGCTTGCTGGAGCCGACAGTGACAGCGATGATGGGTTTGACTCGGATGGTGTTAACCCCAAGCGACATCACCCCTATACAGGATCAGCTACGGGGTCGCAAACACCGGGTCTAAAGTTTGAGTTCGACAATATCTCTTCTACTAGTATTGGGCTCGGTATTGCAACATCAAATGTTCTAGATAGACACGGCCTGGTTGCCAGGACGGAGAGTCGGGAGCATCTGGTGCCAACAGTCACGCAAGGAAGTCGGTCTCGCACCGTCAGTCCCACCAGAGGCCGAAGATCCCCGATGATGAAACCAATAGATGACCAGTGACAATGGTAGTGCCAATCTTACAATATTCTGGTTATGCGTTCAGCCTAATGAGGGATACGATAGAGAGGGCTTTTTTTTTACGTCCGGCGTTACAACGACCCAGGGGGTTGCTGGACCTTCTACACTTCGATTCTTTAGGTGTGCTTCCAATGGTGAAGTTCGTTGTAGATATAGATACATTTTATACGCTTGAATAGTTTAGTTCTAATAGGATATGATCATTATATATTATAAGCATATGAGTGAAGCCTGACTATCTAAACTCGAAATTTACTTCAAGGGTTCATTCAGGCACGTGATACATATCAACCATTCAGGCACGTGATCTCTACTTCGGGAGAGCTTTATTGCGCGAATTGCAAAAGCTTCACATTTCAACATTCGATCGTGACGACATTTTGGCATGAAATAAAGAAAAAGAAGTACTCCCGCACTATTCCGAAATTCCCTCACTCCGTGACTTTCACCACCATCTCAATCATTGCTTACGAGCCAAATTCTATTCTTTCGACGACTCGTCTCGGCTTTGACTCGTCGCCATGCGATTAACAGTCGAGCTCATTCACAATTCCCTTTCATATATCAATCCGCTGAAAGAGCGAGAGCTAGATCTTAGAGGTGGGTTTTTACTGCCACTACACAATACCTGAAAAGAACAGATACTTCACTTTTGATTTTTTACTTTTCTTTTTATTTTTTTTTTCTTTCCCCGTTCAATGCGAAAATACGTGAGAGAACACCATTGATATATCTTTTCTCTTTTTTTTCGCTCTTTTTTGAGACGCTATATAGGTCACAAAATTCCTTCTATTGAAAATTTGGGTATCGCCAAAGTACGTCTTCAAAATCTCAACCCGTTAATCAACCTGTGTCCGAGTCAATTTCTGACCCCTCACACCTTTTTTTGTATAGGATCAAGATGCAATCGATTTCACCGATAACGATATCTCTTCACTCTCGAATTTCCCTTTTTTCCCGCGCTTACGGACCCTATTGCTTGCGCGCAACCGAGTGAATCACATCCAGCCTGCGCTGGCTTCGTCAATACCGAACTTGGAGACCTTAGTGCTTACGGCAAACAATATGGCGGAGTTGGCGGATCTCGATCCGTTGCGCAACTTTGCCAGACTTACGCATTTGGTGTTGATGGAGAATCCGGTGACGAGGAAGGAGGTGTGTATTTCAAATATAATATTGTTCTGTTTAGACGAGACGGACAAGACTAATGATCATCTCTCATTCATAGCACTATCGATACTGGGTCATCTGGAGGAATCCACACATCCGCTTCCTCGATTACCAAAAAGTAAAAGACGCCGAGCGCGCAAAAGCTACTGAGCTATTCGGCACGTTTGAACAACCCTCAGCTCTCGCTTCGAAGATCATAGGCATCAAATCGCGAACATTCGATGTGCCATCCACAGGTGCTGCGGCGGGGCAAGCCACCGCCGCTGGTGGTGACAGGGCTGTCCGCGTAAAGCTTACAGAAAAGGAGCGCAAACGCGTGGAAAAGATGATCCGGGAGGCGAAGAGCTTGCAGGAGATTGCACGTTTGGAGAAGGAATTGAACGAAGGGCGTATTCCGGGCGGAGCGTTAGACGAGTTGGACGATGACGAGGACCCAGACCGGATGCAGATGTGATGAATTCACCCTCATGTTTATTCTTTACGGACTAGATGATGCTGTCCTACTGGTTCTAATCACTCTTTGTATACTTTATCCGGCGGTCTGTTTTAAAGAGGGTTGTTGCTTCAAATCACATGGAAATGGCGTTCAGGGAGTTTACGCAGAAAGAAACCATAAAAAGCTCTTCTAATTTGATCCGCGGAAATCTATTCCGACAAGACCAGAAATCAATCATTTCCCTTCTACCTAGGTATGACGAACATGTTATCACCACCGCTAAAGCATCCGCAGACCCTTGAAGATATCCTTCTCATGGACCTTGACGCGAGCACCGTCACGTTCTTCGACCTAACGCACGCATACAAATTAGATACGACACAAGCACAAGACACGGTAAGAAGGGAAATTATATCTACCAAGTAGCATCCATTATCGGTGCCATTTGGCATCACTCTTATGACGAGTCCGTGATGGGTGGCTGTGGGTTCTGGGGCAGACATATTAGGCACATTGGGTAGGTGACAAGGTAGAGAGTTCTTTGTATTTACCATGATTGTAGCTGAATTGGATGACGTCTCCTAATTCGTACATCTCAAAGAAACAGCGGATTGGGGATGAGGTCTGTTTAAGCGATCATCGATACTTGAATGTGTAGGAAGAGTATCAGTAGGGAATTTGAGGAAAGACATCAGTTGATGGTCGATTACGATTTATATGACGAGGTACTTGGGATTAATTGTAATTACTACATAATGTCATCTTTTTCTCTAAGAGTACAACAGCGGAGTTGTTTACCGGCGATGAAGCATATCCAAGTCAAGAAACCTAGTAGACATGTGAATCCTATAATCATGTAATAGGGTGCAAAATATCTTGCTCATGCACCTCGATACGTCCCCAGTCACGGTCCTCGACCTAGACAAGCATCAGTTTTCCCCGTAAATGGCCGATTGGGAAAAGAGAAGGATATTGTACTTGCCATGTAACTCCCCGTGGGTGTTCCTTTGTCGTCGGCCATGACTTCGACGATTTCTCCTCTATGGTCGATGCTGGGGTCTTCTCGACGTCAATACACGGACACACTTCCAATCTACCTATGTAGGTGATTGTCAAACGAGTGACTTACCGTGCTTGGGATTGAATTTGATGAACTCTCCAACCCGGTATTTAGCCATTGTTGTTCGTTGTTTTAGTCGGGAAGATATATAGCTCGTTCGGGTTATAAATATTGTTTATACAAGAGTCTAGTTGTTTAATAAATTCCCGGTTTTAAGTTACCTAGGCAGCGATGACAAGGATCATTCATTTGCAAGTTAAACGCCTCTCTGGCCTTCGTGATGAAATAAATATCTCACTCAGAATTACGAGCATGATTCGCGGATTTGATTTCCGAAAATTGGTCGTAGATGTATCGCCGTTTCCTATAGTCTGAAGAAGATGGCGATTATTCTTTCCTATGTTTGCGTTCAACGTATATACATATATACATATATATATTGCACATGCATTCTCTCGAGTATTTGACAGATACTTAAGCGAATCTAGCTCCCTAGACAGAGTGCGTAGCCTCGACTCCAGTGATACATCTGATCACTCTCCGCCCAAACTTGAGATTAAAGATATTAAACGCATCAATGCATAAGCGGGTCTAGGGACATAACAATATCTTCTTCGCGGACAAGATGCTCCATGCGGCGGCTCTGACGGTTTCCATTCTGGACCTATCCAGGAAGACGTCAACTCAACGTACGTAACATTAAGTACTCCGTACAAGCAATCACAGTGAAAACCAGAAGCGAGAAGAGACAATATAATACCAAATATGCACCCGTAAATGTATTTGTCGTATCGATGATGGGGTCTACAATACGCCCTTGATTCTGTGGCATTGCTGGGTTCGCCGCACCATGGTAAGGTTTGTACTGGATCAATTGTCCTTTGCTGAATTTGACCATGGTCAAGTTGGATGATCTTGTGAAGTCAACTTAACGTTCTCTGGAAAAAATACATATATAAAGACAGAAGTTCTTCTTGTCATCAAATTCCAGATGTATCAACGACCGCCGAATTCCGGCTTTATATATAGCTTCCAGTTCGTTAGTTGAGATTTGCGTCATGCTAGGGACAGTGATTACTGATCTATCTCAGGTTCTTAAAAGGCAAATGATCATGCCAAAGAGCCACCACAACCACCACCACCACCACCACCACTACCGTCATCATAGAGAGTAGGCTTGCTGATGAGCACGACTTTTGCTATGACGAGGAGAAAGATTTTGTGATAAAGCCGGCATATTCGTCCTAGATCTACCTTGTATTTTGTTCACAGCATGGAGGGTTAGCAGTGCACTGGGATGTTGATGTTACTGAATTGACTTGACTTAGGGCTGGCGCTGCTGGCTGGCTGACTCAGCCGATCCTGTTGGGCAGACGTCATCCCAACCTTCCCGGCGTCATCCAGGATGCATCTCCCAACTTCACCGCTTGCTCTTGATCTACTCGTGTTGTCTTTGGACCGGACAGAAAATTGAAGGAAGTCTGAGACCTGGGCTGTGTAAAACGCACAGCTGACAGATGGCCGTGGGGACCAAAGCGATTACTCGGTGATACAGAATCGACCCTCGAAAGTAGAACGAACCTGCTCCCAGAGTAGCAAGAGAAGAAGAGATAAGGCCAAGAAGAATTCTTTCAAGGTGGCGTTTGCAGCTGCACGCAAAACTTGTAATCGTCGATTGCGACAGCAACTCAGCCATCTCCCATACAGCGCATACCGAGAAGCCAGAATGACAGCCACAACCGACATGCCCGTCGCTCCATGGAAGAGCCTGTTCCTGGAGCATATCTCCAAACTGGACGACCCGTACATGGCTGTATCAACCGTGGGCTATGACCCGAAGACCGAATCTCCAGTTCCCAGAGTGCGTACCTGCGGATTTCGAGGCTTCTTTGGCGAGCTCCAACTCCATCCGTCAGCGGAGCAGCAGCTGCGGGACGAAAAAGAGCTTAATCCATCACTGTATGAGTCTGATATGTTGACTTTCACTACCGATGTGCGCATGAGGAAGGTTGAGGAGCTCCAGCAATTCGATGCGGTTGAGGTTCTCTTCTGGGTGAAGGAAGTAATGGCCCAATGGAGGTTGAGAGGAAAGGCCTTTGTAATCGGAGATGAACAGGGTAAATTGGGCGAAAAGACTGCTAGGGCAGAGATCTCAAAGGGATTGAGAGTAAGGTCGAACGATGCCGCCGAGTCTCCGAAATGGTACTGGAATAAGGAAGTGACTGCATATTTTGCCAACCATAGCCCTCTCATGAGAGGTAAGAACAAGGTTATGTTTATGAAATCATAGAGCGCCATTCATTGTTGACGACTTTCCCAGGTTCATTCAAGGGCCCGGCCCCAGGACGGCCACTGAGCGAGAAACCAGAGGACCCAAATCTTAGTCTAGGCCAGCGTGTCAAGGACCTTCATGATGCCACTGCAAGGAAGCATTTCCGAGTTGTAGTCATCCGAGTTGAGGAAGTTGATAGATTGGACCTGACCGATCCTGAAAAAGGCATGCGCTGGAGGACGACATTGAACAACAACAGCAAACAATGGGAGGAAGTGGAATTATGGCCGTGATTCAGCAGTTAGTCAAATCAATGAATAGATAAAGCATTCTGTCTGACGGTCATTTCCTGCAAACAATGCTATTTGCTAGTGTCGTCTTCCATGATTAGTTTGCTGACAATGGGCCTGGCTTTGTGCTGGGAGTTTCCACAATAACTATTTATTCTGCGTATTCTTTGTTGCAGCCCATCTGCCTGGTCTAAGGTGCTTTGATTGTCTTTTCTGCCTCTGAATAACGGCGGTGGCTGTCAAGAGCATCTCTCTGGCTCAATTTGCGTCCCTACGATCCATCTCCTCTTGGCCACCTCGTCTGAATCTTGTCTTCACACTTTATTTCTTCCCATCATTCAATCTAGACACGACTCTGGCTCCTCTCAGTCATCTCTACGCTGTCTTCCATTGCTCCGGTTGACTCATCCAGATCTTCAGCACCAATAGATAAAGTAAGGCTTTTCTCTTTAGCTGACCGGTGGCTGTTCTCACTCTCCATCTCTTCGTCTACGGTCCCGTGCTTGACCGCATTGCAACATCAACTGACTCCTCATGCCGAATCAGAAGAACATCCTCCACTACGAACGATGTCGGTTGCTGAAAATCCTCGTCTCCCGACTCCTCAGAGCTTCCCCTCTGGCGGTTCGAGCATACCTCCCGAGAGCCAACAGGTAATAGGGTCATTTCTTGTGTATTGAGACTTCCATTCTAAATCTGCTAATTCAAGACACATGAAAAGGCGAATCCCCCGCCAGAAGTAAAGGAACCCACTCGCGCAAGAAAAGCTTGCGATGAGTGCAGACGGAAGAAAGTCAAGTGTGAGCACGGCCAACAAGGCGGCGACATCGCGGGGAAAAGAAAACGGAGTGGAAGGACTCCTGCTCCTAGTCAGAGGACGACGAACCAGGGGAATGCCTCAGACGTCAATGCTGTAGAGCACGCTACGACCACTGAGGCTCCAGACAGAGAGGGCCAGGCCCAATCCTCACAGACAGCCTCGGAACGCCCGCGTCGGCTGGGAGCAGGTAAAAGAAAACTCTCGGAAGCCTTCGATCAGAATCCTCCTTCGAATGTTTCGCAGCGTCCCAGAAAGCTCGCGGCAGTGTCAGAGATACCAAGCAACGCCAACGCCAATACGCAGCAGGCAAAGCAGCGCAAGAAGCCAGGCCACAAACCGCGCAAGCAGCCTGATTCTGCCTCGATCGTGATTCCGGATACTCCTGAAACATCTCCATCGCCTGCTGAGCGCTCTAGCCCACAGCCTCAGCCCTTCGATGGTAATATTACCGTTTCTATTGACCTGGCATGGCATCTACATATGAACAATGAGGTTGAAAGAAGAATGAGCGACGTCGAACTGGAATGGCGAGGCATGTGTCGAGATATGGAGAACATACAAGACAAGTGGCAGCACCTCCTTGAGTCGATGTATATGACAAGGCAAGTGATGGATGAATGGACATCACGCTTTCTCAGACAAAAACAACACGCAGAGTAAAAGTTGTTTTTGGCATCTTTCTTCTGAAGGAAAAGAAGAGACGATTTCGAAGATTCTAGGATTCTCGTCTCATCGCTGCGTACTGCCTACGCCCGGTGGGCAATCTGTCATCCCACTTTTCTTGTTCTTCTTCTTCTTCTTCGCAGTAAGAAATCTCCATATTGAGACAGATTTGTTCGACAGGCCTTTTTTTTCTTTGTTCGAATTTTTACTACTTTCATCGCGGAGCATGAAAACAATTGGCTACATCGTGAAAGTATTGTCTCCGTTACCGGCATACTTTTGTCAGAACCTGCTTGGTGATTTGTCTTTTTTTCTTGTTTCCACCCTACAGTTCGACTGCCTTGGCCATTCCTACAAATCCATACCTTAAGAAGCAGGCATATCAAAGTTGGATTCTTCTTTTATTGTTCCTGTACCATATTCGGATCCCTAAGTCCTTCATCAGAATGGTGGATATGTCACTTTTTGTCATTACCGTTTCTCGTTTTTCCTCTGTCTCAATTTTTTATGTTTTCTTCCTTTCTTGCAAATAACATGCAACTATCATTCAGATTGTTAGGCAACTTGCCTCATGATAGCATGTTGGTCGATTGTATTTACGAGGTGCATCAAGTTTGTTAATAGGGAAGAAAGGTCATCTTTGTTGGTGGATAAATTGCTTGGGCCTGCATATTATTTGATTTTGACTCAAGATTGTACTGTGCTTGTCAACAAAGGAAAATAACATAGCAATTTCTTTTATTTATCAATCAATTTCTCTAAAAACCAACTGAAAAATAAAGCTGGGAGGCGGTGAGCAATTTTCCCCCAAAAACGTCCGTCAAAAAGAAAAATAATCTCCTCACCGCCCGCCCGCCCTGCAAAAAGAATCAAACATCACTCCCTCACTAACGCCATTTTATAATTCTTTCGTCCATACTGCGGGAGACACGTGAGGAATCATGGCTGACGATGGCATGCTCCTCAATTTCTCCATAGGGGATGCAATCCTCAAACCGGAGACCAAATTCAAGGGAGGCGCATGGAAAGACCGGAAACGTGCCCAAGGCAAGCGGACTCCTCGCTCGAGGAATCAATCGAATATAAGTGGCCCCGGTCAGTCTGACGGAAATCCGAATAATGTGCGCATCGGTGAACGCAGAGCAGGAGGAGGAGGAGGAGGTGGTGGTGGTAGTGGTGGCCCTCACCCAAATAAAAGGCCAAGAATTGACGGTGCAGATTTTCGTCCATCAACATCTGCAAATGGCCAGCCCCGCGGAGGCACAGGAGAGCGAGGACCGAAACCGAAACAGATCATTTCGTCGCTGTTCTCATTCAATCCAGCACCCAAGGAGTCGGGAGAGGATGCCGAGAAACAAGAAAATGCTACGGACGACGTCGAGGTGAAGCCATCCAATGCGCCACTCATCGATGGGATTGAAGACTTCACTGCCCTCGGTTTAGCTCCAACGCTCGCCGCGCATTTATTGACGAAGATGGAATTGAAGGCTCCTACTGCTATTCAGAAAGCATCAATACCACAGCTGGTGAAAGAGGATAGTGACGCTTTTATCCAGGCGCAGACCGGTTCCGGAAAGACGCTGGCATACCTTTTACCGCTCGTTCAACGTATTATCAGTCTGAAAGACAGTGGTAATGGTTCAAATAACACCGGGAAGACCAATAGTGACTCGATTCAACGCGATGCTGGTCTGTTTGCTATTGTGTTAGCGCCGACGCGTGAACTGTGTAAACAGATTTCCGTTGTTCTGGAGAATCTATTGCGGTGCGCTCACTGGATCGTGGCCGGCACAGTCATTGGTGGCGAGAAAAAGAAGTCGGAGAAAGCTAGGTTGAGAAAGGGGTTGAATATCCTTGTTGCTACGCCCGGACGACTCGCGGACCATCTCGACAATACTCAAGTGTTAGATGTGAGCAATGTGCGTTGGCTAATCCTGGATGAGGGCGATCGCTTGATGGACCTAGGATTCGAAGAGGAGATTCACGGGATTGTCAAGAAGTTAGATGCCAGACAGCGGCCAAGCTCGATTGTTGGATTGCCAGCTAAAAGAACTACGGTCCTCTGTTCCGCGACCTTGAAAATGAATGTGCAGCGGTTGGGTGAAATCAGCCTGAAGGATGCAGTGCATATCAAGGCAGACCCGGCCGACGATGATGGAATGGAAGGGAATGCAGAGGGAGAAGGGAAGGATGCCTTTACGGTCCCTGCCCAACTTCAACAGTCCTATATCGTGGCAGCAGCAAAACTTCGTCTTGTTACACTTACGGCTCTGATGAAACGCACCTTTGCACGCAAGGGATCGGTCATGAAAGCTATCGTATTTGTTTCCTGTGCTGACTCTGTGGAATTTCATTTTGAAGTATTTACGCGCAAAGACCTAAATCCTACCCCAGATACGCAGCCGGCAGCCGACTCGTCTTCTGACGAAAGCGACACGGAGAAGAAGGCTGATGCCCAGGATAAAGAGAAAAACAAAGCCAAAGCAATTCAAGAACATGGCACCGTGGGTCAAGCAACTGCGTTCTCAAGCTCTTCCAATCCGGTTACTATATACAAACTCCATGGTTCACTGCCACAACACGTCCGTACAGCGACGCTCGGCGCCTTCGCCAAAAGCAAAGAACCAGCAGTTCTTATTTGCACTGATGTGGCGTCCAGAGGTCTCGATTTGCCCAATGTCGATCTTGTCGTAGAGTACGACCCCGCCTTCAGCTCCGACGAGCATCTACATCGGATCGGTCGTACCGCACGTCTAGGCCGCGATGGTCGAGCTATCGTGTTCCTTCTGCCGGGCAGCGAAGAGAATTACGTAGACATACTGAAAAAGAGTTACCGCGATGGAGGCAAAGCACTCACGCGAACGAACGCGAACGATCTCCTGAAACGCGGGTTTGGCGGCAACACCGATGCCACGAGCAAAGATTGGGAGGAGAAGGCTACCGATTGGCAGCTCGATGTTGAACGGTGGGCGCTGGAGAATGCGCAGTCTTTGGAACTGGCTCGTCGTGCATTCCAATCTCATATACGCGCGTATGCGACTCACGTCTCCGCGGAAAGGAATATGTTCAATATCAAGGAGCTTCATTTGGGACATCTGGCCAAAGCGTTTGCCCTTCGAGATCGACCATCGAAAATCAACGTTCCAGGGTTGAGGCAGACGAAGGACGAAACTAAGAAGGAATTCAAAGCGGGCAGACGAGCCTCTGGCAAACCTGCAGCTAGCAATGGCACTGAGAGCAAGAAGCGGAAGATAACGGCTTCGGCTGGACGTGAAGACGACGACGACGATGATGATATCCCACGTGTGGCTGATCATGAAGATGCAGCTCGCAAAATGCGCGCCAAAATGCGGGCATTGACTGGCGGCGGTGCGAGCGAGTTCAACCTGGCGTAAAAGCTTTGCTTTTTTTTTTTTTCTTTTCTTCCCCTTCATTGCATTGTATATATATAAGCATCTGTATGTTGTTAAACCTTTGCAGCTTCCTGTATGTAGTATTTCGTTTTGAACGTATGTTTCAATAGATATCCCATAACGATATTTTACCATCTTTCGAACCCGCTGCCAACCAATGCGTTTGCTGCGCTTTTTGATTTCGCTGCTGCCGTACGACTTGGAGGGGCGAATCGGTCTGTCCTGCAGAAACGACAGCTTCTGAGGTCTCGTCTTCCGTGGATACAGATGAAAGAATCCCCGCGAATGCAACAGCATAGCACCCCTCGGTATGCCATTTTAATACGGCAAGCTCCTTCACCGACCTGCAAGAATAGACTCGTATGCGCGCATCCCAGCCAGCGGTCGCAAATATTTTCTGATCTCCCCGCACACGCAGACCTTGCTGTCCGGCGTGTTTTGTATTGAGAACTTTTAGTGGAGTATTCTCGACGCTAACTGGTGTTGCATGTAGTAGCAGTGAAGAGTGAGACATTTCTGGAATGGGATGTTTGACAATAAGCGCATCAGCAGATGAAGTGTAGAAGAATTGAGGAAACTGGCTCTCTCTTCCCTCCGATTGAACACTGTCTAGTGATAGAATCGGCTGACTATGGGGCCGCGATGCATAGATCTTGACCCATGTCCAGGGTTTGGATGGCTCGGTGCTGGCACGTCCAACGTGTACCATGACGTGTCCATCTTCGTAGCCAGAGAGCATATATATGAGATCGTCTTGAGTGCTATTACCCAGAAGCATTTTGATGGCCATGACCATGCCTGTCTGCACCGAGGTATCCGCAGGAATGGTCGAGACACGTCGTTCGGACGGGAGATGAAAAATGTCAATGGCGCCGGAGTTCAAGGCGTTCGGAACGGCAAAATAGAAAGAGCTGTTTTCATCATCAGGCAATTTGATTTCATTATCAATCCCCTCATTCCTATGCACGGACGTCTTCTCGGATGGAGGAGAAGTACGAAAGCAGAGCGTAAAAGCGCAAAAGTTAAGCGCATTAACGGGCAGGGAATGCAAAAGCCATGGCTCCGGGGCTGATTGTGTTTTTTGTGAGGAGGAGGAGGAGGAAGAAGAAGAAGAAGTGTCCTGATTCCTTTCAACGGGCAGGACACGACTCAGCAGCTCCTCATCATCCGAGGATTTGATTCTCCAAACCCTCAGCTTATGGTCACGTCCATGGCTATGCAGAGAGTAGTCAGCAAAAATATGCAATCCCTTGGAAAACATAAAGTAGCATCGGGCATGGATTGTACGGCGAAGAATGACAAGGGGGTGCTCGCATACGTATATATTATCATCCTCCGACTTAACGTCTCATATCCGTTGACCTCCAGGACTGAGCCTTCGTGGGCTTTCCATACCGCGCGTGCTCGCTTTGTGGCTACATCCCATATAATGATCCATCCATCTGCGTCCGCTGAGATCAGGCGTGTGTTTCTAGCGAAGAAATGGAGAGCCTGGATTGGGGATGCATGGCCGCGAAGGACGTAGCGCGGGGTAGCTGGAGGGAGATTTTGTTGTTGAGTGGTGAGTGAAGTTGTCATGATGCTGTGATGCTAGTTGGCATTATATTTCTCGGACTTGTCCCTTTTTCTTCCTTACAATTTTCCAGCTTTGGTATCGTTCATGGGTGTTTTGGTCTGGTCGGGTGGAAGTTTTGTTGGGTTTCCTGTTTGGTGCCTTGTTGCCTTAGGTATCCAGCAAGTACTTTGGATGCTCAATGTCGCCTACTGTTTTGTCTTAATACTATTGATGCCTAGGCCATGGTATCTCGTATATTTTATTCACAGCGCCTATAATAAACATTTAAATATCGACAAAAAATTGCTCCTCTGAGCACATTATGCCTGGGGGATGGCAGCTTCTAATAAAAATGAATATAGTATTACAAAGTATAAATGAAAAGCTTAACCATTCAGTATTGTGCGTAATGGTAGCTCTCAAGGTCGCTATGCGGCGCAACATAATGCTCCTGGTATGGATGATTAGCCATCGAGAAATCAGCAGTAGCCATCATCGGGTTGATGATTCCAGGCGGAATTCTGGATCGGGGAGGTGGAGGAGCCGGAGGTATATCAGGATTCAGCAGTGAAACAGTATCCATGGGTGTCGAGGTGCCATTGTTAGCTGTAGAAACAGTAGCAGCAGTAGTAGAGGCCCTGGCTTCTGAATGCTGGTGACTATCTGCGTTCCAGCCCCATTTTGTCTGAAGCTCGTCTTTGAGGAATGATATGCGCCAGCCTGTTTCCTTTATTATTTTGTTGATGATTTGCAGAACCTCTTCCTGGGCTTCACGAGAGACCAAGCACTCGGCTGCAATCGCAAGACAGCGGATTGATGTCGTTGCAACGCCACTACAAATATAGTATGTTAGATCAAGACGACATATAGCGATATTAAGAGAAAGAGCATCATACCGATCCTTGACATGAGCAACAATACCGCAAATATCATAGGCGTGCTTCTGCTGCATGTCTCGCATATTTGGGCTAAATTCCGACTCGAGAGGATGCGTTTTGGCCAAGAGGATACATGCAGTATGGTAGAAGAGACGGCCAACAACTGCAGACCGCTTGACGAGCCTGGAGTATAATTAGACAATCAAGTAATTTAGAGAATATATAAGCATGATTATGTGTGCGCGATCTTGGACTCACCAGACTTCAGGGAAAGCAGATTTAGATGTTGTTTGCCATGGCTGGAGGTAGCAAATTGGTACCATCGACCGTGGAATGCATCTCGCCCATTCGTCACACCACCTTTTATAAGTATCCCACTCATGACACCTTTGCTGTAAGCGTAATTGGGGCGATTGTCGATCCGACCCTTGCATTTGGAATAGAATAGCCCGAAAGTTGGCGATTTTGGCGCAAATATAAAGCATTCGGTGCGTCCAACTCTCCTCATCACCGAACAAGCTATCAGACGGCACAAGTTCCGTCTCTATATCCATATCCCAAGTGTCAGGATCCCAAGACATCCGCCAGTTGAAATGAAGACAGCTCAACAGCTCCATCCCGACATTTATCCAGAAACAGGCCCCGCCAATTCCAGGTGACTTGCCGTTCCACCGGCACTCCTTGATAAGAGCCCTCGCTCCTGCTATGTGATTCATCCGTTGCATCGCACTCTCGCACATCACCTCGTACACGTTCAGGATGACTGCGGCAGTTGCACAAAGAGCACGATCGCGATGGGGGTTCTCCAGATGGACGAGTAAGTCTCGTGAGGCGGCATTATAATAATGGACAGCTCTATCCTCTCCAAAAGACGCATTCACAAGATGAAGATGCCGAGCACCACATGCCAAGATAGCATTGAGAAGTAATGGCTCATTTAGAGCATGATATGGTATGATATTTGTGAACTAGATAGATATATAGTCAATAAAAGTAATAAAACTATTACCAGTGCCAGTGCCAGACAGTTTGTTTGTATCAACTTACATGGCTGCCAGCATCCATAGAATCCATCCACAGTGCGACTTCTTCAACGAAGACCTGCAGCAGAAGGACCTCCTCGGGATTAGTGATACAGGGGTGGTCATTCGTAGGCGTCATCGACATCTTTGGTAAAAACACATTTTGTCCATGAAATTGGTGAGTCGTGGCGTACTGCTGCTCGCTGAGTATAGATTCTGGTATCTCCGAATGCGCGGCCCCAGGAAACGAGGATAGAAGAGAAGTGTTGAGGGTATTTGCGAAATCAAATTGGGGCGGCGGTGCTTCATTAGCTACCAAGGCAATAGTTTGTCTCAATGGCGGATATCTCTCAGCGCCCCCGACATATTCGGATGCAATCTCCCTCGACTCGTCTTGGAATGATACTTGAGTACCAGGCAGAGGAGCTATACTATGTGGAGGAGCAGCAGTTTGCGTGTCGATGAAATTAAGACGAATGCCTCTCTTGCACACTCTCCCGGACTTGGAACAGTTCTGACACCTCGGCGATGCCTCGTCGCATTTCAAATGCCGCTCGCGACAGGTGAGACAGCCTGTGCGAACTCTTCTAGACTTTGTGCCGTGAGAATTCTGACCCGACTTTTGCATTTGCATTTTCAAGCCTCGGGAAGATTGTTTGCTCGAGTCATCGACTGGGTGCACAGAGCTCAGCAGAGTTTGGGGACTCCGCGATTGCTGTTGTCTCATAGACAGGGACGAATTCCGCATTCGTGTAATATGCAGCTCGAAGAGTTAGCCCGCAAGGAAAAGAGCTATTGCAAGACAGATCTTCTATTCAAATTAAGGCCCCATGGCATATGATAATCCTCCAATGCCATGAACCAAAATGCCGCGACTCAGTCAAGTTTCCTTCCACCGGCGCTCGGGATGGATGGTGATGGAAGCGATTGAGCAAACATTGGCAGCCGCGACAGCCTGAGAGCTTATGTATACGCCTCACGGAACTGTCTGTTCGAAGAAACACGACTATTTGCAGTCTCTCAGACTTCCCAGAGGAGCGAATGCAAACAAGAAGGTTGATTCGTCGCGATCTGATAAGGAGAAAGGGAAAGTCGACGCGAGCCCAAGATTTTTCCGGTTAAAGCACGCGCCAGCGGGGCCACTTATCGTCGTTAATTGGCTGGCAGCTAGACACCTAGGAAATTAGGCATCCATGTATGCATGTATATAAAAGATTATCCAACGCCCTGTGCGATTATATTGACGCTAGTGTCTATGCTTCCTATGATACTACAAGGCCCAGGCATCTCTGACTTCTAAAGCTAAAGAAGTATCAGAGGCCCTCTGGAAACCCCCCCCAAAAGACTGAGAGCAAACTTCATCAGGCGCATAGTTTGGGCGATTCATTCTGGTGTACATATCTTTTGACTTCGAAAGTGACAGGCTGAGTTAACTATTCCTCCTCTTCATCCTCAGAGTTGATCTTTTTCCCGCCTCGTTTCAACACCGGAAGCTTCACCATGATTGTGAGAAACAGCATAATCAACCCCCATATTACGGCGGACAAAAAGGTCAAGCGTAGCGAGAAGGTGTATGCTTGGACAACTTTGATGCAGAAGACACAGTCAGCAAGAGTATTTGAAATACCTAGGGGTTGGTCTGCTAAGCTTACCTTGTTCGCGGTGTTCTGGATCAAGTGTGACGATCGATTCCACCGATTTACGAGCCACGTCGATAATGCTCTGTTTATCAGGCCCCGTCACGACCTGGTCAAGGCGAATACGGAGCGAATTCTGAAGCACCAAGCTACTGACGGCAACGCCCAAGACGTAGCCAAGATTCCTCCACAGGCCCATTGTTGTGACACATGTCGCCTGGTCTTCCTGTTTATTGACTGCAAGAATCGCCACGGTATATGTTGGGAAAGCGAAGCCTTGACCTAGGCATGCTAGTGACAGGAATATCAAGGTTATGGCATATGGCAGGTCCACCAATGTCAGCGCAGTGGTGCTGAGCCCTCCGAGAAAAATCAAAGCAGCCCCAATTACCGCAAAGGGCTTAAGCTTCCCAAGCAAAGTGATCAATACACCCGTCAACACGCTGGTAAAAGTAATTCCAACGGACACTGGGAGGAGATGTAGTCCAGAGTTTGTAGCCGACTCCAACTTTACAGCTTGGAAAAACAGTGGAATGTTGAACATGATGCTGTTCATTGCCAACGCGCCAAAGAAATTACTGAATATAATGTAGGCATGGGGCGCTTGGTTCAATAGTCTGATTGGCATCACAGGACGCTCTACTCGGCTTTCATAGATTGGGAGAATGACTCCGACAACGGCGGCAAGCCCAAGCGACGAGAGCACAAGAGGGTGAGACCATGAGAGTACGTTACCACCCAGGTTAATGCCGATGAGCAGAGCCGTCACGCTGACAGTGAGCAGGAAAGAGCCTGTCAGGTCGATGCGCTCCAGCAATTGTGAGATGGTCGGAAACTCGTTCTTTGGGTCAACGCGGCCCAGATCTCGGGGGGTTGTCCATATCGCAATGAGTAAGTAAGCGAAGATGAACGGCAGCTGTATGGCAAAGGCTCCACGCCAGCCAAGACGGTCGCAAAGCGCGCCTCCCCCGGCATAACCAAGGGCACCGCCAATTCCAAGGATCATATTAATACCGGATTGGTAGACGCCGCGGTATTCCAAACGCACAATGTCACTACATATGATCATGCCCATGGAAAAGACCCCTCCAGCACCCAGTCCACAGAAAGCCCGGGCGACAATAAAGCTACCAATGCTTTGAGCCAGTGCACACCAGGCGGTCGTGACGAAGAAGACGGCTATCGAAAACAAGTACACTGGTCTTCTACCGACGACATCGGAAATGCGACCAAACAGCGGCAGAAGAGCCGTGGACGTGAGGAGAAATGCCGTCGAAAGCCAGGATGCTGAGTTGGATGCATGGAAATCCGAAGTAATCACGGGATGACTGGAGGCCATGAACGTCGAGTCAAAGAACCCGATCAGGTAGCCAACCTCGATGCCGCCGAAAATCCACCAGAACTGACTCGGCGTGACATTAACGAAATGATGTGCGAACATCCCACTCGACGCCGAGGCGTCTTGAGACTCAACGTTCTCGTCCGACGCTGGGTCAGCAGGCGAACCATGTTGCGGAGGCAGTTCTCCTCGATGCACAGTCTCATATGCCGGCTGATTCACGGTAACGTTGAGCCTACTGCGGTTCTCACCGGCAATCAAAGGCGTATTCTCATCCATGGCTGCTACACGCGACGAGAGAGACGCTGCACAAGGTGCGTGTGACACTGGTTACAGTTGGTTCATGTCTGAAGCTTTGAGTCACATCAACCAACATTTCCATAATTTTTTCTGGCACTAAGAGGACCAGCCGCCGCCGCCATTTTGTTCGACATTGCGGGTCGGCTTCCCCTCATCGCTCAGCCGTGCGTGCATAGTTTGCGATACTGCAGCAGCATGGGCTATGCCGATATGGCAGGCAGATCAGCACTTAGCAACAAGCACTGGGTTCGCTTGCATGTTATTGCTCGCATGTCGAGTTGTTAAGAGTTAGAGGACGATGTTGAATGAACTCTGGTGGAACGTTGAACGGTGGCTCCACTATCTACAGTAACCAGTAACTAACTTAGTTTAGCCAGCTTCCATATCAATCACCAAGTGACCGTATGATACGCCTGCACCGCACCAACACCTCGCCCGTATAAGAACAATGCACCCTCCACTGCGCATCGCCGTCCTGGAATGCGACACCCCCGTGGACGCAGTAAAAGCACAATATGGAACATACGGCGATATATTCAAGCGGCTCTTGAAAAGCAGTGCCGCAGCCCTGGGAAGCCTCAACTTCGAATCCGACCTGATGATTACGGGTTGGGATATCGTGGATGGCACAGAATACCCGAGCCTTGACGAGATCGACGCCATCTTGCTGACCGGATCCAGTGCGTTTGAGTTCCCCCCTTTTTTTTTTTTTTTTTTTTTTTCTTTTTGATTGCCGGAGCAATGCTGACTTGTAGTGGCGCTCTAGAACACGACGCTTTCGCCGATATACCCTGGATCAACACCCTCGTCGAATACACGAAGAAAGCGTATGCTCACGATCGAGTGCGTATCATCGGAGTGTGTTTTGGCCATCAGATCCTCGGCAGAGCCCTCGGTGCGCCAGTCGGACGAAGTGATCTAGGATGGGAACTCTCCGTGTGCGATGTCGATCTGACAGAGAAGGGCAAAGAGCTTTTCGGAAAGGACAAGCTGGTAAGACCTCTTCTTTTCGCTCTCGTTGATTCTTGAGAATAATGTTTGTTTTTTAGAAGATACACCAGATGCACAAGGATATTGTGTCGGCATATCCCAAGGAGGTCGTCGCGCTTGGCTCCTCGCCTCGCTGTGCCGTTCAGGGCATGTACGCCGCGCGAAAGCTGATTGCCGTCCAAGGGCACCCGGAGTTTAATGGCGAGATTGTGTCGACAATAATCACGCTTCGCAGTGAAGCCGGGGTCTTCTCCAAGGAAGCGTCCGAGGACGCAATCGCAAGGGCACAAATTCCACATGATGGCGTTAGCATTGGGGCTGCTTTTCTGAGATTTCTGCTTGAAGAGTGAGCAAGACAGCGGAAGCGTCTCTGTAAAGATTGTTATACATTTTTGGATTGAATTGATACCCGACAGTATAGATAGACTAGACCATATATTATACACTACGTATTTCGAACTATACATTAAAATTGTGGTTAGGAAATGTCATGTATCCCCTCCAACTTATTATGACTGACTGGGATCTTCGCGTTCTAGAAATGTTGGATCCATGTCGATTCGCCGTTCAAACTTCGTCCACCAATCTCTAAAGCTCTTCAGAGGAATGACTTGTTCGCCCTTTTTATTCGGGTCTGTCTCCGCAAAACTAGCCAAAAAGTTGAAGGCATTGCCGATGACTCTTTGCGCGAGCACCTTTGTCGTTATCGGCTTCTGTTGAGGCGGCACCCGCACAAGAGCCGTCGAGGGGTCTTGCGGCTGTCCTCGCGCAGAATTCAAGGCTGCCAGTTGTGCCGCAACATTCTGTGCAGGCTCTATTGAAATCCCCAGCGTCACTTGGCCATTGGTCGCATCTCCTACTGCACCGGGACCGTCATCCAGCATTTCATCATCCTGTGCCACCCCCGTATTCGCCGGCTGTGTCCCTGACCCGATCTTGAATATCGCAGAGGGCTTCTCGTTGCCAATTGCGCCGAGGAATTGGAACTCGGGCCCATTGGGGGTAATTTTCGAGTTGGGAGTCTGGAGATAGATTGCGGCGGCTGTATCCGGCGGGAGCACTGTGCCGGGGAGAAAGAAGACGACAATATGGTTGAATCTGGGCGCAGCAGGGAAGGCAAATGCGAATTTGGTAGGCTGAACACCGGGCTGAGCATCGACCGCCGCGATGTCTGTAAGACACGGCCGGCCTGGTATGACGACGGAGAACATCCTCCCGCTTTGGCAGACCGGCTATCTTTTGTTTCCTGCTATCTGCCCTGATTGGACTTGGTTGCTCGGTTGGGTTCGGTTCGCCGCATGCGCAGTGCAGAAAACAGATGTCTCGTGCTATTCAGTGGCGCGCTCAATGCGGGGCGCCAGATTGGAGAGGATGATGCAAGGCAGATCCGGCAAAAGCTTTCATGGTCTGGAAGTAAGAATGCGTGGTGCAGGCATGTGCCGGGTGCTGTCTACTCCATTGTTCATGATGCGTGAGTAGAGGAAAGAGTCGAGCGTCGTCAGTGAATTAATTCTTCGAGACTTTTCTAAGAACGGCATCGAACATTCGGAGGGGCAGCTGCGGTACCGTACAATACGGTATTGAAACCCATAAAGTTACGGCTGGGCCCAGCAAGGCAAGGCGTACCCAGGTAACCGTATTATTGTTGTGTTCCCGGCCACAAGGCGCTTTCTCCTCCGTGGACCCCAAGTATATAGAAGCCTTTTCTTTCGTTATTATCCCACCCAGACACACCAGGTGTCAGCATAGAAACCATGGCTGCCAAATCGAACCTGCAGTTGATCGAGGAATGTGATAAGTGTGTCTGCTGTCCACAAGTTACCTACATATACACGGCGTCGCTAATACAAAAAGCTTCCCTTATCATGACGACGATCCAGAGTTCTATGAGCGTCACATGCGCAACTACCATGCCTTCAAAGTCAATGGCTGCAATGCCGTTCTGGGCTACATGCCGAACAATGTTGTAGAAAAGTTTCCCTGGATAGAGAATGACTGGAAGGTCGATTCCCAGTCTCGCATCGTGACTCTAATGGCAGCCCCAGACGCAACCCCGGAGGTGCGCAATGAGATCATGTCTCGCCTACTGGCTGAAGCTGTGCATCAAAAAACCTTTGAAGTGCTAAACGGCTGGCGCAACGAGATGTATCCCATCTACGCGCCAGGGGGGATATTCCTGATGGAAATGGAAAGATGTGCCAGTCCGCTCTTTGGTATTATCAGCTACGGCGTCCACATGACGGGCTACATTGAGGATGAGAAGGAGGGCCTCAAACTGTGGGTGGGCCGCCGCTCTAAGACAAAGCAGACGTTCCCCAATATGCTGGACAACACTGCCGCGGGGGGCATGAGTACTGGTGAACATCCGTATGCGTGTGCAATTCGTGAAGCTGCAGAAGAGGCCTCGATACCGGAGGCTGTCTTTGAGGAACGTGCACAATCAGTTGGGGTAATGACATATTTCTATGTTCGGGATGCTCGTGCCGGCGGCGAGATTGGCTTGCTACAGCCTGAGATAGAATATGTTTACGATATTAGACTGGATGCAGACCACGTGATAAAGCCGTGTGACAGTGAAGTCGAAGACTTCCGTCTCTGGACAGTGGATGAAGTCAGGGAATCACTAAAGCAGGGTGAATGGAAGCCCAATTGCGCCGTGGTAGTCATTGATTTCTTGATGCGTCATGGTATACTAACCCCGGAAAACGAACCGGATTATTTGGAGATCGTAGCCAGGACTCATCGGCGCCTGCCATTTCCAAAAGCAAAATTTGTCCTATAGAAACTATGATGATGACTATTTCTGTGTACTGCTCCGTGCCTTTTTTTTTTTTTCACATTTCTTTTTCCTATGCTTTCCTCCTAGGTTTGATTATTTTCCGCAGTAATATTCTAAAGCCACCGTAAAATAAGTAAAAAAACGCCGACGCTGATGCAGATAGTTCTTGTCTCTCCCCTGAACGCAAATTTATTTCTTGAGAAGAAGATAAATGTAGTCGATCCTCAGGGGCACGAGTTTGTTGTATGGGCCGTCGATATGCAGTAAAAGTCCGCCAAACGACACAAAGACAGACCTACAAGGAAAAAGCCCCCGTTAGTATACTTTCGAATACATGTAACCAGATTGCTCTTGACAAAAACGTACATATTCCCTGCCGTAGATCCCTCCTCAAAACGATAAACCTTGCCGTGACACACATAGTCATACTCATTGGCGAGTGTGTTCTCGCCCATGCCCACATCTCTCCAGCCAGTACGGCCTGCTCCGGAGGCATCTTCGTTCTTTCCATCCAAAGAAAGCGTCGAGGCCAAGGCCAACGAAAGCGATTCGCCCACCGCGCATGGGTAAAGCTCTGAGTTCACATCCAGAGTGAATGTCGTCAGGTTGTCCGTCGAGGTACAGCTGATGCGAGAAACGCGATCATATTTCTGCGAGTTTACTGATGTGACGGTGAAAGTATCTTCGAATAATTGCGCGTCCGACATGGTGGTATCTTTTGATATGAATGAATGGAGACGGGATAGAGTTGGTCCGTGCAGTAATGTACTGAAAAGTATTCCCGCTCAAAATCGCAAGCAAGAAAGCCAGTTGAGTGAGTGAGTGAGTGTATGTGGATGCTTGATTGAGGTTGTTGAAGTCGCAACTCGAAGCGTCTCGCCGAAGGAAGCTTTTTTTTTCTTCCCGCAAGTTTGGTCTTAGCGCGAACGGAGCTGCCCCGCATTGTCATTGGCTGCCATTCGGAAAGACATCGCCATAAAATTTATTTCAGATCTTTGAACATAGAAAACAGAACAGTTGCAGCACAATGTCCTTTCGAAAGCGGAATATAGGCATTTCCACCGGGCCAAACCAGACTACTGCTACTGCTCCGGCAACTCCTGCTGCTCAGGTAAACGTGACTCTTCCCGGAGTACGGCCATCGCCAGATGATGGACGAGCAACAACGTCCACCGGCTCTCGTTCTTTGGACAATTTACTAGCCAGCCACGCGGGATTACCACTTGGGAAGATCCTGCTTATTGAAGAGAACGGGACCACTGACTTTGCAGGTGCATTACTGCGCTATTATGCTGCAGAAGGAGTGGTTCAGGACCACAAAGTGCATGTCGTCGGTCTGGGAGAACAATGGGGCAGGACTCTGCCGGGTCTCATAGGAGCTGCTGACTCTCTCGACGAAAAAACTGACCGGCGAAAAGATGAGAAGATGAAGATTGCTTGGAGGTATGAACGACTGGGAGATTTTGGGACAGGGGTTGCAGGCTCAAGAGGTAATTAGTTGTGCCCTAAATCTAGTCGTGTTGCCACATGCTCACTGAGACTTTTTTTATTTCCCTCCTAGCACCCGTAAATACAATGAATAATAACACAGCTTCCACGTCAGCAAGTGGCGCGAAGCAAGAAGCGTTCTGCCATGCTTTTGACTTGACCAAAAGACTCACTCATCCATCGCTGGCTACTGTGAGCTATATACCTCTGGCGCCTCGATTAGGGTCGCCCTTGACGTCGATTATTCAAAACCTACAGCTTGGAATTGCGAATAGTCCTCCAAATACGGTACATCGAGTCGTGATCCCGTCCCTCCTCAACCCTGCCGTGTACCCTCCGGACGCTAGCCAACCTCAATATCTACTCCAATTTATACACTCCCTCCGTGCACTCATGTCACAAAACGCTCATAATATAACCGCCATGATCACAATTCCGCTGTCACTTTATCCTAGATCGTCTGGACTCGTTCGGTGGGTCGAAATTCTATGCGACGGGGTCGTCGAATTGTGCCCGTTTCCTCATTCATCCGACGCAATGGCCACCTCAGGCGCTGCGACGGCACATGAAGAGCCACCTCAGGGAATGCTTAAGACACACAAACTCCCTGTATTGCACGAACGCGGAGGCGGTAGCGACCAACAAATCGGGGAAGACTGGGCCTTCACGTTGAGTCGACGAAAGTTCGAGATCAAGCCATTTAGTCTGCCTCCGGCTGAAGGCGACAACGAAGCCCAGCAGGCGGCCAGTGACAACAAAATGCCCAAAAAGGCCGATCTTGAGTTTTGATCGTCTGCCGTTATCTAGCGGTCACGCTCGTTTTCGTACTGCTGCTCTTCTCGATATAGATCATTCAATTCGATCTGCTCCGACATGGCAGGGCCGGTGAACGTCATTGTACGCAGATACTCTCTGCCGTATGAGCCCGATGCGTCTCGTGACCCTCTTCGAATGCGGTTTCTGAGCCCATCGCCTAGACAGGATGAGAGCGCAAACCAGGCTGCTTAAAGGTAAGGACGTGAAATCTGAGGGATCAAACCAGGCAAACTAACCTATAATTAATAGCAGGGGGCAAATGATGAACAATATCACCACTACCCAGAAATTCATGATTGGCAAAAGAGTCCTCGAAGGGAAAACAACAACAATATTATCTCAAATCTTCTTCCCCAAAATAAATGTAAAGCTCAAGATCAAATATTGTAGTGCTGCCGCGGCGTCGAGGAGCTGAGGATAACACTTGCCCCAAATAGGCTAAGCGTCTCATTGAATTTATTTTCCGCCCGCACCAGCTTAAATTTTCTTCCTTCCCTCCAACCCCCAAGCACTGCAAGAAATGCACTCTCCCTGGCTTTGCCGGGGACTCATCTCATGATAAAAACGTAAGTTGATTCCTTTTTGATCATACATCCCTGTTGTCAACATGATTATTTCCATACATAATCTGTCAATCCCCTGAAGCTCGTTTTTTATCTCATCAAAGAGCACTACGTGACTGAGAAACGTATTTTTAAAATGATTCCGACAATTCACACATTTTTGTTTTTTTTATCACATTATGTGTCTGCCAATCATCTAACAATGCCTCAAGGTAGATCCACACATCCAACCACCCAGAATGGCTGCGGAAGTGTCACTACCTGTGCCCATTTCCTTCGTGTCCGGCCGCTATCTCCTCTTCTCGTCTGATGCTGTCACGTACTTAAGAAGGGAACACAACATCTGTGGTGTGCTGATGGGCACCTTACCCCAGGCGCCCCAGCAAAATGTTTTCCTTGGCTTGCCCTTGGAGCTGATGCCCGAGGAAACGAAGCTGCTCGTTGAAAAGGGAGTGGCGCGAATTGTTGATGACTTTAGATACCACAATGATGCTATGCGATCATTACTGCAAGAAGACAGGCGCAAATACCTCGAGGATCTTAACAGAGATGGCCAAAATGTATCGCGAATCATATCTGGCAGGAAAGAGCAGCGGCGTGAGAAAGCCTTGCAAAAGGTAGCACAGAAGGCAATCGCCAGATCGTCTTCACCCCAGGTAGCAGTTGCGGAAAATGCCGAGGAAGAACTTTTCGAATCGCCTACGCGGCCAGGAAGTTCCATGGCAAGTTCCAGCTCTAATGTATCCTTATCATCGATAAGCATAACACCTGCGACTACATATCCTCTTTTGCCTGATCAGCCTCCTGCAGAGTACAACATGGATCTGCCGCAGGTACCCACTTCTTATGCGGTGTTTGCTCACCTTCATTCCCAAGGCTACTTTTTGTCCCCGGGTCTGAGATTTGGATGTCAATACATGGCCTATCCTGGCGACCCACTGCGTTTTCACTCACATTTTTTAGTCTATGGGTTCGAGCGGGACCAGGAGATTGACCTCATGGAAATTGTATCCGGTGGTCGACTTGGAACTGGTGTCAAGAAGGGTTACCTTCTAGGTTTCGCCGCCGAACCAGAGGACTCCTCTTCTGAGGTTCGTACATTCAGCATCGAATGGGCTGGTATGTGAGAGTACCATAGTCATTCATTCACCCAGAAATTTCATAGTCCTTGGTCCTAGTCGACGGGATTTTGAAGTCATCCGACAGCTCAGTGTCTTTAGTGCTATCATTCACCATAACCCAACGGCCATATCGCTGTGGACCAAACAATGCAACTATGCTCTACATGACGGGAGGCATGGCCTCCATCAGTACGTGTCCAGCAGCCGAATGACTTGACGCCGTGTTTAAACAGGCTTTCCCAGCTCCGGGCGAGGGTTGTGCAGAGTGAACTGTGCTCGACACTTAAGTGTGTGACAGTGTCCGACGCGCAAACCCTACGTTGTTGCATCAACGAATACTCTGAATTTGTTCACTCAAGCATCTCAACATTGAGTTGACCTGCTTACCTATGTATCTATCTTTGAAGAACTCGGCTACATGACATGCGCAGGCACTGAACATTAATAATAAAACATGAAGTCCTTTTAAAGAGAAACATTATCTACGCTCCGTATTCGTCGTACCTAACCAGTCTTTATTCTCCAGTATTTGTAGTCTGGTGATGATCTTTCAGTCTATTTGGTAGGCCGCGCCTAGTAGTCGCTTCTTACAATTTATAGTAGACTTTGACAATGCGAAGCACAGTGAGGAGACGGTAGATATGATGGAGCAGAGGGTGGACTCTTCAACCGCGTAAATTGGCGAAACAATTGTATCAGACTACCTAGGTAGGTATGAGACCTCGTGCCTTGTTAGTTGATCATTTAACTGCATGTCTCAAGAACGATTTGATCATTGATGCTTTGTGGGAGTTTCCGTACAGGGAAGATTGACGATGCCCGTTAGTGGAAGCTAGCCTGTTTGCCCCAAGCAAACTGAGCTGGGTACCTTTTGAATAGAAACAGAAACCAAAAACAGCGTGGGTAGGTCATAAAGCACTTTATATAAGCTCTGTTTTCCTATTTGTAACTACGAGCCTTGGCCTGATATTATAGCCCTGACTTTACAAACTTTGGTTCTTCGCAAGTATAATTTAACAAGAGCCTGGACAATTATTCTTTAGAGCTATCGGAATCCGAAAATCTACAAGCTGATTGTCTCTGATGAAGAAATAAAACTTGCCTCGAAGTCCTTTGCCAAAACTGGTTCCTTAGGGTTAGGGTTATAATTGCGGAGTATATTCGCACTAAGCTATGATAGGCATAGGCCGGTGCCTGGGATATTTTTGTTCATCGACATCAACGCTGAATATTGATGAAGAATATCTACGCATTGGTCGTATCGCAACATGGCTGCTCCAAAGCCACATATAGCTCACGAGATTCTCTCTCGTGCGCATTCGCCAGATACCTCAGAACAGCTTTTCACCGAGCGCATCAGACAAAAACCGCTCTTTCTTCGCCCGACATCCCCCACGCCCGCAGACAATCGATCGCGACGACGCCTTCATCGCATTCGCAAAAAGGAATATTTTTATCGCAAGCAAAAACCACAGCCTCTCTCAGCACGCGAGAAGCGCATCTCTGGCATATACGACATCCCCAAGGAAGAATGCAAGTACGAAATCTTTAAGGGTCTGCATGACATGTGGGTGCAGTACATGCAGGAACTCTTGGGGATAGATGAGCAACAAACTACAGGCAGACCCGCACATCAGATAACTCCCTACAGTCACGGCAGTAAACTTGTCAGTGCTGATTACCATGGCGCCGAGGTGGAGGTTGTGCGAAGCCGATGCGCGGGCAGGGTAGGGTCGAAGGGGATTGTGGTCAGAGACACGAAGTTTACTTTTGTCATTGTTACGGAAAAGGATGTTGTCAAGAGTATGTTCAGTTTTCCTTCTACACCCATTTACGTGTGTTGTCCCGTCTCTAATTGCACGTTTGCTTTAGCCATACCTAAAGAACAGACAGTCTTTCGGTTTACCCTTCCTCCGCCTTCGAAACCAGTGAACGGTGATGGTAGCGATGACAAAGCGGACGGAGAACAGCCCAAGAACTTAGTATTCGAGATACATGGTAGTCAATTTGAGAATCGTCCGGTTGACCGTGCCAATAAGAAGTTCAAATGGAGGAACATTGACTATCTCTGAGCGAGGCATCGGTCTCTCACCTGAAGTCGGCCTTTCTCTCGAAGAAAGTCTTCGTCTTCTAGCTTATTATCAACTCGACCTGCAATCAGATGGCCCTTGCCTTAGCGTTGCTTCCAAGAGTGCCTTGTCAAACCCCTTCCCTCAGATAGCGCGAGCCATCCTACTTTGTTTGACACTAAGACATTGCCTCAGTATCAGGCCAGACCCATCCATAACAGCTTCCTGATCCGGCAAATTCTCTTCATGTGCTCGCTCACTAGCTACCACGTGCTCGTCTCTTTATCTAAGCTTATCTCGCTCGTTTGTCCTCGAGTGCGGGGTCCCCTCACTATCTGAAACAGGTTCGTTCGCCTGCAGCTCCCTGGTTTCAGAATAACCTCGCCATTCCTTTGTTTCCACGTGGGTCTCTACTAGATTTCGATAATCGTCTTCTTCCAGTCTTTGTGCTCTTCAGATTGGAAGCATGTGATCAGTCTAGACCCGATCTTTTCAGGCATGGTGAGACTATTGGCTCAGTTACATACGTGGATGCTTGAAGATGCTATCACTGCTCAACTTCCAAAGATTGACTTGATAAGTCGCTCACGAGCAGCTATACTGGTTTGCTTGTATTTTCATCACTGTACCTTGGAAATTCGACAATCTACGTTGAGTTTGAGACTGAAATCAGAATTCAATATCTTCATTCATCTATATCGAGAACTTGCCTTGTAATGAGCGTGGTTGAAACTGAAGCAAGAGTGTCTGAGTTTAACCTCTATACATCGCTATGGCCCAATCGGTATTGCCGAAGTTGCTTCTTGAAGCCTCTTGTCACATATACTTTTTTTCGCAATGATATCTCGTGTACCAAAGTTCTCAACCCGAGACTGATCTGGATCCCACGCGAGATGCCCAGGTCTTATCTATCTACGAGACACTCTTTGTCTACCTTGCTCACATGACCATGAGCGATATGGACTCCTTTAGTGTTTGAAATGAGGGGTATTAGGAGCTTTGGAGACGGTTGAGGATGTTTGCTTTGTATGGAAACATCTTGTGGTCTAGCTGATGAGGTTTGCTCTCCAAGTCGAGACTACGCATGTCGTGACTCTCCTCCAACTTCGTCAACTTTGATCAAGATACAAATCGTCGAGAGAAGACAGCGGTTTTTGAGCCATCTACTTGTCAATCAAGCAAGCATTGCGGCAGATATTCGTACTTGTTTTCGCAACCGACGACAAGATGGGCACTGGAGGTATATTGTCCATATCATGAATCCTGTATTGCATGTCTCGCTAACCGGTCTGCAGATTCATGTGTTGGGAAGACAACGACCTTCACCCCTTGGTTGTTAAAAAATAGATCTTTAATACTGCCTCTTTTCGGCAATACAGCGATAGCTGAGAAGCTGCATGCTGCCGCAGGACCAACTGAGACAGTCGAATATGAAGCAATACAGCAACAGCCGCAAGAGTTTGTGCCATCCATTCAACTTCAGAAAATGTGCTCAGGTCGCTGACACTGTCAAATAGCATCCAAATACAACTCATGCCCCATCAAATGAATGGAGTGGCATTTCTACGCCACCTACGAAGCAATCAAGCACATGGGATACTTGCCGACGAGATGGGGCTAGGAAAAACCCTTCAAGTCCTATCCTTTTTCCAATTCACAATGAATCTTGAAAAAGGGGACACTCGCCCATTTTTGGTGATCTGTCCCCTCAGTGTTATCGACGGTTGGATGGCGGAAATAAAAACGAAGACATTTATGAGAGCCATTCAGTTTCATGGAGACGACAATGTCCGTCAGTCAATTGGCAGACAGGCCAAGAATGGAGGTATTTGTTGCTCCTTGTTAAGTCACCTGTGTTTCGCATGACTAATATGCATCCCTAGAAGTCGATATACTTCTCGCCACCTATGAAACCGTTGTTAATGATATCCATCGTTTACAGCGACTTGTTCGCTGGAGAGGCGTAGTCCTTGATGAAGGACACCGTCTTAAGAGTAACACAAACAAACTCTCGATTGCATTAAAAAAGCTGAAGACAGACCAGCGTATTATTTTGACTGGGTAAGTAGGGCTAAGACTCATTTGCATGTTCTCATAATCGTGTTCAGAACTGACCCCCTATAGAACACCTATTCAAAACAATCTGGGAGAGTTATGGTCGATTTTTAATTGGCTTTATCCTAAAGTGTTCATTCAGGAAACGCTAGCTTGCTTTCAAGATGCCTTCTCCCTCACGGAAGGGAAAGTGGACACTTTGTTTTTGCAACAGGTGAAGGAGTTTCTACGGATAATTATGCTTCGCCGGACGAAGGAGACTGCTGGTTTCAATTTGCCTCCAAAGAAGGAGCTAAACATCTATCTCCCTTTGACGAATGTCCAAAGGTCACTCTATCTCGAGGTACTCACCGGTGCGAGTGGAGATATCCAAGAAAATGAAGTGCTGCAAACTCCCCCAGCCAGTCCTCGGGGTACCAGTATGTCTTTCTCGTCTTGTGATGACCAAGGAGCATTCGATAGCAACTCAGGGCGTTCGATTTCAAACGTTTTGATGGAGCTTCGTAAAGTGAGTGGGATTGCATCTTACTTAGCCATAGAGCACGCTTGAATCTGATACTAACATATAGATAGATTTGTATACATCCTCTATTGGTCGCAGACGTTGATCCGACAGAGGAACAACCTGAGATCAACGTATCAACCTTGATCAACTCCTCTTCCAAATACATATTTCTCCGAAAACTCCTCGAGGAAGAGGTAGTCAAAAACAAGAAGATCATCATATTCTCAGGTTTTGATTACGCCTTGAACTGCTGTGAGAGCTTACTCGCAGAATTGCATATTTGCTATGTCCGACTTGATGGTCGAACCAGTACTGCCCTAAGAAAGTACAACATTCATCGATTCATGTATTCAGAGTACAAAGTATTCATCATGGCAACACGCGCAGGCGGGGAAGGCATTACTTTAACTGCTGCGGAGGTTGTTGTTTTCCTTGATATGGATTTTAATCCTCAGGTGACTGCCCAAGCCGAAGGCAGAGCACATAGGATTGGGCAGACGAAATGCGTTACCGTCTACAAAATCTGCACTCGAGGGACGGTAGAGGAGCAGATGGTCGACCGCATCAATAAGAAGGTCTATTTGGCATCAAGGCTTCTGGACAGCGCTACAAACACCTCAAGGTCAGCCATGGGCTCAGGAAACATAGAAACTGATTCAACATTTATGAGAAGTCTCCTCCGTCACAACGCCAAAGCCATTTCTGCAAGAGAATGGAGTCCCGACCAGCTCTTGACTATGGAATGGGAGAGCGTTTTGCAGTTTTGCACTGAAATTGAAGACCTTACAAACACAAATGATCTTTTATCTCCGCCAGAGTCCCCCGTCACGCCGAGACGTGAACACTTCGTGAAAGAGGAAAATCATTGGCTGTCTCACAGCAGCAAAATTCAAACGGGTCTGTTTGATGGCAGGCATTTCAAACGTCCTCGAGCGACGCTAAAAGAGGACGCCATTCATATAGACGTGAGACGTGAGGAGAGGCGTTTAAATAAGGAACGTATTATCTTTGACGAGGAAATAAATTATTACGTTAGCAAGGAATCTACACAATGCAAGGCATGGGAAGCTGTGCCGACCTCCACAGCTACATCTGTTTCTAAGACTAAGGCTTCTAAGTTGAAGCATCTTAAGGTTAGTTTCTCAGCAGTCTCTGCTATGGTTTTGTTACTTTACTTAGCCACGATCCTTCACTAACCATCCAAATAGACATGCATGATTTGCCGGAAACCGAAAAACCTCGAACTGTGCATCTGTTGCCCTCAAGCGTATCATGAAAGATGTGTTCACCCCAAGGGCAACGAGAGGAAGACTGTAAGCCCGTTTCCTTCAACAATATGCCCCCTTCACAAATGCAAATCATGCAAATCATCAGCAAATGATGGGGGAGGTCTTCTGTTGACCTGTACGGTATGTCCAAAGTCGTTTTGCATTGATTGCGTCGATTTGGATGCCATCAAACCCGTCGAAGAGCACAAAGAGTTTGAGATGCTAGGCTATGAGCAGCCTAAACACGTTGAGTACATTGTATGCAAAGAGTGCAATAGTTCCAAGCCAGTGCAGAAACGGTCAATCGATAACCTACACAGGTATCACTTGCGACGTGTGAAGCGCAGAACTTGAATGCACCTTCTTTGCCCCGGTGCGAGCACGGTGTGGGATTTTCTCTTCAATGGAATCCTCGATGCTTCGGATTTTGGAGGAGGTTTTAGGAAGTCTTTTGGAGATGAATACCTTTGTCATACTCTACGTTCAAGATGTTGGATTTTTGTTTAAAGCAATTCATCTACCTTGGAATACTCAATGTACAGGGAAATAACATGCCCAAACCAGCTGATGTCGAGTGTGAGATTGTAATTGTCAGACAACCAAAATTTTGCTATCCTTTATTCCGAAGCCATTGAATAGAGCAGTATCGTGGTAGCTTGCGCGCTTTTGCTCCGCCTCGCCTGGCTGCGGGGAGACGAGCACTTCGTCTACTTCTACGAGATTACTAATGCTCTCCTAAGGACTATGATCACCGTCAGATACACTCTTTGAAAAGGTTGGGATGTCCCACGCCACGTCGAATGACTGCAGCTCAAGAGAGGGAGCGCTCTCCCCCATTATAAGTCACACAGGGCCTTTATAGAGTGGCGAGCTCTTCTCCCGACTCTATCAAGACTATATGGGAATTTTCTACGCTGCTCCTCATATAGGTTCAAATTGAGTCTTTCTAGCCTCACTCAAGCTACTAATATAACCAATATTCACCTTGTTTTCGCCGCCGTAAAAGAAACCATCCTTCAAAAGGCGCTGATAGACTCTGGTATTCTATGTTTGACGATAATCATCTTTCTCTTTTCGTGAAATCTTGATTTTACATGCCAAGCAGCGTCACGTTTTCACTTCACATCTTTCATCTGTCGCTGCAGCCCTGTAACCATTTTACGGGCTCCTTTTTTTGCCCTACCCCAAGTGAAGACAATCCTTATTACCATTTGATATCCCAACAATATTTTTTTTCCCCTTATGGAATGGCGTTCTCGGAGGCGGTGCAAAATTCGGCTCCTCATTTTCTTTCTATTCCTTTCCATCTTCTTTCTTTTGTCTGTTGCCGCTATGATATCGCATGGTTGTTATGGCAGGAGACATTATCAGCCTATTTTTGACATTTACGAGAATTTCTATCCTAGTTACGTGACTTGTGTAACCCAAGTCTTTTTTTCCCTTTTTTTGCTTGTTCTTCAGTCAGTCGAGTTATTTAAGGATGAAGTCAATTCATCTGCGCGTTGTGTTCCCGGTACAGCCAGCCAGCCTGATTATCCGTGGACTGATTGATCTATGGCTGATCTACAGCCAGAACACGACCCCGTAGCAAAACTCGCTGAATGAGTCTCCAAGCATTAACATACTCGTTCTTCGTTCTATACAAAAAGAAAAGGAAGGAGTATAAAAAATACTCGCAAAAGAAAAAACCACTGCCCTAGACAGGACTCGAACCTGTGACATTCGTGATACTGATATATAGTATTAATTATAGTATAAGCACGACGATCTAACCGACTGAGCTACTAGGGCAACTACACGCGTGTGGCGAAACCATGGAACTTATTGCGTCTTATTGTACGTCCAGGCCCGTATATAGGAAAATGCTGAAATGCTAGGCTGCAGGCGCACATTCTACAACATCATCATCACAACAAACTTAACCACGCCACCAGGACTGTTTGACTGACAACAACAAATCAAACAACAACGCTGTCTGCCCTTGGAAGGCAACCTATCCAATATGCGCGACAATCGATCGCTCTTGTCCTCTCCACAGCCTTTATGCTATGGAAATGTGTCTTGATAGTGTTAAAGTCCATCAGTCTTATCATGATTGTATTATCTAGGTCTATGGGACTAACATTCCAGCGCGGAGATTTACTATCTTTATACTATCTTTATAGAATCGGGTTGAAAGGACTGAGGTAGGAGAGATTGTGGTTCATAATGCTCGAGATACCTATACCACTAATTGAAGTATTGACATCTTGGGCGGAAGATGACTGGTGATGTTATAGGCAAGGATATTTCGATTGTCCACCTAGTCGTCCGATCATATACCGAAGAAGACAAGACTTAATTGGAGATGAAGAATAAGAAAGCTGGGTACCTTTTCATCTTCAAGGCAATGTCTTTCTTACAATCTGAGCCTAATCAAGATCTGGAAACAGACTTCGCACCATCACCCCCCAGAACTTACTCACAAAAGGAGACAATAATCTCGCAAACAACATAGAACTGTACGCTTGAGGACAGGATTTCTTAGATCATAAGGAGGAGGATATTGTCGGTAGTGCTCAAGGTTATATTCCTAAGTTGGATATATCACAATCATGGTGAATAAATCTCCATGGTTGAAGACAGTCAAAGCTGTCTTGTTGGACGTATTGGGAATGATGGTTATATTGCAGAGGGAGTGATGTTACCATCACAGCATGGTTTTACAAAGCGACTGTATTTCTCAGGTCATTAGTATGAGACCGTTTGATATAAGACCGATTATTTTGAAGTCCGTGCTCACGCAATCATACTTATAAAATAGCCAATGAACGATAAAAATAGAATATTGAAGAATTTAATGTTTTTTAAAATACTAGAAATAGCATAAACATTTTGATCAGGTAAGATTTCTACCTATAAGAGGCTAAATAATCCAACCAATTAGAAGCACAAGAATCCGAGAGCAAACCCTAACAACATCGATAATCTCAGTCTTCTTTGCCTTCAATCGTAAAGTTTGGCCAATTCATATCATGTCATCCTCGCCACATCGATGAGCTTTGTTCAATACACCCACGTACTGCGTCGACATGCAAAAGATGTGCGACTTCCGGTTTCCCGTATGTGATTGATACATTATTTGGGAGATGAGAGAATTCCAACTATGCGTATATACTAGTAAGTATATATTACCGATATCACTAGAGGAAGTACATGAGGCAATATTTCTAATATTTATATACACTCATAGTGCAACTCCACCGGGTAAGCGATCTAACATAATAGGAATTTGCTGAGTAATTGATACTGAGGCCTGAGGAGTAATATCCAATTCGGTGAAGGTGGGAATATCCCGGCGCTCAGGAGGAAAAGACCCGAGAGGCCCACGGCTTCAGGGATAGAACGTTAATCTCTCCAGGTGGCAGCCTGTAAATAGGGCAATGCTAGCTGGGAGCTTTTCAGAGCACGATAGGACCGCATATAGAGGGGACAAAGGAAAAATACTCTATAAAGATTGGCAGGTAACAGAAACGATATACAATAGGCATGGTAAGGTAATTTCCGCTAAATTAACATCGTTGGTGGTTGCGGCGAGGCTCCCTTGAAGCAGCCTCTAGTGTGTCCAGCAACTGTACCCTAGTCTCCATACCCTAACTTTCCCACTTGGTGTCGAAATCCCTGATTGCGCTTCGATATGTGGAGGGAATACGTTCATCCGTAGGGATATATCGCCTTTGAGGTAATTTCTTTCCTCTATTACCCCGGCAGCCCTCGCAGCATACATCTCTTTCCACGTACAACAATGAACCTCGTTTGATCCATCTTGGCTCAGTGTCTACTCTTGAAGAATGGCACAGAATGCATTCGTCTCTATGCTTGCGAGACATACATCTTGACTTTGTCGAGCATTCCTTTCAGTTGATGTTTCCCAGTAAATGTCAATGTCCCTGGTGAGTCTCAGAGAACGTGGATAATAAAGCGTGCATGTGTAAACCTTCAGGTACTCATCATCTGCCATATTTGCTGGTACCGTCATGCGCTCTTTGAGGTGATCGCATCCCGCAGCGTGAAATTTTCGCTTACGACAAATATACCGCCGGCATCGTGACAGACCACCGAGGATACTTATCATGATTTTTGAGTGGAGTTTGACATGTTGCACAGATGAGAGGAATTGCCTTGCCATCAAACCTGGAATAGAAGCACTCTTGGTGCAGTTCCTTGACATTCTCGAGTAACCTTTCTTGGTGAGCAGCAAGAGTCATTTGGATAAGTTCGTGCAGATTCAGCGATCTGTTTTGGCCACGTTCCGTACTGACGATTGACTTGAGTCTTTTGACCACATCATCAAAGGTCGAAAGAGGTATGTCATAGAACAGAATATGTTTTTGACCTGAAAACCACTCACGAAGTGTTCCAGTTCCTGTAAGGCATCCGCCAAAACCTTGACATCACGCGCTCTTGTGATTGACGGCATCAATTGCCTCCATAACTTGTCCACATAATACCTTGGCTTGATGGTATTTTGAGGATGGTTGCCTGGTCCATGTTTAGCAACCTAGCTTTGTTGAGGGAACCTTTGACTAGATTTGTCACGGCGCCCACACAATCTTCCACCGGATTTGGCCGTAATATTGCTCACACCGTAACGGGACGTTCGGCGTTGTTCCACCGGGCGTTCATAAGGTAGTAGGGTATTAGGCAATACAGTACAGAGAATATACTTTGTTTATCCCGTCTCCTAATTGGGAATATATGAAGTTATTCGCACCGGCAACCTCCGTCAACCTTATCCCTGGTGTTGGGTATATAAAGGCATCATTCTCCCTTGCTGGATTTGCTTGCTTCTTCTCCGTTCTTCCCATGCTTTGTATTTTCATTGAATTAGTACTGTTAGTGGAATACTAGCACTTGACTGCCGTCACAAGATTTACACAAAGGATAACAAATAAACACGTAATAAACATATACTCTTTCAGGGCACTGAATAGGTTACATGCCAAACAAGCTATTGTTTGTACATGGCTCCGATTACCGGTAATTGCTTTGCACCCGTGGACGAAATCGGTCTGATTTTCCTCTTTCTAGACATTATAGAGCAAGGCCCCACCCCCGCACAAGCTATCCAGATCTAGACCTGGATGGTGCACCAACTAGTGCATAACAGGACTAGTGCAACCCCACATGCCATGATCTTACGTTCTATTGGCTCTAGGTTTAAACGGGAACTCCTTCCTTGTGCACGGGCACCCTGCATTGCGCTGTGTACGTCTGCTCATAATTATGTAGCTATATGTACCTGCTTCCTCATGTACCTGCTTCCTCATGTACCCCCTCTACCCCTCCTCTCTCTTCCTATCTTGTTTTTAGTTCGTGTTGTACCATCAAAAATCCCCCTGATGAGACCAATCCAATACGCGTGTGATTTATTGCTCGTCAACTTATAATCTATCTGTCTTGCCCTTCTTCTCATTCTGGACAGCATAGCTGCAGAAAACTACGAACTCGACATGTCTACCAAACCTCTAGCTCGTGAGCGAAAGCCATCCATCGGCGTTCCAGTAGCAGACCTGCACCCTGCAGGGTCCCGTGGGCCCTGGATTCAGCCGCAAGAAGACATTCACTAGTTTTGGTGCGGCCGAGATCAAGGATGTCGAGGCCAGTATCCCGGAACCTCTGAGAGAGGTGTAAGTCCCATCTTCTCTCTTCTTAGAGGCTGCTCGACTAAGATTCTATAATGCAGATGGAGCCTGGAAACATGTATGCTGCTACCAACCTCGAGATCTCATCGCGATGATACCTAGGTATTATAGAGTAATAAATGTGCTAGAAATTACCCCTAATACCTGAGTCTAATATGGGTATAATCTACTTTTAATACTAGGAATTAAAGGGTGCCAAACATGTATCTAAACAGTGTATTATAGCCAACTGGCTGAGCACCCTCTAGATATAATTAACTGCTAGCAATTAGAATATAAATATAATAGATTCCCCAATCCCCTTAATAAAATCAACTTAAAAAAAATAGGTGGGTCCCGGACGTTCGGTTTACCCGGGAAATACGTTACGGAATGCGTAGTTACATGACTCAAGCATAGAAGGGTCCGGCGAACAAGAGGATTCTTAATCATTTTATCGTATCAAGCTCAATCCTTTGGATTCCGAAAACATAATCAAACCTTATTTTCCCAGTTCATTTTTAAATGTCTCACTATGCCTCTCGGATACTTAGTCCGAAGTTCATTATAGTTGTTAATTGTTACTAAAGTGACTCGAAGCTTTGATATTACTTTAATACGGACTAGGATACATGTCCGTGCAGTCATTTGAACCAGCAGACAGGATATTGCTAGTCGGCTTGAATTCATGTGGTTTCCTCAATAATCGAGCGTATACCTATAGTATTAATGTATGGAAGTAGGCTGTTATATGTAAGTTCAAGTCCATACAAGTTTCTCAATCAAGGAGTTGAAAACATGCCTATTGATCCCAAGTCTCAATTGTATGGCGTTTAATAGCATGGATTCCTCGATTAATCTTATAACCATCATAGCGCTCGGCATATTGGTTACCAGCATCTGCCGGGACGGTGATCATCTGCGGCGTAATCGGTCGTTGATGTTTTTAACAGCGTCCAGCTAGTATTTAAAAGCGGGTAAACGGAGCCTTTATTTTATTAGGTGACATTGCTAATTTATTTTTCTTGCTTTTGCCACATTGGCCCATAAAGAATGAAAACACCACGTAGTACTTCGTAGTACCTTGAAACATTCGCCCGTACAGGAAAGTCGAGACACAGCGGAAATCAGTTGACAGCCGAGTTTCGACCGGTGAGAGTGGATTCATGGTACAAAATATATGATAATCTCACTCAACGGCGCTTCGTACATGTGTGGAGAGAAGGTATATTAGGATAAACAATGGAACTGGCACCCGATTCCGAACGTTGGAATGTGGGCGGGCCGACCCGTGCGTTCTATTTTTTCTTTTTTTTTTTTTTTTTTTACCGGTACCGTATAGGTCCGTTCCGAACTTCTTTTGGTGGGCAGTAAATGACGGTCAAGCATCTAGCATGACATGGCATGACACTGCATAGCAATGCATCGTGTGGTTTTACTACGGAGTTCTTTGTGCTTGTCTTGCATGGCCTGTTCGGCGATGGATTCCCTGAATAGGTAGGAAATTTCGAAAAAATTTTTCTATTAGATATTGTGCTGTTATTGTTGCTTCTTTACATGATTATGACACAATCAAACTTCAAAGCTGTGTGCTCGTTGTTTCCGGGCAAGCAGCTGGCTACTATGTGCAATTTCATTGTGCGAAAAACATATACCCATAAAACGAACCATGTCAGCAGCTACGCAGCAAACGAAGAACAGTGGTCAGCAATGACAGCTAATTAGTAGCATTAGGCAGCTTATTCTGAACTTACGTGAGATGCGAGCTCCACCTGTAGCTGCGTCAGTCTCGTCGCGTCCATTGAGCCGTGTATAATCTAGCACCAATTCGACTCGTGCCCGTCGAGCTGTTTCGTACAGGCGAAGTCGAGATGCGATCTCTCCCACACTTGTACCTAGAGGCAAGAGGGTCGCTATACTGACGGCATCTTCGATGGCCATTGCCCCGCCCTGTCCCATATCTGAGTAATTTGCATTAGTTAAAGAATCGAGGCAAATGGGAGTTGAGTAAGCGGCTCGCTCTCACATGGTTGGAATGGATGTGCTGCATCCCCAAGTAACGCTGCCCGATCTTTGGTCCAGATCGGGAGGGCTTCCATATCGTGCAGTTCCCAAACCTTGAGATTGTCGTCTGCTTGGTTGATCATCTCTTGAACGCCGTCTGAGAAGGTTGAAAATGCCTCGATAAGGGCCTGTTTACTACCAGAAGCTTGCCAGCCTAAATTTACACCGTCAACTAGTAGCTCTCAGAGACAACATAGGGAACACTAACCTGCATCTGCTTTCACGCCAGCTTCGGCGCTCGGAACAAAGGCGCAGAGATTATAAATTGTATCATTCGTGCACGGATAAGCGACGAGTCTGCGGTCCCCTGATGCCCATTCAACGAACACGCCGGGATTGCGGATGGCGTCATTGGTACTGTCGATTTCTCGAAGTCTATCACTAGGGACTAGCCAACGAAAGCATGATTTACCAGTTGGAAATGGAGTTGGGCCGTTTGGCACAATCTCTTGTCGTAACATGGACTTAATTCCACTATTAGTTTTCTACTCCCTTTTCTTCCTGGTATGATTAGGAAGGGAAAGTATTAGGCTTACATGCACCCCATCTGCCCCCAATATGAGATCTCCGCTGAACTCACGGCCATCTTCGAGGATGACTCTCCTCTCGTCAATGTTTATACTAAAAATCTTGCAAGCTGTATGCAAAGTAGCTGTTTTCAGTGCCTGCTTTTTCAGGTGGTTGTGCAGATCTACCCGGTGAACTAGATAAAATTCCTATTAAGAAGAAAAGAGTCAAATTCTATTCATTATTGCTGATTGTTTTAGAAGAGTAAATGGAAAACATACGCTTTGCCAGTGCCTGCGAATTTCAGAAAATTCTCTTTCAAATGCAAGGTTCCCATCATACCTATATCGGCGGATCTTTTACAGCCGACGCCGGTTAGAATGAGCCTCCAGATGTTCTATAGCACATAGAAAAGCTGGCATATCATAGACGCATACCTCGTGAAGCAGGGTGCCACCGAAATCTCTTGGGTCAATATCCATCCAATTTAGCAGCGCTGTACAGTTCGGAGGCATATGAATAGCGGCACCGGTTTCTTTCGCAAATCGAGACTTCTCCAGGATCTTTACAGCTTTATTAGACATGACTGGCCATAGAATGGGAGAGAATAAAAAAGCACTGGTCTACAGACCACAACATGATGGCCTTGCTTTCCCAATGCAATCGCAGCCGAGAGGCCGGCGATGCCTGCACCAATAATCAGGACATTGAGGGGCAATGATCCAGAATCAGGAATGCTGTCATCAACAGGCATTTTGCGTATTGCACATATATTTAGCAAGCGATTCTTTCTTTCCGCGAATTTCCTGGCATATTCTGCGCGAGCATGGCTGCGTCGTATATATATACTCTGATCCCAGTTCGGCAAGACACCAAAAAAGATCCGAGCTTATTCGATCAAGTTCGGCATCGCATGCTCCTCTCAGTTAGGTCCAAAATAATCCCCGACGTGATCAGCACGCCAAGTACGCCATGGCGCATCGAGAAAATCACTATTTCCGTATATCCGGCTTCGACGATGGAGCTAAGGTTAATACCAGAAGCCACCTCCGTGCTGATGAGCTGGTAGTGCAACCAGATCTTAACGTCGGTGATATATACTAGGCGAGGAGAAATGGGTAGCCGACGGTTGAAAGTGCCTGATGTGGCATGAGAAGTCGGATAAAACCTACTGATATGGATCGTAATCTATCTTCACTGTCAGTCGGGGGTTTTCTCTGTTGATTACTCCGGACTCATAGTGGAAGAGGAAGACGCCACGCTGTATTGGATATTCAGCGGATGCACCGAGTGCAGAACATAACGGATGTATATGATTACATACGCTAATGGAGAGATCGGAGTGATATGCACTCTCAACTAATGAGGGGAGCCGAAAGACTGCCTCGAGTCTCTATAGACAGACTTGAATGTTGTGTAAAACACCGCCATCGGTGAAAGCAAGGGGTGAATGCATCCAATAAAAATGAGGCCTTTTGGTATAATGATAGTAGGATATATGCATGAAAAAAATGTCGTTAAGGATACACGCTTTGACTTTGTAGTCAGATTTCAACTTCATGTGTCATCCCCTTCATTGACTCGCATGGCTCCCAGACGCTCTTGTACTCGCCTCAACAAATCGGGATCTATGGAAGGTTTTTCCTTTTTCGGTCTATGGTTCAGTTAGACAAATTGGATCTGTGAATATCTCGTCAAGGAAAAGTTGCACGTACGGATATCGTCTCGTCTCTGGTCCCTTTTCCTGTCCACAATTTGAACATATTGGCTCGCCGGGTACGTATATAGTCTCGCATTTATGGCAGAAATAGCGAACTCTCATACGTGGTTTCTTCCACACACGTATCGGCCGCTCAGGGGGCGGATCTTCGTCGTCAGGATACCCATCAGGGTATTTGTCTAGCTTCAACCTGATGATCGTCAGTTAGTCAAGAGGTCACAAAAGATGAAGGCCGAGGCAGAAACATACGGATCGCGAGGGCATATTTTGCAGCGGTCGTGACCACAATTCTCACATTGTGTAGATATGCCCGGGAAAAGGGTCTGACAGCGATGACATGTCCGACGAACACGTTGTTTGATGTCCTTGTATGTCAAGTCTTGGCCTCCGGAACGAGACGGCAAGGTAAGAGGGTCGTGCTTGTGCTCCTTGGAGTTGTCGGCGGCAGCTTCTGAAGACATCTTTGCCAAAGCGCGGGCTTCTTTTTCTTCTTTTGTGCGAGCTGGGGGATAGCGAGGGCACTGCTTGCAACGGACATGGTGACAATTGACGCAGACCTTCTCAGGCCCAAACGTGGTCTGGCAGCGGTGACAGGTACGACGTACTCTCATTCGAATGGGCTTATCGACTCGACGGACTTCCAAGTTACGTGGCGTCATCCATTCATTTGGTTCCAAGGTCAAACCATACTTGGCGAACAAAGCGCGTGCTCTCTCTTGCTGAATGTCTGTCCATTGTATTACAGGCGTTGTATCACGCACCGGCGGGCTGGTGGTGGTGGTATCGTCATCCGCGGTGCTCGTTTGAGGTTGCTGGGGAGGCTGCGGAGGAGGAGGGGCGGTAGATGCAGATCTACCGTGCGGTCAGCTTGCTACAACACGGCAGACGAATCTGAAGACATGCAACTTACGCTTCGGGTACTGTAGGCTCTTGCTCAACAGCGGCGTTCGAAGCGGTCGATTTTGTTCGTCGCGAGCTTCGGCGCAAAAATCGATTTATCAGACGAGAGGCGATGTCGTCTTTTTTGGGGTGCTGCTCGCGTTCCATTTTTGCTTCTTCCTCCAGTGTTTCGATTCAGCTATTGAAATAGCACAGAGGGACGTCAATATCCCGACATTAACAGCAAGCAGTACCTAGGTAGCAGCTGGATTGGCCTGTCGCCGTTGTTCTTCTTTCATCGGTGGGAGGAAAATAATATATATTCGTGTGTTGTCTCTGGTTCCAACGGCTTCGGTGTAACAGAGTAGTGCAAGTAATTAAAGCAGCGACAGAATATGAATGAATATATAGGCCGATAAAAAGTCTTTTTCTAGAATAGCCAATGCCGGGTTCTTCTGTATGGGCGGCAGCGGTTCGCGGGCAAAACCGGCGGTGTTTCTTTGCTTGCTCCCCTCAATGGACGATGCGCGTCGAAAGAAAGATGTAATTATAGAAGCGCAGGTTCTTTCTTTCGTGGACTCTCAAGCCGGTGACACAGACGGCATCCACGGTGGTGGCGGCGTGAAGAAAGAGAAGAGGGAGCAGCAGACCGAAAGGGTAAAAAGTAATATTGAATTTACTTCGTTAGCTCAGCACGGCTCCCTCTGCTTCGGGCCTGCCACCTAGTGCTGATAGATTCTGGCTGGATGCAATTAGCACTCTATTAGCATTTCAGCATCAATGGGATTAATACATACGGTGGCATTGGATCATGCCACCTGGGCTGGTGGGGATGGCGCAGAAACCCGCAGCGCTGGTTACTCGGAACCGTATTGTATGTAACACGCCGTATTGTGTTTTGCCTGGGCCCGACGATGAGGATCGCAATTTAGGCGGCCAGTAGTACGGCACAATACGCCGTGATTACAGTACGATAACACATATATCACGACTATGCCCCGCAGGCCCTGCCGATGGTACGTACGTAGAGTCGAGTTAGTTGAACTTTGCTCGGGAGTTTTTCGTCCGTACGGAAGAAGATGAACAAGGGCCCGGCCCTGCTAAACCTGGCGACGATCAATCCTTCAGCGTCGCTCATCCTGTTGCTTTGCACTGTCCAATCGATCACAGAATCTACGTCTTACCATTGCGTTTACGCGGTCAAAGATGCTAAATTTGTGCGTACATGCAAGGTTTCCACTCCCTCCTCCTCGTGCTATATATAACCTTAATATACTAGCCAAACGGTCTTCCATACTAGCACGGAGTATATGCCATATTTATACGTGCCGGTACTAACTAGTTGCCAATGAATCAATGATTCAGTGAATTTTGGGACAACTAACTAAACTCTCCCGGCTCCTGATCCCTCGGACACTTCTTATTTAATCCCCCCCCCCAAAAAAAAGAACAGCGCCCGACACACCACAATCCCGCATGACTCCATGACAACTACGTAGTCATGCAATTGTAGCACCATTTTATTCCATGCCTTTATTGCCAACGATTTCCTTCACAATACTTAGTCCTCCATCATGAATTATGAGTGCACAGCTTCCCCTCCAGGCCTAGTGTCAGGGTTTATCGGGAGCTAATCTTGCCCCGAAGCAGCCTAGGTCGTCTTTTTTTTATGCTTTCTAGAACGCTGGTTGGGCAATCAGAGCCACTACGCTTTTGGGACTAGTCTCCGTTCATTAACTTTGTCTGCCATCTGGCTAACTAACTTATGCTTTATGCTGAAGCCCTAACGGTAGTCATACGCGTAGTTATACTCCACGTTGCACGCGCCAACGCATTGTCGCCGTTGCTTTTGATTAGAATACTCCATACATTAAGAGTTATACTTCTTATCGAGTTACAAGTTGTGCTCCGAATGCAGGACTCAATGATGATTTATTGCTACCTCCTCATGCATACTCTAGTACCGACGTAATGCATAAATACGTGAATACGCCGTAATACGCGGGAATGCTAGAATGGGTGGGTGGGGCCAACCTTAATGGTGGAACGGACCGTCCGCTCCGTTTTCCGTTGGCTTTGTCAGAGCTACCCACACAGTCAGGCAGCTTCTGTCTTGTTGAAAACATATTCTACAGCGTATAATATCTTATATAAGTAGTGGTAAATCTAAGATCACAAACATATTTAAATGTGCACTTCTTGACATAAACGTAGAGATCAAAGTCAACCGGGAAAACCGTCAATCTATTAATTCACCGCGGATTTCCCCCGGCCTAGTCTCATACCTAACTTAAACTAGGCTAAAACCTGCGAATCAGAGCTACTTCCATACGTCGTTAGCCACAGCTACGATGTTGTCCAGACTCTTCAAGATATCGGCTAGTTACGTCTGCATACCTAACATCCGGGATTCCGTAGTCGTACTGAAAAAGCATGAGCCCTGGTTTTCGTCCGCCACGTTACGACGGACGGACCAGTCCATCCATATCTGCTTGCTTTCTCCGTCGCCCGTCTCCGCACTTGCAAAATCTTCTCCACACACAGAAGGGAATAAAAAAATTAGACCCATGGGCAAAACAGAGGCTCGGGACTCGGTGATTAGGCATATAACAGTAGTGTCCACTGTCCACGGTCACAGGCCGTAGAACTAATGGCCCCTGCGCGCTGCTGCTATGTTGCCTTGTCGGCTACCGAGTGACTTAGCTGTGCGGAATAAACATGGGTCAAGTTATGCTGATTTAGGGCTATTTATGTCAATAACCCACTTTAACTAGTTAACTACCTTTAATGTGGTAAGAAAATCAAAGCCACCACCAGATTACAGTAGAGAGCCCTGCAACAATGTTCTTCCCTAGCTAGAGCTTGGACTCAAAGTATAGTTACTTCTAGCGAGCAGTCTACATTGCTTGTTAACCGAGTAATACTGTCACTAATAAAGATTGGAGGCTCCATTCATCTGGAATTGCAGCTCTGACGGTTTCATCGCTATTACTTACACTTCAAGTCTCCCATCAGTATTCTCAAATACGTCAACAAGCCCAGCGCTTGAACTATTGCCGCAAGGAGTGTCATATATCATTGCATTCCAAGTAGATGAAAGCTTGGGAGAGGCATAGTGTTGAGATTGAGGGTGCTGATTTGCAAGCCTTGAGCCATTTTTGGCAAGGTTATCAACGTCGCAAACCCACAGAATTGTATATGTTCTAACTGGTAGACACTTGTTATTTTCATTGGCAACAATTTTATCTCTTCCATAAGAGAAGTACGCCCTTCATCCTCAGGATCGTGGTCTGCCATATTGAAGTGGATGAAGAAGGATAGAATTGGGAAGGCGCGCGCGGCCGAAATATAATGATTAATAGAACATGCTCAATGTCTTGGATCCTTGGTCGTAGGAGACTCACAAAAGGCTTCCAGCTCGCCGGATTCTACTTGTAGGTTTACGATTTCTTAAGTATGCGCGCTTGACTGAGCATGAACACCACATCTGAATAAGGGCTTCAGATGAGCTTTCTTACAATTCTTTATACCGCACAAGATATAAGCATACTTACGAACAAGATCCATCTTGGATTCTCTTATTATACTTTTTTTTGAGCCTCAAATCCAGCCATCATCTCACTAGTAGTACTGAGACCTGAACATTATACACCACAACCTCCGTCTGGAACTATACCCAGAAATCCTTCAGGATCACGGATCGTCAGGTTGCGCTCCGGGTGTTGCTCGCACCTGACAGGTATGCCATCATAGACGTGCCCGTACTCTGACAAACGCCCAATCAAAGATTTCCAGGTAGAGTTCCCCATTTCGCTTTGCAGAAAAGTATCTCTATTTCCAATCAAGATGATTCCGTTCCGGGCTCGAGATAGCATGAAATTGACTCGCCCTGGAGAAGCCATCAAGCCAATATCTCCCGTGATGTTGCCCCGTACTAGCGACACCACGACTATGTCAGTCTCTTGACCTTGATAATTATCTGTAAAGTTTTGTACTGGGTCAGCTTGTGAGATTCGTATCAAGCCAGAGGGAGCATACTCACCTATTGTTGAGATACGAATGGGCTTTTTGTTCGGTTTTGTAGCACTAGCACTAGCACTCAACAAACCAGCCTGAATTAGATCGCTTGAGTCAAGATTGCTCAGCACAGGTTCCTTAGTCTCGCTCAATTTCTCCCTTAAAATCGAAAGTTGTCCCAAATATGGCGTCAAAATGACCATCTCGTCTGAAGTATATCCCTGCTGGCCTAAATGACGGACTAGTTGATGAACCATTTCGGCCTCGAATAGATTCCGTTTTGAACCTGAAGTCGACTCATACCGTTCATGGACGTCAGGGAGATCACTCTCATGATGGCCGTGATTGATAAACATGACCTGGTCCTGAAGACCCCGAATGCCAGGACGACCAAGCGTTTTGGGCGCATCCGTGAGAGCAGGATACGCAATTGTACTGAGCAGACGGGAAATACCAGGTCGCATGCGGTGCTGGTTCCATAGACCAGCAAAAGGGAATCCCCGATTGATGAGCCGCTCGAATAGTGAGACATTGATATTATAGCCGTTGCCTTTTTCGACAGTCAAGGCATGATTGTTTACTCTCGGACGGAGCTGTTTGTGGTCTCCTATCATCATAAGCTGCTTGGTATCCTCGCCCAGCAGTGCGAGCAAGTGGCTCTCCAGGATTTCTCCTGCTTCTTCCACGATGATAACAGCGGGCTTTGCGGCGTGGATCGCTCGGGTGTACTTCGCCGCTGCTGTTGTTGTGCATGCAATGATACGCTTTTCTCTTAAGACCTTCGCGTGTAGATAATTATCGAGCTCTTTCTCCAATTCCGTGTATTCCTCTGATATCGTGACAATTTGATTAACCTGGTCATTTACGAGTTCCTGTCTCCATCTATCAATGTGGGCTTGGCGCATGGTACCTGTCATCTTCCAGATAACAACGTGCAGTGGATTCACTTGATCCCGAAAGTATCCCGCATCGTGATTTGAAGCCCAACTTTTAATCAGGTAATGTCTAGTGATAGGTTCTCCGTCTTCGTCGACCAGTTTAGTTCCGCTATTATTCTCAGGAATCGAAAAGGCATCAAAGAATTCGGAGTCATCTGAGAATTCAAGGTAGTCAAGAATGGCGCTCAAGTGCAAATCCTTGTCCCGCAATTCGTTGCAAGCATCAATTATGTTCCTTGAGAGTTCGCGCAATTTACTCTTTATTTGACCAATGTAGGCAGTCGACGTTGAGTCGGAAATTCTAGGGCCTTGCGTGAATAGACAAAGCTTCTTTAGACGCCCAGTGGTTCTAGAACCTAGTCGTGTCAATGACTCCCCCGGAATATTATTGTTCATGAGATGTTTCAAAAATTGGTTCAGTGCCCGATCTGTACGACATAGGAAAAGGACTGAATCTGGTGTTGCGTCGTGGATGGTTTTGGCAAGAAGAGCGCCAATAAATGATTTTCCCGTGCCTGCATTTAAATTCAGAATTCAGTCAAAGATACCCTGAGCATCAACCTTGACGTAAGGTGTTCCTTTACATACCAGGGGCCCCTTGTATCAAGCTCACGGCGTTTTCAAGACTCGTTGTCAAAGCATTAACCTGGTACTCATCCAACGACGCCTCCTCAAGTTCTCCCGTTTCATTGAAGATTTTCATTCCGGATTTAGCTTTTTTCTTGGCTAGGAAGCGCAAGACGGCTTCATGCACTTTATGGCTTTTAGGCGATGGTGTAGGCGACAACAGAATCTCAGTCAAGGGAGAATCCCGCTTCTGCTGTAGACTGGACAATATCGGTTCGTAAGCAGATACCGGCGTATCGAGAACAACGAACGTAAAAAGCCCTGACCAGCTGATAGCTAATTGATTCAGCAGCTTAGTCAACGCGTTGCGTCCGACCACCTCTATATTCAGTACAGGTCGGTCACTAAGCAGCTCAGAGGTTGCCTGATTGATGCTACCAAACGCGAGGATATCATTGTTACGAAGCAGACATCCGAGAGCCCGATGTTTGAGGAAATTTGGGTTCTTCTGTAATGCAGCTTGACGTTCGTCTTCAGGCAGGTCCGATAGCTGTGGTAGACCTCTTAGACACCGAAATGTGACACAGGATGCTCTGTTGGATGGTATATGACCGCATTTCATACCATCCCATTGCAGCCCCTCAATCCGATACACTGGATGTCCCGGTTTTCCCTGTCCCAAGACCACTTGCAATTCTTGACGGAGTTCTGTCATAAATTCCTGTCGGAGAAGACGAAATTGGTTGTCATAATGCACAGCTGCACGGCGGTCTTGGTCGACTTCATATATCTCATCTGCTCGATGGTAGAACGGGGCTTCAACTGAGGCAATTTCGTCGGCAGTCGGGAGAATAGAGATTCGGCGAAAGTTCTCAAAGTCGTTATCATGTTTTCTTCCGGTACGAGCATCACCGGAAAACAGTTTCAAGTGGAGTGTATCCCGGATCTTGCGGCAAACCTGCTGAATATCACTGGACGGGGAAAGCAAAAAAGATTGATTCTGCAAAAGGTCCTTGGCGACAGAGACGAAATCGGTTGTCACATTCGACAATTTCAGCAAAGTCAATATTAACCACGCGAAAGAGTACTGCGACGCCTGTGACAGTTCATGTCCTCGAACCGACTTCACCAAAGCTTTCCAAAATGTTGGGGGGTTAACAATGATTAGCAGAATCTTTCGCAAGAAGTAGCCGTTGCTCAAATTCTCAAATCTCGAGTCCTGCAGATATTTCAGGAACGATGTTGCTGGTCCTTCCACAAAGTCTGCTATCATATCAACTTTGAAGCTCTCCTCCAAGCAGCTCATATTATTCCGGCTTGAAAGCAGCCTCTCAATGCAGTCGACATGGTTTGGTTGACTGCACAGAGCCTCCAGAAATAACCGTGCATCTGAGTCATTCTTGATCTTTTTATTTCCCTTTTCTATGGCGATCAAATACCTGTTCAATTTGCCCAACCGTTCATGCATTTTGGTTAAGAAACTAGAAGGGGAGAAGAATACAAACAACAACTGAGCAAGTTCGATGGTGCCACATGTGAAGGTTAGATATGTAGCGGCGAAGAAAAATCGAGATGGTAAGGAAAGAAAATAGAGGAGAGAACACAGGGAGAGAAGCAAAATTATATAGCCAGAGAATAAAATATATCATTTCAAAGAAAAAACACAGCGATGGACATCACGCCTGTTATGTTGCTACCTTTCATTCTATCCTTAAATGTCCCCTAAGTATCACATTTCTGAATGAATGAAATCCGTGAAAGACTTGCGACAATTTTTTATAGGTCGTGATTCAATTTCTGAGACACAAGATGCTATTGATTTTGTCTCGCATGTACAAAGAAAGCTGTAAAGCTGTAACCTTGGAAGAACATAGGGCCGCCTTTGCCAATAGGGCTACCTAGGTAAATTATACCAGTGTCTTCGCCTTAAATATGGCTTCTATTGCAGAATGTCTCAATAGATTCGCATGTAGAAAAATTAGGATTGTATTTCCTGTGCTATGCTGATTTCATACCTAAATATCTCATCAATTGTCAGAAAAATAATAGCAAAATCAAACATGGAGTTTCCTTCGCACTGAAAACGAGAAGCCGGAGTCGCATTGTCCTATTCGACTGGCCGTGGAAAGTTCATCTTCGCATCGTAACGGAGCACGCCAACGGTCCCCATCGCTTGATGAGTTTCAATGTCAATGTCAATGATATGTCTCACTGATCTGCTGTGTCAGACAGTCCAGTAAATGATTCTCATCTCCTTGGTTCGTGGAAATACCTCCTCTCAGCAGTTCCTGGTAATCCTGGCCTAGAACGTCAACCAGAGCTTGTACCATTTTGCAGCCAATATGTATACCCCCCGGGAGTAGCCCAGACACACTTATGGGGCTTCTGGTAATGCTTATTTTATGTGTAAATAATATCCTTATATTGCGCTGTCACCATCCTCTAACCAGCATTCTTTGTTACGTGCAGGCATAACATCCCTTTCATTTTGCGGCTTGTATTCATACTTGTTCCTTAGACCCACAATGTCTGTCGCAAAACGCGAGAACGGAGGGAACCTCTGTAACCGTTCACTTTCCTCTACTGAAATCCCACGAAATGATGGTTGGCTGCTCGCTAGTGCCGTAGTCAGGAGGAAGTAGTCCACTGATTCGTGTTTCGGTAGATAATAGTAAGTACCAAAAGTTGTGATTGCTTGAAATACAACTAATAATCCGATGTAGCGCAATGTAATGGATTTCGTTGTGATTCAGTAGACTGGATATTTCATCAAAGACGATCATAAACAATGGTCCCTGATAGCCTCCTGGCCGCGTCCAGGAAAGGAGAGTCTTCTCCAATCTATCAACAGCCGAATGCAGATGCTTGATTGTTTTGCATTCTTTCAGGTTCAATGCGCTTCGTGTATGCGATGGCGAGGTGTCTTTGAAACATGCACAAGACTCCCTGTCCTCCACAGACAATCCTCTGATCTCGATTGCTCCTTCGATGACATCGCGACAGAACTTTCTGCGATAGAACGGGCGAGTTCCTGCAGAGGGGGCCATCCTATCGTGAAATAACGATGCTACTTGCTCTAGCAGCTTTGCACTCCTCAGCCATATATATTAGTGTCGAGGCAATATCCATAAAATATTCTTCGTCTAATATCTGTCGTAAGGTGTTTATTCGAATCAATGTTGAAGGGAGCTGGATGAACCTACATTGTTCAAAAGTCGCCTGCAGGACAGCGATGATGAGGGCATGGCACCAAATGTTCTGAGTCCTCTCATTTGCACTTTTGTAAGCTGTGACCACTAGTTTCTCAGGTGACATCTTCGCCTCGTCTCCCTTACTGGGCTCTGACAAAAGGAATTCGAGTATTTCGTAGTCGCGGGGGGGAAAACCCATTTAGATGGTCTCGCACAACATACGTCACCATTAAGCAGCGTTTCCCGATTTCATCTGCTAACCGTGATTTCCCAGCACCACTGCTTTGCATAAATAGCAGAGCCTTCGAATAGTGTTTACACTCGGCGAACTCTTGTTCATATTGGGCAAGTCTGCAAGAGATCTGGCAGCAGAGTCCAGGTGGTTGGCAATGGAGCAGGGTCTGTTGCATAAGCAAAATGAGCGACAGTGCAGCATGAAGAAAATTCTGTTACAACTCACCGCAGATCAAGTCGTCAATCGTCAGGTCAGTAATAGACTTTTGTTAGGCCATAGCCAGGCGAAACCGCTTCATGACCGTTTGCCAGAGACGAATTCTGTATGGCTGATTCATCTTGAGACGCGAAGCTTGAGCACATTGACTACCTAGAGGCCTGACGAGGAAGGAAGAGGAAGAAGGAGGACGGTTGGTATCCTCGCGAGAGAAACTAATCCTAGAACGGAAGGTACGGTATTGTTGAAAATGACACTAAGCCTGTTCAGGATCAAATCACTACCGGGGGGAGAGGGGGGAAGTTAAACCATGGTGGTTCTAACTATTAAGTAGGATACATTTTTGTGACAGCCTCTACTAACTGTTGAGCACTCTAACAAAAACAACAAGAATGGAAAAGGGAAGAAAAAGAACGCCCTCGGTGCGTTTTACGCGAGGAAGCTATTCTCCCTTCATCGCGGACGTGAAGCTACTCCAAGGTCAGCACCGCCGTGTAGGGTTAGAAACCCTACTGACGGGCTCCTCCGGATAGCTTCACGTTTGCCCGTTTTGGAAGGATTGCTTCCCGCGCCTCGGCGCCGCGAGGAAGCGAAGCCCCTTGCATCACCGTCAAACTTTTGACTATATCATTTTCAAGTAACTTAGAAGTAGGAATTGTAGCAATTCTGTGTAGGATATATAGAAGTAGCCTAACTTAGAAGAATTGCAGCAGTTCTGTGTAGGACTAGTATCAAGTATAGAGTATTTAGAAATAGGCAGTTCTAGAGTATGCAGAGGTAACCTGAGGCATATAACCATGGGGCAACAAAATTGATGGCTGCCTACGTCTTACTTTCATAGCCAGGCAACCATCCATCGTCATCCCTCGCACCTGCACATAGCAGCTCTTTTCTGCTACTTCTCAACCATTCCATTCCATCACTCCTCAAGATGATTGCCTTCACGCGTTATCCCAATCATTACCAATACTCCAAATATTCAGCAGAAACGCCGTAATATCAGTATACTGCTTTTCAGCTTTTGCCAAACAACAAGAATTATTCTAGAACTGTGCTAAATATCATATACCTTATTCCAGCTAAGGGTTCTGAACTAACTTGCGAAACTCGATATAATGGAACTGAAATATACGACATGATGAAGTACAGCATACAGCCCTAGGCAGCCACCCTACCCTCTCTCCGTCACGTTTTTGGCATCTCGCCTATCATTTCTGCTACTTTATCTCTTCACCAGATATTCCTTGGCACTGTGGCAGACGTCGAGTTTAGCGATACAGAGCGCCCATGCCTCACAAGGGAAATATTCGACTTGGTTGCCAAGACACAGAAGATACTACAGCTTCCACGCGAAACATGGGCTGTACTTTGATTGTCAGATTTAGACAACTTCGAACGCATGCACGAGGACTCGAAGCCATCCCCAACCGGGAATCCGGATGAAACAAGACTCAGAGAAGACGGGGCAAAGTATCTATGTGACTTCCTGTATACGCATTTTGATGCAGTGTCGGAATAGGGTCATCTATTGTTCAACATTTTGCTTTTGAAAAGGCGTCCCTGATCAAACGATCATACCAGAACAATCATTTAATCAGTATTGTTACGTGCAGGCATAACATCCCTTACGCCAACCTATACTTAGTCTTGGATTATCAAGCTTTTTGGTATACTGTTGGCTATTATTCTCACCTTCCGCGGATACTTCCAGTAAGCCTTCTAGTCGCCTAGGTACGGTTCTGGCTAGGGTAAAAACAACAGCTTTGTATTCTGTGGCCCCCCCC